TGTATAGTAGATGCATGTCACATTTTTTTGGTAAAAAACGCTTATTTCATACATTTTTCTCGACAAGGTTCTCAGCATTCTTGTTTTCTTTTCCAGGTGCAACGGGCACTGGACAGGAAACAAACGAAGCACGGCATCCAACGAACAACATTGAGGAAGCTATGTACGGACACCCTATTAGCATAGGCAGACAGACCAGCAGGCCCTCCATCAAGCCGCTCGGAAGATTTTTTTCACCTATCAGGGAACCATCGAGAATTTTTTACTTCCGGCTGGTCATGTCTTAGGGTCCTCACAAACCCACTAGGGGGGAGTGAGCTGTAGTGGTAAATAATTCCCCAAAATTATTGACCACAGCAATCATCACTCAACATTGGATGATGACCATCACTGTTTAAGTCGACTTGTTTAGCTGAAGGCTTCCGGTCAAGCATCCCCGCCATTTGGTACTCCGTCGTGTCACGTGCGTGCACGATTACTAGCTAGCTAAGCATTCACTTCTACCCGCAATGTGGTCCCGAAATATATCTCGTATTTGGACGACGAAATCTGGTCTTTTGCTTTGTCTTTGGTACTCGAAGTGCGAACACAATAGAAGTTGTTGGTATAAGATCTTGCGTTAGTATAATCCGTACAACTCGCGAACGTCGATACCTGCAACCCCTAAACAGTACTGACTTTCTGTACTTGAAATCATTTTGAAAACTGAAATCACACAAGGAACAATACCCGAGCTTTCAGAGATAATGTTGAGTAGCTTCTTCTACTTGGTCCACAGACACTGAACGAAGGTCTCAAAACGCATTTCCAGCAGTCTGCCTGCTATAACTAACATTTGTTCTCGCTTGATACGGGAGACCAGATGGCGACCAGGAGGGGTAGGCAGGTAACAAGGAACTCTAACAATGAACCATGCAGTTTATCACCTGGGAAAAATGCAAGTGGAAACGGAGACGGAGTGGACATGGTTTGAAGAGATATCCAAGGGAAAACCCGCCTATTATTGGCCCTTGGCTGTAATCCGAATTGGAAACGATTGGTTAAAACGCTGATAAGGAAATCCTCTGAAGATAAAAGATATGCCACAGAGACCATATGTTTAACTCGGTACTCAAGGAATGAATAATGTCAAATAAATACGTCGTTTTGCCAGTTGATTGGGAAAGTCTATTCATAAAATCGCTAATTGACGCTTCAACTTTAATACGCCAATATCTACCAGATAACTATCGCGTTTAGAAATACACATACGAATAACTGAAACCATTTTGTTCTAAAAGTCATGAATAAGCCGCAATAATAGCTTTGTTTTATCTGTAATACAATACTCATTAGAGAGTCGTTGTTGCTTCCTGACCTACTGAAAATATCGATTCCGTATAAATGAATGAGGAATCAATGTGATGAGCACACTACTTTTACAGACACGTTTGAACAGAATATACATTTTAAATAAGAAGGTTTTTGTCGAGAGTTTAAGAAGCTCTCAGTAGGAAATGATTACAAGAACCATAATCAGTAGTAATAACGCCAATGCATTATTTTTGAAGGCACACACCTACTTCAAGTTTATCTGTCTTCACCTAAATTATACATTCCAGCTTGGGAAGTGTTGTATTGAAAAATTCAAAACAATAAAGTCCTTATGATAAACGATTACTGAAGTGAACTTCGTATCAGTGCATGATAGAATATAGAACATATAGTATTGAGTGTGCATCCATAGAAAAATGTAGACGATTAGGCATGCTTCAAATTTAATGTCTGAGGAAAGATCAAACCTGAAGCCAATGCTTCCATACATCTGTGTGATTTTTTAATATCCACATAAATACATATTGTTTTGACGAAATTGTATTAGCCGTACTTTCGATATTTGCATCAACTGTCCTTCGAAGTTCTATTAGGGTGAAAAAATACACAAAGTAAATAGAAATCCTTATATGAGAATAAGAAACTTGCCCAAAATTAACATCATATTTTTTAGAAAAGCCATAAGTCCTCCGTAGTGTACAAGCACGAATGTGTTATGACCAACTTCACATAGGTCCATTTCAATGTGCATGTTCACCTGTTGAGATGGTTGTGATTGCATAGTTAAGTCGCAACGGCTGAATTAAATGCTATGGAAAGGTTTAACTGTCTACATTCTGTTATACCCCTTAGTTAGATTTGAATTTCAAGTATTTTTGTAGGTCTTTTTCTCAAAATTGTTATATATGAGGACACAGTAACGTTTAGATAATCTTTAGAGTACAGAAAATACTTGAATCTAACCATTAATTTTCAAAATTAGGTCTGAGTTCATTAGATTGGTTTTCTAGTAGCCCTGCGTTATTGTTTAGAAATGAGTGTCAAGATAAAATTTGTCTGCCGGATACATTGACACGCATTATCATTATTAACATTATTGCATAAGTCAAAGACCTTGGGATTGTATCAAGTGACAGACCCTCGGGGGGATTCCAGAATAATGGAAAAGCAAATTAGTTGTTCTGCAAAACATATCGACAACTTCATTAAAAATGTAAGCATTTTGGGACGTTTTACTTAAGGTCACTTGAAGAGCTGTACAACTGAGATTGATCCATTTGGTCAACCTTGCAATTGCATGATAATATTTTGCCACAAATCATTGCAGTGGCAGCATATAATGTGGAAGGTAACGAGGAATGTTTCTGTGGTGTATGCCATTACTTTCCATCTGAAATCTATTGACGTTCGATGAAAGTTTTAGTGGGTGAGGAAGTGAAAAAAGCTTCTTGAACATACTAAACACTGTAATCTATTAAAAGACATTAAGAAACTACAGTTTTCGTCGGTATACCTTCTCGTTCTCGCGTTTTAATTAACGTTGCGCTAAATTTACAAGGTCATCCAAAAATTCGAACTGAAGGTCATTGTCTATGTTGCATCGTTAAAATAGGTATAGTCCTTAAGATGTTTTTCAGTATTTTTAGCTGTTGTTAGAATAAAAGACGTACTGTATGCTTCCTTGTCTTCACGGAGGCTGCGATTTTCATTAATGTTTTCCCTAAAATATAGTTTAAACAATGGAAACGAATTATAACGTTACAGTTGTACTTAAATATAAATTTAGAAATGTAGACCGTGATAGTAAATGAAGCGGTTCGGGTAACTGAGGGATGTTACACTTTCTACTTCTATGGAATATTGTATTTCCGAGCATATAATGTTGGTATGCACGTGTAGTTGCTCATGTACCTTATTTAGTGGAAATAGCAAAGTTAAAATTTATGTACCAGTAAGTACCAACGTACAAATGACCCTGAACGCCGCAACCCTATGGTAAAGGCGGTTTGTGCCTATATATATCCATGAAAACAATGAATTAGTATGTATGAAGCTGTTACACAGGATACCTTTCTCTGACGTTTGACAAAAATACCCCTTACATTTGGTTTGGTGTGTCAACAGAGTAACTTAACCACATTCTATACATGTATTCACCAAGGTCTTCTAACCCCAACAATAACGCTAGCGTCAAAATATTCCTTAGATAACCATTATCTATCTAGAACCAACCGTAATGTCACCCTCGCTAGGTTAACCTAAAGTTAACCTGTCCTTAGCCTAACTTAAAACTGGTCCGATATCTCATTTAATTACACAACATTTCATTAAGCATGTATTATCCATGGTTACAATATTATTCACCAGGTTTCACTAACTTGCTTAATGAGAGTTTCATGGTCATTGGTGTGGTCGCTCTACGTTGGTGTTTGCTGGGGCTTAAAGTTTAACTTGGTTGTAGAAACTTCGGCCTCACTTAGAAATGTACATCTTCTAGCAACGCAAAAAGGTAAAAGTGGGAATTCCATTGAATAAAAATATCTGCGAGTGCTGGCAGGGAATCTTGTTTTACCATTGTTTCACGTTGCTGTTGTCCTATTCGTTAGTTTGTTTACGTGAATGCATGAAATGCGTCGGTGGCACAGTGGTTAGGATTCTCGCCGACCATGCACATGGTCCGGGGTTCGATCCCCTGCCGGCGCACACCCGATATCTATGGTATGCCTGAATTTGGGCAACCGATATCCATGCTGAAAATTCCATACTTGTACTGAAAATACGGTGTGGAATCAAGCTGTAAATCAAAATCAAAATAAAATCAAAATAAGTGGTGATCAAAACGTTTCATGTGCCGCTGTTTTTATGGAATCTGTTACTTACCACTTGAGCATATTCAGTAAGGACAATTATTGGTGTCAGTTTTATTGCAAGATATTGTTAGTATTTAGGCTTCCAGCTCTGTACTAATCGAAGCAAATGACTTTTTGTTGTGTATCTGTAATATTCGTATTCAGCTAAACTTACTATTGTTTTTTATCGAAACACCACGTAAAATGGCTTAAGTCAAGAGATATGCCGTTTATGCAAAATATGAGTGAACTATAATCAAACTGATAGCTATCTGTGGCTTCTAATTCTGTAGTGCCTACGATACCACTTGAATTTTATAATTTATTTACAATTCAAGTATTCTTTACCATTCCATCTTGTGGCTCGTTAGTTAATGAACAAATTGAGTGTTTTGATGTTCGCTCCAGTTAAGCGAACACGACTGAATCCAGTTGTGAATCATGGTACATGACTTCATATAAAAAAAGTCTTTAGTGCAAAGTATAAAATCCGGCATGGACAACCGCGTTACATAAGCTATTTTCTGATCAACTAGGAAGATTTAAGTCTCTCGATTACTTTTATACTGAAATGTATAAACACGATTATTCAAATAACTCATTTGTTAAAGTTCAGTTACCTGAAACATATTTCTCAAGTACCAGGCTAAGGATCATGCTTATTGTTGAAGACTACCTAGTTGCCTTGGCAGAAGTATATGGAGCGGGGTTCGAACCGTTTTGTATGACCATTAACGCATATTATATAAATATGCTTCTGTGAATTCATCCCTACCAAGACAAGGCTCTAAATAGAGCATAACTTATTTTTGTTTTTATTTTGTCCACAGTTTCCTAATGCGGCTGCTTAAACCGGTCTGGGTAACCCATGGATTTCTTACGAAGGACAAAGCTGTTGGTAGGTGTCTGATAATTTTAGTTTATTCTTTACATCAGGTCGACCAATATATAGTCTTGACATACATCCTGATGGCTCACGTTTAGCTACTGGTGGAGTGATTGACACATGCGGAGTTGTCATTCTGTGGAATATGGCACCTATTCGTTATCCATCACTGGAGTCCGATGAAAACTCTTGTCTCAAGCTTTTTCAAATGGACAGTCATCAAGGTAAGCTTGTGAACTAGTTAATCTTATGAGTTACTTATAATCGAGAAAAGTCATTACGTTTCTGCAATATTCTATCATTTTATCAAATGACATTCACCTAGTTGTCAGTTATTTAGGGGATCCTGGATTATCGACGTCTTTACCTTCTTCTCAGGTTAACATCTATTTACTTTTAGATACAACTCAACTGCATCGCATAAGCTTATTGTCTATGAGTCGTACTTATAGTCGTGCATTAAACACTGTGCTGGCACTAGGTTTTCATTGCTTATGTAAATTTTAGGGTTTCCTTTGAGTCGCTTTTTCCTAGATATTTCAGGAACTTGTTAGTACTAAGAAGCCATATTAAGTAGTTTACCTAAAGGGGATACTACATTGGTGTTTTTTCGACAATAGTGTAGTATCCAAATTTATCACTTAGTGAAAGACTCCTGAGTAAACGCAAGATTTTATTTTTCAGCTTGTGTTAATTGTGTCCGTTGGTCACCAAATGGTCGTTGGTTAGCCTCTGCTGGGATGGATAAAGTTATAATGCTCTGGTCAAAAACAGCGTAAGTTGAGTATTGCTTTCACCTACTTTAGTTTTTATCATTGTCGTCTTATCAGCTGGCGTGTTTGTATAGTTTATTCAGTGTGACTGACTGACTGGTTTCAAAATAGAACTTTGCACAGATGTGCAGTAGTTCGAGTTACCATACTCCATGTAGTACACAAAGCAAGAGAAGAGAGCAAAGAAATGCTCAACAAAAGAGAGATGATAAATAGAAATGTCAGTCAAAAAGAATAGTAATATGGAAGAACAATAGAATTTTATTGGATTTTATTCCGCGCCATTGTATTATTATTATTATAATTGTATCCTTTAATTCCTAGAGGAACATAGGGCTTCAGCCGTGCGTCTCCATTGCGTTCGGTTCTCTGCTAGCGTCTTCACTTGGCTCCATGTCTGCCCACACGTTTTCATCTCTTCACACGACTTCCTCCATGTCACCCCACTCTCGCACTGACGACCAACTCGCCGCTTCTCTTTCGGGTTCCACTCGAGCAATGGCTTGTCTAGTGATATCACTTGATGGTTTCCTCAGAGTATGGCCAATCCATCTCCATTTCTTCCTGCCTATTTGTTTCACAATCGGTTCCTGGTTGGTTCGCTCCCAGACATCTCTGTTGGTGGTCTTTTCTGGCCATCTGATCTTGAGTATTGAGCGAAGACAACTGTTAATGAAGGTCTGTAGTTTGTTTGAGATGCTCTTTATGACGCGCAGTGCAAGTCTCTGATCCGTATAGTAGCACTGACTTCACATTGTAGTTGAAAATCCGGATCTTATTTTCGATGCTCAGTGCCGTTGACTTCCACAGAGACTTGAGAGTAGTGAAAGCTTGTCTTGCTTTTCCGATTCTTGCTTTGATATCCTCGTCAGTTCCGCCTGTAGTTGAAACGATGCTTCTCTGGTAGGTAGGTAAAAGAGGTTGTTTCTTTCAGGTTCCTCCCATTTATGCTGATTGTTGTCTGTTGTTGTTGCTGTTGCTGTTGGTGGTGTCGCCCAGGAATCTTCATTACCTCTGTTTTCTCTATGTTCACCTGAAGTCCTATCTTTGATGCGCCATTGTATGGTTATATGTTAATACATACACTGCAACAACCACACTTTCTTCTAGATTAAATAACTTGGTAGGGTGAGTCATTCTTTATTACTTTACTTCTTTGTGTTCCCAGTGGAAGATTCAGCGGCAGAGGTGCATTTCTACAGGATAGGGTTGCTAGCCTGATGCCCAACCCTACCTGTTTACCGGGCTTACTACTAGCTAAGCGAGATGAAAGGAGTGTGTCGGTCGGGGATCGAACTCCTGACCATTTGTGTGGCTGGCCAAGTGTTCTACCATTGAACCATCGACGTCACGAAAAAAATATGGAACGCTTCACAACTGTGTGTGTCATTTGCTAAGTCATTCTAGGTCCAGCTAAATTCTTATGTTCCGATAATCTAGGCTACTTTGACCTATATAGCTGACTTCACATTCATCACATGGTATTTGGTAAATAATATTATTTTGCTTAAATGAATATACCGGGTCTTTGGGCTGAGAAAGATTTTTTCTCTGAGTCAGTTGGTAGGTTTAGCTGCCAAACTAATTCCAACATTATTAAAAATCCTACGTAGGACCTCTGATGTCGCTTCTTTATATGGCATCACTACCGAGAATTTTAACTTATTATTATTTTCACTACTACTTTTATTTTTCTTATGGTTCTTCATACATATTTGAATAAATTCCGGTAGTTATTCAATAACAGCGTTTTCCTTTTTGTTCTTTGATTTCCCTATATAAATCTTCTGAATTACAAGTTTCGTTCTTCGTCTGATTACACACAAACATTTAACTAAACTTGCCTTTATTAATTTTAAGTGGGATGAATTAAAGTATAAGTATTTATTAGAATTTGTCAGAGTACTAGATCAGCTGAGGGTTTTTTTAGTCGAATTCATAATCGTATTTATAGGCTGTTTTTTAATCTTCTCATATCGACCTTGTTGACATTATCTGATATCTCCAGGATCACTCTTGTCTGACTTAGCAATTATTATATTCTTATAATTCGGGCAGCTTTTTGGAGCTGTTATTTCTTGCTATCGTGAGTTCCCCCCCCCACTTTCTTCTACTCCATTGCCTTGTGAATCAGACTTCAAGTCAAAGTTTCCGTGATCGGCCTCTTAACACAACCGTCTGGGTGTCCAAGTACTACTCTAGTCCTCACACACAAGCTATGGAATTCTTTGTGGTGTACCCGTTAACGCCCATAGTTTCCCAAGTTTTCATTTTAATATTTAATCATAGTAATCTTTTTGTTATTTCCTATGCACCAATGAAGCAATACCTAGTTTTAATAAAATATGATGTGTAACTGTGGTTTTCTGTCTTCACAGTGTTACTTCCCGTCCAATTCAAGTATTTGGGTCGAAAGAACCAACAAAGTTTACTGAACATTGGCGTTGTGTATCAACACTTCGTGGCCATAGTGGAGGTAAATTGTTGATTTTTAGATTATTTTTTATGCAATTTGGTATGAAACCAGTTTAATTAGCACGTTGGTTGCTATGACCAAGAATTGAAATTAGTGGCAAATGCTCTGCAATTTCCTTCTTTCTTTCCTTTCTAAAAGTAACCTGAAGGGATGCATATTGATTGATCTTTGCAATTGTGCTTGCCTGCTTTCTGGATGATAGCCCTCATTCATTCTATCTTTATTTCATATATATATATATATATATATATATATATATAATTCTTTTATTATTGTTGTGTGGCGGATTTCTGGGTGCCCCATATGGTACCAGGTTTTTGTCGTTGTAAATAAATCGCCTGTCTTTATAAGGTGTACGAAAATGAGTGATTCCAAGTGACCGTTTTCTGTGTAGGGCATCTCTTTTACTCAGGCAGGTTTTCAGTAGTAAGCTTTTATGCGCTATCCTATTCGATTTTACTGGTTCATTTTTGGTCCAGTGGTAGAACGCTCACCAACCATGCTCATGGTCAGGAGTTTGATCCTCGACCTACACACTCCTAAAACCATTGCTCCTGAAACTTCAAAGCTCTAGCTTGAAGCTCCATGTTCCACTTTGAACGTTAAGGAATAAAAAATCCCTAAAATTAGGGGATCATTGCAAACATTTTTGAAGTAGAAAACTTCATAGTCAAGTACCTGTGGTTAATGTGATGGTGTGGTGTGTGCTACGGATAGGATTTATCGGCAGTATATAAAAAGATGTTCATCGGTCGGCATAAAAACATCAAATAGCAGTGAGATAGATTTGATTTCAGAGAAGGCAAGTGATACAGCGTTGCGGAGATGCATAGGAGGCGTGAAGGAAACAAAAAGAAACACAATACGAAGGCGAGAAGTAATACAGCACAGGAGATCTGTACAAATGGTGCGTTGAAGACAAGGTGTGCATAATTTGGCTATATATAGGAGATACCAAATTGCAAGTAAACATTCCCATAGCCAGTCTTTCATCTTCTGGCGTTACGATGGGGTTTGTTTAACAGAATTACATTATCGTTACAAAAATTCTCACGATTATTTTACCGTCTAACTAGCCACAAAGTGCAGCAGTACATCACGGTGGAACGTGGCTAAAGACAAAACAAAATTATGAATGGCACCTGAATTCATTAAATTATATATAACAATAGAAATAAACGATAAAGACATTAAAAACATATGATGCCAAGAAAATAGCTCAAATGGGTCTGTGCCATTGCGGTCTGTTTTAACTCATCCCCTGGAGTCTGCAACCTTCAGTTTTAGGTGTTCTTTGGAATCTAATCAGGCAATCTAGCGTTATCATTCGTCCTCAGAACAACAGTCAAGGTGTACCATGCTTTGTTTTACTCACCATTAGAAGGTAAGATTCACTTGATGTAAGCACGCAAATTTAATGGTGTTATTTATTGGCTTAAGTACCCAGTTCTTAAAATTTACTCTTTTCACTTCACTGAAGACCACTAGATGGTACGACAAAAAATTATGCACAGAGCTTGATGCAAAAATCGTTTCTTAGAGTTACATTGTTATTCTGTTATTATAGGCTTGGAATCAGGGTTTTGCAGCTCCCCTAGGTAAACTTACACGTGCGTCGGTGCGGTTGTAAACATGAAACGTCCTCATTCACCCTTTCATTTTTGTGAGGAATACCCGTGAAGGCAGTGGTTTCGGCTTACCTGGTAGAGGCTATTAACGCGTGGCTACACGAGAGGAACACTGAAGTCTACATCTAGTCGGTCTGACCAGGTCGTTTACAAGAGTTCGTATATGTTTGAAAAAGGTGAAATGTCACTCAACTTGCCACTTGGAATTCTTTGTGGTTGACAATAAGTTACACTTATTGTGTGTAAGGAATATAGTAATATTACCTGGCTGTCTATACCTCGATAGTTGGGGCAGGATTTAAACCTGTGACTCACTGGTTGAAAGTCGAGCTCCTAGACCAGTGAGCCACAGCTCCACAGCCGTGCCAAGTCGTTTATAGGGGGTGGAGAGGGCTTGTGAATGTGTACTAGAATAAGGGAAAGATAGCTAAGTGAATTATTATTTAATTGTATAAAAAGTACCCTAATACCTCTGAAAATCTGAACCGTGTACATGGAAGCGATTTGTGCAATCCCTTTTGCTACCATGGCTGTAAACCTTTTGTGTCTTTTTACGTGTAATTCATACTCATTCGATTTGTTTCCTCTTCTTTTTACCGTTTCAAACTCTTAACTTCAAAATATATACTATATACATATTTTGAATGTATGAATATTATTCCTATTCCCAAGTACTTGCAGTTCTCATAGTAATCATTTTTGAGCGATATTCACCTTTTAGTGTTTCTAGATTACGTAAGACTAGTTAACTAAGTTTCATAGTTTACTCAAATTATTTTCCCAGGTATGTTTTGTTATCAACTAATAATAATAAGTGACCTTTGCAGGCGTTTCTATGACCTTTTAAAACACTATATAACTAAACTGTATGGCTTTTTCTAGTGACGTTACAAAGGGGGATCTGTCTGTCTGTCTGGATTCAACATAGAACTTGGCACCGAAGTGCAGCAGTTCGAGTTGCCACGTTCCAAATAGCACACAAAGGTAGACAAGGAGATGACTGAAGAGAATGAATAGAGTTTTGACAAGTATAAGAGTGAAACAGAATGAGTAGTGGTAGAAAGGAATATGAAAGATTACAGAGACTGAATACATCTGCACCATTGACAACGATTTTGAGCCATGTCACCTATTGTCTCCAGTCATTGATTCTTAGAGTCCCGAGGGCGGGCCCCAACCCGGAAGTCTGCATCTCCCTACCTGACTTGACTCAGTTTAACTGTCAAGGATTTCATGGATTGATGCGATGTTTTTGTTTGGCCACCACTTACTCCTCTTTTCCAACCTGCACCTATATCAGCTAGTAATGCCCGTCGGTGGAGGCGATGGTTAGGCATGAGCAGCACGTGACCTAGCCATCTCAATCTATGTAACTTTATAGCCTATTCGATTGATTTTCCCTCTTTGCCCAACACTCTACGCCTAACGTCAACATTACTTACCTTATTATGCCACCTCCTAACGTGAGAAAGAGATCGTAGACATCTATGATCAAAAACAGTCAACCTTTTCATGTCTTCAACTCGTATTGGCCATGTTTCAGAGCCATAGAGAAGGACGAAGCGAACTGGTGAGCATTACACACGTCCCTTGGTTGATAGCCAAATGTCACGCCTACGCCAGAGATGGCGTAAGTTAGCGAAATCAGCTCGAGCCTTTTGGATCCCTGCTGAGATTTCATCACCAATCAATCCGTTGGTGCTGATACAACTTCCCAAATAGGTGAAGTGGTCAACATGTTCTATCACTTCACTCCCTATCACTAAGCTAGGGGTTGACTTAGTCCAGTCCTGCAGCAGCATCTTACATTTTACAGGGCGAATCGCATACCAGACATACGAAGATTGCTGCTCAAGGTGTTCAGGAGACTGCATTTTGTCAGCATCCTCCCCTAACAGGACAATGTCATCTGCATATTCTAAGTCCATAAGATTATTCCCTGGTAACAAGTCGATTCCTAAGTCATTAATTTCAGTTAAGGATACTTCCATTAGCATATCTATGATGAAGTTAAACAGAAATGGGAAAGTAGACATCCCTGACGGACAACACTGGATGTTATCAATTCAGATGACAATTCCCCATAAGCCCTTACACGGCTACGTGAGGTTGAGTAGAGTGCCTTGATTAGTGCAATGTACTTTCTTGGCACTCCTTATACAGTCAAACATTGCCATAGTACCTCTCGATCCACGGAGTCGAAGGCCGCTTTCAAGTCAAGAAATATGGCAATTGTTGGACGCCGAGAAGTGTGTCTATGTTCTAGGATCTGTCGGAGAGTAAAGATATGATCTATGCACCCTCTACCTGGCCTAAAGCCTGCTTGATTTTCCCTCGTTTGTTCCTCCGTGAGTTCTTCTTAGTCTGTGCATGATTACTGAGCCTAGGATTTTAGCGACTTTGTTCGTCAGGCTGATCCCCCTGTGATTATCACATGAGGATTTGTCTCCCTTCTTGAATATTAGTATAATAAGTACAAAGGGAAATATTCTTTCTTGACCACCTGCGTCGTTTTAATTTATTCGTCTGTGTTAATTATCTAGTGTAGTATAGTTCAGTGTAGCGTTTCAGTGTCATTTTTGCTTGTAAAAGATAATTTTCAGAAAACACCCATCCAGATTTGAATATAAGAACAACAAAGTTCAACGAAGAGTTTCTTTTTGGCGAATTCATTCACTCAGCTGTACAATCGCATTTATCTATAATTATTTTTTACGTGTGTGTGTGTACATTAGGAATCCCAGTGGGTGCGTACTGCCGATGATTCCCAAGCTAGGATGAAACAGCAGCTGTCCAGTACTCCCTGGTTTTCAATGGTTCTCTAACTGATATCAGTCCGTGATCAACTCGTAAAACATAACTAATCCTTACAAACCAAACTATAGAAAACAAAAATAAAATAAAAATTAGTTGGGGTTATTGTTTAGGTCATCAAAATGTTTTAAAAATTTGATGAATACTCAAATTGTAACTAGGGTGTGAAGGGTTGTGTAACATGAAAGACAGCTAGAATAATAGGATGTTAATGAAACAGGATGGAGACAAGTGTCCAAAATAAATTATGTAATGGATAAAAAGAGTAAATAAAGGGTCGGTTAAGAAAAAGATATTAGTAAAAGTTATACGAAAATTCAAAAACGCATTATTAACAAAGTAGTCGAACTTGGAATCATACCCAATGTAGATGGAGGCGGTAGAGAAGTTTGTTCTGTGTGCACATAAATCAGCGTTTTCCATCCAGATCGCTGAGACCTCACCATTGCAAAGTATACGGAAGCTTACCGTTTTCGGGAGGCTTCTTTTCACTTTGTAGATGACTTTAAATGAATTCTCCGTGCATATTGAGTGACCAGTGTTGAATATATATGTTCAATTGTAACAACTGTAACCAATCAACCAAATCCCTACAAACCAATACTTGAATATCAATGAGATGCTCACTGGTGGGTAGTTACCTGGGGTTCCAGTGGGAAGTAACCAAAAAAAAAGTCGTGACCAGCAGAGTGCAGCAGGTCGGGTGTGAGGACAAATACTCACCGAAGACATTGGCTAGCGGTTGTGCTTTAACGTGAATTGGCAGAAGTTAGAATTCATGGGCCATTGGATCGAGTCCCAGTGGCTTAATGGTATACGAAGTCGCTAGCCTTGTAACCAGAAGGTCCTGGGTTCGAACCCCGGTGGGTGCGTACTGATGAAGCTTCCCAAAACTAGGAAGAAACAGCTATCCATTACTCCCAGGTTTTCCAATGGTTCTCTAACCAATGTCAGCTCATAATGAAATCCTGTAACCAATCAACCAAACCCCTACAAACCAATACTTGAGTAACACTCTTTATTGATCCACTGTTACCTTTTCGTAGCAAAGCAGAATAATGTTCTTTGACTCTTTTGGATAAAACATGCATCGAACGCCGTATATTTCTCTCTCCACATGAGCGAGTAAATTGGTAGATACACACAGAAGTGGTCAAATCCGATTGTTGATCTTTGGAGTTGTTGAAGAACAATGGGCGACTTGAAAATACCAATCGTACCGTAGCAGCAGTAGGAAATGTTTTGATTTCAGGGCGTTGGATACTCTTCTCTTTAGGATGTCAACTCAATAAAATGAGTGGTGTTTTATTCTTTATCCCCTTTTTTCCCTCTTATTTTTCTCTTAGATATTATTGACCTGTCTTGGTCTCATGACGGTAATCGGTTGGCTTCAACTAGTGTTGACAACTCAGTGATTGTATGGTGTCGTCAAAAACTTCCCAATGGAGGAGGTTATGCAAATAACTCGTTTTGTATACAAGCAACACTGAGGGGTCATCAAGGTTTTGTTAAAGGCGTTACTTGGGATCCAGTTGGGCGTTATTTAGCCAGCCAAGGAGATGATTTAACTGTAAAGATATGGCGCACCGCAGATTGGCAAGAGGAGGCCACTATTAGTAAACCATTTGCCAAGGTAAAACTCATATATTCTTTGTCTGAATATGCAGAGTAATTAGCAGACGTTAATACTGTCTTTTATTACTCTTCACAGATCATTCTTAAATGATTCCGTTTCCTTAGAGATTGAACTTCTGCATATTTTAATTCATGTTACGGATATTGTATTCAACATTTTTGGCCAACCGAAACGTGTTACGCGATTGGAAAACCTGGCAGGAGTACGTTTACTCGTCTGTAACACTAGCTGGCGGTTGCGCAAAATTTATATCACCAATTGGCAGCAGTTGAAATTCATCGGGTCCCAGTTACTGGATGGTCTATGGGCGCTCGCCTAGTAACCGGAAGGTCCTGGGTGTGAACCCTGGTGGGAGCGTACTGCCGAAGAGTGACAATACTCTCAGTTTTTCCAGTGGTTCTCTAACTGATGTCAGGATTGGTCAATCCTGTGACCAATCCAATTCCTGCAAACTAGCACTCGATATATATATATATATATATAATACAAGCCTGGTACATTATGCACTGTATTGAGATGTGTCACACAAAGTCTCAGTTTGTACGACGGCTGGGATACCGCCACAACGCCCAGACCAAAGTAGATGGTTGTCTTAAGGGGCTACTCATGATCCCTTGTCTGTAAGTCTGATCTCCAAGTCAGTAGAACAGCGTTCCCACGGTTTCCTGTGACCAAGACAGATTCATTCACCATTTGACGCCTTTGGATTCTGGAGCTCGGGTACACTATCGATTCTAAATCATCGTAGGCAGACCTGCTTATCCCCCACTCCGGTAGTAACCACCTTTCACTTTTGTGATGAATATTCCCGCCTGTTGAAGGCAGTTAAAAGGAACGCATAGCTACATGAGAGAATTTCGGGTGGAAGACCGAAGTCTACCTATTCTTGGCCGTAACGGCACGTTTATTCAGGCAATTACCAGTAATGGCATTTGGATGCATTAAAAAAGCGAACGTTTCATACCTAAAATGTAAATATTGAAATTTTACTGCATTTTCCCCTAGGCTAGTGGACAAAGTCAAGTAATGCGTTTATCATGGAGTTTAGATGGTTCAACTTTGGCTTCACCACATGCTGTAAATAATGGATTCCCGACTGCTAAACTTATCGATCGAAATAATTGGACACCATGTTTAGATCTTGTTGGACATCGGAAACATGTTATATGCGCGGTAAGTGATACCTTATATCTTCAAACCTAACATTCATCTTGTACGCTGTATATTTGAAAAACAAATTTATATATGGTTCTTAGTTGACAAGTTCAATTGATCTTCCGGTGTATATATGATTATTACTATTATTATTATGGTTTCTTTTACTCCAAGAGGAACGTAGGGCTCCAGCAGCACATCTCCATTTCATTGTGTTGTAATTGGAAGGAAGACTGCCCATAGGCTTTCATTTCCTCCCCACACTATCTCCTCCATGCCTCCCCCACGCCTAATACGTCACTTCTTATTCGAGTTCTCCTCGGTGGCCTGGCGTACGATGTTGTCGAATGGTCTCCTCAGCTTATGCCCAATCCATCTCCATTTCATTCCGTATATTTGTATGGCGATAGGTTCTTTGTTAGTTCGTTGTCAAAGTTCATGTTTTTGCTAATCTCTTCTTCTCTGTCCATTTAATTTTTGACGTCGAGTGAAGGCAGTTGTTAATGACTGTCTGCAGTAGCCTGTTGGAAATCCTTTTGGTGGTGCTCGCGACAAGTCTCTGAACCATATAGTAGAATAGACTTGAGATTAGTGTTGAAGATGCGGATTTTCTTCCTTATATGTGGAGTACGGTGGATTTCCACAGTGATATCAGATTCATGGACGTCTTTCCTAGCTGCCTTTGACATCCTCATCTGTGCCTCCTATAGTGGTTATGATGCTGCCCAGGTAAATGAATCAAGTGGACCGTCTTCAAATCTATCCCGTTGGTGGTGATTGGTGTTTGTAGGTTAGTTGTCTTCATCACCTTTCATTTGCCTTTACTGGCCAATTGTATTTTAATGTCTGTCTGTCTGTCTGTCTGTTATTGACATAGAACTTTGCACATATGTGCGGCAGTTCAAGTCACCACACTCCATGTAACACACGAAGCAAGAGAAGAAAGTAGGAGAAATGCATATTAGAGACAGTAAACGGAGGTGCGAGACAAAGGAATAGTAATAACGAAAAACAAAACAGTTTCATTGGAAATCATAAGTCACAAGGAGTGGATGCATCTGCGCCAGCCATTGAGAACGATTTTGAGCCATGTCACCAATTGTTTCCATTGGTTTTTACCGTCCCGAGGACCCCAACCAGTCAGGAAGTCTACACCTTCCTACGTGGCCTAGACTAACTGTTGTAGATTTGATTGACTGGTGCCATGTTTTGGTTTGACCGCCGCTAGCTCTTTTCCAGCCTGACCCTATATCAGCTAACATTGACCATCGAGGAAGCCGATCGATGGCTAATCATACGTAACACATGTCCTAACCATCTCAGTCGATGTAATTTCACAGCCTCGTCGGTTGATTTACCCGCCTTACCTAGTACTCGACGCCTAACCTCAATGTTGCTCACCTTATTATACCACCACGTGACACGGGAGATAGAACGCAGGTACCTATGATCAAAGACAGCTAACCGGCCTTTTCATGCCTTCTACTCTCAATGGCCATGTCTCACTTGCAGCCATAAAGGAGGATGGAGTGGACTGCTGAGCAGTACACACGCCCTTTGGTCGATAGTCGGATATCACGTCTACACCAGAGACGGCGTAAACTGGCATATGCGAAATTAGCCCTTTGTATTCGTGCTGAGACTTCGTCGGAGATCAACCGGTTGGGGCTGATGGTACTTCCCAAGTAAGTGAAGCGGTCAACGTGCTCTACCACTTCACTTCCTATTTCTAATCTAGGAGTCGGTGTAGTCCAATCCTGTAACATCATCTTGCATTTGGAGGGAGCGAATGGCATGCCAAACATTCTTAGATTGCAGCTCAAGGTGTTCAGAAGACTCTGCATTTTGTAAGCGTCCTCGCCTAGAAGGACTATATCGTCTGCATATTCTAAGTCGACGAGATTATTCCCTGGTAGCGAGTCAATCCCTGAGTCTCTGAAGTGTGTTAGGGTTAAGTCCATTAGTACGTCTATGATGAAGTTGAATAGAAATGGGGATAATGGGCATCCTTGACGGACGCCACTAGTCGTCACCACTTCAGATGACAACTCGCCATAAGCTCTCACCTGGCTGCATGAGTACGAGTAGAGTGCCTTAATCAGTGCTATGTATTTTCTCGGCATTTTAATATTCGTGGATTTAAAACTGTAGAGCCAGAAGGAAGAAGTTATCGAAAACAACTGTTAGCTGAGAAATCATCTTCTTCCTGCAATAGTAATAGTAAAATGGGGATGAATTGAAAGTGTGAATATATATGGTTCACGAAATAACCGCTGTATAAGGTTTTGTGATGGCATTGTTCTACTGCACTCCTTATCAATTTGTCGTCCTATATTTCATATAACGTCTCAGATGCTACCAGCATTCTCATCAAACTAAAAGAGATATGCACTAGGCATTTGACTTAAATTCTTAGCTACAAGACATCAAAATAACTTCAGGCACTGCTTTTCTATGATTTTTAAGGACCAAAATAGGTCTTCCTTCAGATTCTCTAGTTAATATGCACCATTGGTTTTACTACCTCCTCCCCCCCCCTCAGGGGAACCACTCATGCCCATCACAATGCGTTGATTAGCATCAACCTTGTGGATTCACTTTTGTCCATAGGCAGTAGATAACACTTAATGAATACGCGTAACCATTTGGTAAGATTTTGATGTAATGACCAGATCCCCCTTCCCCCGCCCCAACCTACGTTGTTTGAAGTCGTAAGAATAGACACTTTTGGAGAATCTCCATCTCTGGAACAGATGTCTAAAAGTAGGCCGAAACAACTGCCTACATTTTGTTAGCAAAGTTAAACTTTAAGCACCACTAACTGCCAATGGAATGTGGCCGCACCAATGACCTTGAAACACTCACTGAGCAAGTTAGTGAAACCTGGCAAATTATGCTGTCGTCATCAATAAAATATGCTCATCGAAGTGTTATGTTATCTCCTAAATGCAATATCAGGCAAGTTACAGCTTAGATTTGTGAAAGATTAAGTTACGCTTTAAGCAGGGGACAAGGTTAGGGTTAGGTTGACCTAATAAAAGCGACATTAGGGTTGGTTCGAGTTAGATTATAGTTAGTTTAGGGATATTTTCACGTTAGAGTTAGGTTCATGAAAGACTACGGTTATTGTTAGGGCTAGAAGACCTAACTAATTGCATGCATAGAATGTGGTTAAATTACTCTGTTGATATAGCAGTAGAACTTGTGCATTGTGGTGGTAGAGTATAATTCCATTGTGGGTAACATTTATTTTGATAAAGTCTCACAGTGGTGTTATATAGCAATATTTACTGATGACGTTTCGAGCACAATTTATTGTTCAGGAAATATTACTGCATTACACCATGAGACTTCATCAAAATAAATTGTACTCACAATGGAATTATGTTGTGTTGATACCCCAACCTAAAACTGTTAGGTATTTTTTATCACATGTAAGAGGAAGGTATCCTCTGTAACACTTTTCTACAGTTTTTATGTTGTTTTTTTTCCATAAATATATGTATTCCATACACAAAAATGCCTCCTTCACGTGATTGGTGCGTTCGAGGTCACATTCACTGATTGGTAGTTAGTGGTGCTTACAGTTTAACTTTGGCATTTTGTTCTCTAAACTTGGTATGGGGTGTTTTTTTTTCTTAATACTTATAATGAATTCTGCAAGTTGAAATTTATCAAAGGAATAAAAAATTACAAATATTCTGGTGTAACAATTAACTGTGAGTACTGGTCATATATGCACTTTTTGAATCCTAAACTTTTTCTCCCCATTTTTTTGCACTATTCAGTTTTGTGGTATAATTTATAATGCAATTATAATAATACTTCTTTCTTTTTAGCGCTATAATCCAAATGTTTTGCGGAAAGAAGATGGATCTGGGAATCCGGTATGTTCATTATATCTTTATGCATTATGGTGTTTGATGATAGTCATATAAAAGTGTTTCTATTAGTGTTACATCATTAAAAGATTTTATTTCATACTGCTAATTTTAAATGGACAGATAAGATTAGAGAAATGCTATGATGATAGATAGTTGGAGGTAATCGGCTACAGGAAGCCTTGGACCTAGGTTTCGTGCTAGTTGGCACTCACCAGTCAGCAAGGCGTATCTGCAACCTTGAAGGAACTCATGTCCCTTCTGAGATTCGAACCCGCGTCACTCAGTGCTGCAGTCAGAGACGTTACCACTGAGCTATTCAGGCTCGCGATTGACCTCCTGTAGGACTGTAGTGGGTATTTTCATTGGACACTAGTAACTAGTGTGACGTGTCTAGTCCTTTCTTTGGTGCAGACTGAATTCTATCAGTCAGTTTTGTTTGCAATGTGGCCACCATTCTAGGTTGCTCGCCATCATGGTGCACATTGATTTGATGATATTAGATAGCTGGAGAACGCCTTGCTGATGAGTGCCAGCTAGCATGAAACCTAAGTCCAAGGCTTCCTGCCGATTGCCTCCAAACATCTAATATCATCAAATCAATGTGCACCGTGATGGCGATCTACCTAGAATGGTGGCCACATTGCAAACCAAACCTGACTGATAGAATTCAGTCTGCACCAAAGAAAGGACTAGACACATCACACTAGTTACTAGTGTCCAATCAAAATAAGAGAAATGTGCCTGTAGTTTATTCACTACTTTGAGGTAATAGTTTTATAACTGGAAAGATATTTCCAGACTTGTTTTATGGTGGTGGTCAAGTATGATGCATTTTTAAAACTGTTGAATATGTGATTTTTTTTCCATTCCGTACATTCCTAGCGGGACATAAGACTTCAAGCTGGGAAGTTTTAGGAGCTGTTGTATTATTTTTATGAGTTGGAGTTGCTAGCTAGACTTATGATCAATTTTTCCTCTTCTGTCGGCTTACTACTAAACTAGACGAGGTTTTGCAATGACTGCATCGGCTGGGAATCGAATTTAGAACTTCCACATCCATGGTGGGCATACTTATCGGTAGCATTTCTGATTGATTGAAAAACAAAAGGACGATGTAAAGACGTATTACTTTGCCAGAGCAGTTAGCCCTAAGTAATGATACGATGGTTAAAAAATAAACCTGCCTTGTTTCCCTATCCATTTTGAAGCTATGAATGTCTAACCTCCAGGAAACCTTTGGAGGCAACCTGAGTCACCGCAGGTTATTGAGATAGCACCTTATTCACAGAGGTGTATGGTACCCATATGTTGATGACATCTCTGACTCGGGATGCTGTCACAATCAGGATTCATGTTTCATACTGAATTGTTTACTATTCTCCATTCAAAGGAGGAGGAGTTCCCACGTTCCCAGTGGAACATAGGGCTTCAAGCTAATGGCTTGAAGTTTCTGTAGCAGTGTTTATTTTTACAGGATGAGGTTGCTAGCCTCATGCCCAACCTTTCCTCTTCACCAGCTTTTAGTTCTGGCTTAGCGAGGTAAAGGAGTGCGCCAGCCGGGGATCGAGCCCTGGACCATGTGCATAGTCGGCAAGCGTCCTAACCGCTATGCCACTGACGCACCACTATTCTCCATAAGTATCATGATATGTAGAGATTTGGGTCATTGGCTTCAGTAGTTAAATTTCAACCAAACGGATCAGATAATACAAGAATGATCTAATATAGCAACTAAGGTAAGGTTGATGACGGAATATACTTGACTAAAATGTTTCAACTTAGGTTAGGATAGCAACAGAGGTAATTACAGGTAGAGATTAAGTAGAGGTAGGGTAGAGAATAATGCCATTTAAATTAGAACTAAAATTGAGCAAATAAGTTGGGTGACGTAACACAAATGACTAGACATTGAGCGTTGGTCAAGTCAGTAACAGTGGTAGTGAGGTGTAAAAATTAAATCGGGCGGAGGTAGAGAAGAAGGAAGTTGAAAATGTAAAATATTACAATTGAGAAGGCAAAATAATACTAATGAAGAGACAGAAGAGAAAAAAATTAAGTAGAATTTACCTGTCGGGTAATAAGATAGATTACGTCCATTTCAAGTGTAGTGATTGAACGAACTTCTTCTGTATGCAGAGTTCAGGACTTAGCAAGTGAATCGCCATTGCTTCTGCAGTTTGAAGAAGTCTGATTCGTACACCTTTAGGAAGACTGCTTCGTATTCTGTAGACGACTTTGAAGTTTGTTTGGAGTGTAGCTTGGTGTCCGGAATCTATCAGATGTTCTGAGATAGAGCTGAGGGGGCATCGTTTTTCTCCTTTGTAAAACCATGTTGGTAAGTGTTCGGTGATACGTTTGGAAAGCGAACGCTGGGTACGGCCGACATACCTGGCTCCACAGGAGCAGGTGAATTGGTAGATACACATTGATGAGGCCAGCAGTGGTAGCTTATCCTTCACGTTCATACGAATCATAGGTTTTGTGGAGAAGGTTAGTCGTAGTTCAGCTTCGAAGAAGGTTTTCTTAAGTGAACGCAACAGTCGATTTTTCAGTGTTTCCGCAGATAAATCTCTATTGAATTGAAGGTTCATGTAGAGTAGTTTTTTTGGGACGCTAAGCGTGGGCGGCTTTCGCGGTCTAGGATTCATGGATTTTGCAATAAATCGTTCTGAATAACAATTCTCGACGAGGATTCTCTTGAGATTGTCCAGTTCGTCTTCTATGGTGTCCGGGGTGCAAATTCTACGAACTCTGTAACTGAGTGAACAGATCCGGCTTCGTTTGGTGTATGGAGTTACCCAACTGTGAAAGTTAGTAAGCTGTCCGTTCCACGTCGACTTTCTGTAGATAGATCTTTTCAGTGCTCCATCCTGTTCTCATCTTGTTAGTTGAACGTCAAGAAAGGATATTTTGAAGTTGGACTCTTTCTATTTTAGCCTGAGAAACTAACTAGGTAATATCATCATCAACCTTCACACAATAAGAAGTGTCGTTCATAGCCTGAAGTATGATAAACTTGTTCCAGGAGTTAAATGGAAACATTCACATCAAACTGATTTCAGTTAGAAAATCACTGAAAACCAACAGGGAGTACCTTACATCTGTTTCATCCTAGTTCGGTACTCTTCGGTTGCATATGTATCCATATCTCCACAAAGGATCCAATACAGGACCCCCAGGTTATAAGGCAACCTCGTTGATCATTCCGCCACTGGTGAAACGGTAGAAGACAAAAGACTTCAACGCACCATTTGCACAGATCTTCCGTGTTGTGGTACTTCTGGTCTTCATATAGTGTTTCTTTGTGTTGCTTTCATGTCTCCCATGCATCTCCACAACTCTGTATCATTTTCTTTCTTTGATATCAAATCTATCTCCCTGCTATTTGATGTTTTTATGCCGGCATATGAGCGTCTCTTTATATACTACTGATAAATTTTATCAGTAGCACTTGCCACACTTGGGCGTTATTTGATTACCTATCCACTCTAACTTCCACCATTCAGTTTTATTGTGTTTATCTTTATATCGTTTGTTGTTAGTATCAATAAAATCAATGAGCAGCCTTCTTGTTATTACTTTCAGGCTATAGTAAGTGTTTTCAGTGTTTTATCCTGTTCTATCTTTCATGTGGATTAGTTAACACATGGATTATCTCTCTCTCTCTCTCCCTCTCTGTCTAATGAGCATTTCTGTCTGTACAACCAGAAGTAATTAATCTCTGTAATCAATTAGAATTTAATAGTCGTGATTTCTGATTGAAACGAAATTGAAATCGAACGTTATGTATTAGTAATATGTGTGTATTTATACTTTCGCCTCATATCCTTCATGTGATGAAGCCATTGTGTTTTATTTCTAATCGCCAGTGATAATAACTCAGGTGATTTATACGGAATCACAGCGGTTTCATTGAAGATTAGTTACGAACTAATTTTAGTTAAGGAAGGATCATTGGAAAACTAGAGAGTACTGGACAGCTGTTTCGTCCCCGTTTAGGACTCTTCAGCTATAGGCACCCACTGGGGTTCGAACCCAGGACCTTCCGGCTACAAGGGGAGCTTGTAGAGCATTTAGTCACCGGGACCCATTCCAATAGCCCTTGAAGTCTAACTTCCGCCAATTCGCGATGTTTGTGGCGCAACCTCAAGCGAATGACCTGTTGGATGCCGCTAGTTACGACTTCTCACTGGAAATCCAGGTAACTTCCCCCATAGAGCCAAGCGCTACTAACCAATAAAGTCCTTATTTTTAAATGTGTCTGTATATGTGGAAATAAATGATCCGTATATTCTTGATTAAAGTGTTGTCTAACTTTTCCATGATGTATTTTGTGGAGAACAGATCGGTTTCAGTGTAGAATCCCTTTTGCAAATGGGTGTCAACTATAGAATCATTAAAAAAGCAGGAATATTGAATAAATGTTATGTCATAATTTTGCACTTTCTGGTGGTGTGCACCAATGATTTGGGGACTGTTGGGTTTACCAATCAACTACACAGGGTCTAAGTATAATGACGTATAATTCAATAACTGTTTACTTCGAAATATACCATCACCTTTATTCAATACTGCTACTGAGGAACGATCCTCGCACGTGTACCAGTTAGCTGTACCAGTGCTGCTTAAAACTTCGAGAAATATACGTCATGACAAATACTCAGATTTCAGGCTTTTCGGGTGTCTGCATTTAACTTGACGTTTACTAAAATTTCATACCTCAAAGTACCAGAATTGACTGACTTGTATTCTCATTTGCTTTTGCTTTTCTAGGGGGCTGTTTGTCTTGCTTTGGGAAGCAAGGATCGATCTGTTTCTGTGTGGGTAAGTTACTCGTAGTGTTAGTAGTGAATTGTAACACATTTTTTAAATGAGCTACAGTAGATAAAATGTTTTTGTAAACATTTTTAAACCATTTCCTTGCTTTGCATGCGGAGTATAAGGCTTCAAGCTTGAGTTTTGGAGTCCCAGTGGTGGTGGAGTTGCTAGCCTCACTCCAGTCTTCCCTCTTTACTGGACTGACAACCGGCTAAGCAAGGTTTGAGACTTTGTTGACTGGGAATCGAACCCTTGACCACGTGAGTCTTTGGTGAGCATTCTATTATCACTGAACTACTGGCCATAGGGGCCATTCGTAAACATAACATTGGTATAATGTCAAAGTCATGTAAATAGAATTAGGAGGAACAGTAGTTTGTGATTTTTTGAAGCTTTTCCCACTCTAAAGTTTAGTTTATGAAAAGTCATATGTTGGCTTATCGCAAAGCGAAGTTCACAGTTGTGTTTTGTGCTTATAGGTATTCGCATTTTGTATGTCTAAATTTTTAAGAGGTCTTTCTGCCTCTTTTTCTTATCCCAATCGGCGGTTGAGTGTTAAGTATGGTCTATTTCAGGTTACAATAAGCGGAAAGTGGTGATACTAATTGAGATTTATAACTGAAATTATACTGTTTCATTACAACCTGATTAAAATATATTCATTTCCAACCAACAAAGATCAAGTATATACAGCCTATGACTGACTCATGTTGAGCAGTTGAATAGATATTCTTCAGTATTTGAAGACTTTTGAGTGTCTTCACTCTCGTCTTAATTTGAGTAACTTCCTTAATGCACACAAATTTGAATAAAGCAAAAACAACGTTTTGCACAGAATAAAATGCTACCATCGGCTTCTTATCAGCTTCGTACAACCTAAAAAAGTTAATTAAGTTTATATAGAGAGAAATTTTAACGTATTTGCAAAGATCTGTCTGTCTGTCTGTTTTCCACATAGAACTTTGCACCGATGTGCAGCAGTTCAAGTCGCCCCACTCCATGTAGCACACAAAGCAAGGGAAGAAAGTAAAAAGAAATGCATACTAGAGACAGTATGAGACAAAAGGAATGGTAATAACGAAGAACAATAAAGTTTCATTGGAAATTATAAGTCACAAGGAGTGGATGCATCTAATCCAGCCACTGAGAACGATTTTGAGCCATATCACCAATTGTCTCCAGCAATTGGCTTTTACCGCCAGGAAGTCTACACCTTCCTACTTAGCTTAAACTAACTGTTGTGGATTTCATTGACTGGTGCCATGTTTTGGATTGACCGCCGCTAGCTCTTTTCCAACCTGACCCTATGTCAGCTAACATTTCCCGTTGAGGAAGGCGATGACTAGCGTAGTCATGCATAACACCTGTCCTAATCATCTCAGTTGATGTAGCTTCACAGCCTCGTATATGGATTTCCCCTAATTACCTAGCGCTCGCTCAACTGAGGCATAACCTCAATATTGCTCACCCTATTATACCACCACGTGACATGGGAGATAGAACACAGGCACCTATGATCAAAGACAACCAGCCTGGTTTTTCATGTCTTCCACTCACAATGGCCAGGTCTCACTGCTATCCATAATGGAGGACGGAGTGGACTGCTGAGCAGTACCCATGGCCTTTGGTTGATAGCCAGCCGGATATCACGTCTACGTCAGAGACGGCGTAAACTGGCATATACGAAACGAACTTTCTGTTTCCGTGCTGAGATTTCGTCAGTGACCAATCCGCTGGCGTTGGCTAATGCAACTTCCCAAACAAGTGAAGTGGTCAACGTGCTCTACCACTTGAATCCCTATTTCTAAGCTAGGAGTCAATGTAGTCCAGTCCAGTCCAGTCCTGTAGCATTATCGTACATTTGGCGGGAGCGAACCGCATACCAAACATTAACAGATTGCAGCTCCATATGTTCAGAAGGCTCTGCATTTTTTCAATGTCTTCATCTAGAGGGACTATATCATCTGTATATACTAAGTCAACGAGACTATTCCCTGGTAACATGTCAATCCCTGAGTCGCTGAAGCCAGCAGTTAGGGTTAAGTTCATTAGTGCATCTATAATGAAATTATGAAGGTGACATGATGTCAGTTAAAAAAAGACCCCAAAATTAATAAACAATGCTCAGAAATTCCACTTACTTAAGTTGTACACGGAAAGTTCAAGTTTAAACAAGACAAAACTGAAAAGTAATGTTTGGATACAACGGAAAAGGTGGATAAGTAATCAGTTAGTTACGTAACAGTGTGATGGTGTCAACTCAAACAAAGTTACATTAGAACAGATTGGGAAGAGGTTGAAAACAAAGATTATGTAATTAAATAAAAAGAAAGGTAAAGACATCCACTTATCACAACAAGAAAAGACCGATAACTTCTACTTTCTGAACGCATAGATCGCCTTTTAAAAGTTTGATAGAAACTACTTTGGAGAATATTATCTCACTCAATTTGTGTCTTTACTTTTGCGTCAGATGTACTATCCCTGTACAGATTTAGATTCATTCGCTGGTGTGATATCATCACATCGATCTAGGTTTCATACTTGTTGGCACTTGTCAGCAAGGCATATCTTTAGCCTTGGAGGAATTAATGTTCCTTCTGATATTCCAACCCGCGTCATCCAGTACTACAGTCGGAAACATTACTACTAAGCTGTTTGGGCTCACGATTAACCGCCTATAGGACTGAAATGGATACGTTGATTGGTCACTAAACGAGTAATCAATATCCTGTGACTCACCAGCTAGCTTGGTGATTACATTGCGAACTTGGCTGTTGGAATTGGTTTTATTTATTGTTTATTATTAGAATAAAAACCTGTTACACTATGGATATCAGGAGAGATGGTTCAGGTGGTTGTTTTAAAGGACTATCCTCCGAGACTTTGACTTGAAGTCTGATCAAGAAGATCGTGTAGCAGGGGCAGGAACTACGTTCCCATGATTTCCAATGACTAAAACAGGTTAATACGGATTCTGGAACCCGTGTACACTATAGGTTCTGAACCAGGGTTTCCCAGCTCCCTTAGGTATACCTACACATCCACCTGTCGGGTTGTAAGCATTCGCCCTTTCACTTTTTTGACGAACACCTCTGCCGCTTGAAGCTACTGAATATTGACTTACCTGTCAGAAGCTATGAACGGGTGACCACATGATAGAGTCTTGAGAGAAAGACCAAAGTTTACGTACCCTCGGCCATAATAGGTCGTTTATGGGGCCAGAATTAATTAGTGTGAATTCATTCTGCACAGACGCCAAGGACTGTATGCATGACATTAGTTAATTCCTAGTAACCGATCAGTGTATCATCTTGATTTATTTCTAAAGCTAATCATGCTTTCAAAGTCAGCCTCATATTATTCTGAATACGACCTTTTTCATTACTGTGTTTTATTTTCCAGTCAACAGCTGGTCGTCGCGCTCGAGTTGTTGTTCACGATCTATTTACTAATTCCGTTTGTGATTTAACATGGTAAGTCAGTGTTCCTTTTTTCCTACAATATTTCCCAGTTACTTAAAGGGGAACATTTTTACTTTAAAATAATTTTGGATCTTCAGCTATTTTTGATTCCCATATGCATCGGTGGCACAGCGGTAGAGCGCTCGCCGATCACGCAGGTGGTCCGGGGATCGATCCCCGGTCACTGACGCAGTCCTTTACCTCGCTAAGCCAGTAGTAAGACTGGTAAAGAGGGAAGGTTGGGCATGAGGCTAGCAACCCCATCCCGTAAAAGAAATAAACACCACTGCTACCGAAACTTCAAGCCTCTAGCTTGAAGCCGCCCTATGTTCCACTTGGAATGTAAAGGAATACAAAAAAATCTGACATAATCCTTTACCTGATTTAATTTACTATTTGATAGTAAGCGCAGAAAAGAGGGAAGCCTTTGGAACTATTTTAATGCAAACGCAGTCTAGCCCACGACATACTACTACCCATCAGCTAATGGACTGGTAGAGCGTTTTCATCGATAACTTGAGGCTTCTTTAATGGCTGTCGACAACGCCAAACAGGTGCGATGAATAACATTGGAAAGTCACACAAGGAACACTGTGTTTAGGTGTCGGCAAAGGACTTAAAGTGCTTGCCAGGCGTTGCGTGCACCGGGCCACGAAGGACAATACCAGAAACGGAGAGTTGTGTGGTAGAATCAATCAATTCAAGGAGTGGAAAGGAAGCAGTTGTCTGGTGGACATCCTTCTCCAACCGGTGACGTCAGTACAAGTATTACTGTTATTTTGTTCCTTCGAGAGTATTTCACAATGAAGTATTGGTGTACTGTCGTAACACTGTCTTCTTTTAGCTTCTTATGATAGTTGCGTTGAAGCCTCCATCATTCAATGTCGTATAAAATTTTGTTTTGTGATACGAACAAGGGTCCAAAAAGTGCTAAACGTAACACTTTAATGTAGTCTGATCAGTTTTTCAAACCAGTATAGCCACAGGTAGATATAATTCAAGTTTTCTTGGTTAAATAGATTCTTCTGTATTTCCTCTTTGTATTCGCCATTTCTTACTATGATGTGTTCACCGGCGGTATCGTCTCACACTTTTTTTCCCTTCACGTTCCCCAATGGGGCATAGGGCTTCAAGCTATTGGCTTGAAGTTTCTGTGGCAGTGTTTATTTTACAGGATGGGGTTGCTAGCCTCATGCCCAACCTTTCCTCTTTACCAGCATTATTTCTGGCTCAGCGAGGTAAAGGAGTGCGTCGGTGGCCGGGGATCGAACCCCGGACCATGTGCATGGTCGGCGAGCGCCCCAACCGCTATACCACCACGTTCCACACTACTTACGCATATTTTTATAAGTATCACAATTTAATGTTAATGATTTTGAAATGATGGATAATTGTATACACCTTGAGGTGATATTCTAAACATGTGTGTAATGAAACATCTGTGTACACCTGTGACTCAACTAAGCTTAGGCGGTCGACTTCCAATCAGTGGATCATGGTTTCTAAGCCCTCTACACCTACTGAGGTTCGGGCAGCCAACCAGCTATTATAGTCAACTAGCCCTCCTCATACAGTAGGTATGGCTCATTGCCAACTAGCAGTTGTTGTTGTTGTTCCTGTTGGTTGAAACATTATTGTTTCCTCCCTTTCAATTGTTATTTCCACTAGGAGTTCTGATGGTCGTGAATTGATGGCTTGTTCACTGGATGGTTCTGTTTGCTATATGGGTTTTACGCATAAAGAATTAGGAACTCCATGGTCTCTTCAAGAAGTAGTAAGTTGTTTCTTTTCAGTGAATCAAATTTTTATTTAACCTGGTGTTTTTAATCAGGTGAAAAGCAGTACAAGTTATCCGATTGACTGGTTTTCAGGTGGTTTTAGTAATGGATCAATAGAAGTTGAAGCAAATTAAAAAAAAAACTGACTAGGCGTTAGTACTCAAACCTATCAAGGTGGTTCTTTACACCATGTTAATTTTGAATTCAATCTTTGAGGAAAACATTCAACCGATTGGGGATTTCTTCACTGGCGATAACCTCGGCTACTGTTGTTAAAGATCAAATGGTTTTCGTTAATAACTCCTGTTTGATGGGACATCATGCTTGAAACATACATGGATAAGTTTCGGTCTGGAGATAGATCCAAGTCAGTATTGTTTTAATCTGTTCAGTTCGAGAGTTTCTAGTACATTAGTACTAATTGTGTAATGCAAAGTTCTTCGGTTCGATGGCAGAATCATCACATAAACCAATTTACTTGGTCTGGGATTCGATTCTTGGCTGATGTACTCTTAAATCTTGTCGTTCAATTCACTGGCCGAAAGTCAGCTCGGGAAAGAAGAACTGATTGGGTATGAGACTGGCGAAAGAATCTAAACTTGCTTACATCGTTATGAAAAAGAGAAGACATTCAGCGAAGAGACTCTTTTCGGCGAATTCATTCACATAGCTGTACAATCGCATTTATATATAAATATTTGTGTGTGTGTGTGTGTACATGAGGTTTGTCAAGTTTAGATAATTGATTAGTTAATACAAGAATGATGTAGTATCGGGACAAAGTTAATCAGACAGCAACTAAAGTAAGATTGAGTTAAAAAGCTAGATGACGTAATATAATTGGCTAAAATGTTACAACTTAGGTCAAGATAGCAACAGAGGTAATTACAGGTAGAGATTAAGTAGAAATGAAATTGAGTGAATAAGTTGGATGACGTGACATGAATGATTAGAAACTGAGCGTTGTTCAAGTCAGTAACAGTGGTAGTGAGGTGTAGAAATTGAATCGGGTGGGGGTAGAGAACAAGAAAGTTGAAAATGTAAAATGTTACAATTGAGAAGACAAAATAATAGTAATGAAGAGACAGAAGAAAAGATTAGGTAGAATTTACATGTCGGCTAATAAGATAGATTACGTCCATTGCAAGTGTAGTGATTGAACGAACTTCTTCTGTATGCAGAGTTCAGGACTTAGCAAGTGAATCGCCATTACTTCTGCAGTTTGAAGAAGTCTGATTCGTACACCTTTAGGGAGACTACTTCAAATTGCAGAAGCAATGGCGATTCACTTGCTAAGTCCTAAACTCTGCATACAGAGTTGTCTCGATACTACATCATTCTTGTATTACCTGATCAATTATCTAAACTTGACAAACCTCATGTACACACACACACACAAATATTTATATATAAATGCGATTGTACAGCTATGTGAATGAATTCGCCGAAAAGAGTCTCTTCGCTGAATGTCTTCTCTTTTTCATATGACTCAATGGGGATTTTCAATTTACATCGTTATGTTCGTGTATCATAAAATGTAAACAATTCCTATGGGGGACAATACAAATAAAAACAGTGTAAATTTTTTCGTGCACCACCGGCATTTGTCGTAGAATTATTGAAAACCAAGAGTCATTGGATGTCTGTTTCGTCCTACTTTGGATCTCTTCAGAAGTGTGACACCTACGACGCCACCAGGGATCGAGTTGACAGAAGTTAAGATTTACAGGTTAGTGTCTGTATAGTCGATGTGTTGGCTTCTTAACCAGAAGGTTCTGACTTTGACTCACAGTCACTGAATTCCCAAACTATTTCTGTTGCATTACATAAACGGATGTTAAATTGCTATGAGTTGTCAGGACGAAGCAGATGTCCAGTACTCCCAGGTTTTCCAATATTTCTCTAACCGATGTCAGCTCATGATGAAATCCTGTAACCAAATCAATAAAATCCCTACAAACCAATACTTGAATATCAATGAGATGCACACTAGGGACTGGTCCCATTCAGCGTAATAAAACTACTTAATGTATGCATTCCTGAGTTATCTTTTCTTTTTCATCACCATGTTTCTAGTGTTTGGAGGTTGTCTAGACTGAGTGCCTTGTAGCATTTCACTACCTTAAGTTCTTTTAGAACCTCCGCTTGATTTGGTGGATCGATATTCACCAACTATGGAACACTGTAGTTAATGATGTTGGATGATAGCACTGTTGGTCAGTTAAACAGCCTCTCTAATTACTCTGCCGAGCGTTGCAGGCGTCTCTTTAGACAGGTGTTCGGTGTTCCGTCTACGTCACAGGGACGTCTTGCTAGCACCATACTTCTTACTGCTGGTTGGAACAGCTTCCTGGTACTACTAAATATAACCTATGATTCCATTTCATACGTGTATGTTCTGATCCTTGTGCTCCTAGGACTTTACTTAAACACCGTTTAATCTTATGTATGAGCGCCTTGTAAATGTTGTTATACTCGCTGGCTACCATCAGCAAAGGGCATCCTGAAGTAGCAAGGAACTTATCCAAGCCCAGTGGCTTCTGCCCGGAGCATTCTTTTTTAGCCACGTCTTCATAAAGTCTTGCAGGTTTAGCCAATGTTCATCTATATCTTTTATTGGGTTACTAGTATGGTGAGAGCTATCTGCCAGCCAAAATTGTAGACAACAATTTACTTCAATGTTCATGTCCCGAATCGGGGTCATGAGAAAAAAAACAGTAACAAGGCTTAACCTTGAGGAACTCACCAACCAATCACAGCAGACTTAACGTCTGCAAACACGATTCGCATATATATGGCTTAACTTTCTAGGAAACGGCCACAAGCAGCACAGAATGACCCCCAGAAAGAAAACAACCAATCAGAAGAGGTTGCTTCTCCTCTGACAATAATGTACATAAAAATCTATAAATATCTCCTGATTTTCTCAATAAACAATCTGTTGCTTGGCCCTTGTCTTCTGTCGTTACACTAGCTAACCCTGAGTTTTACTCAACCGGGTACTTCTCAGTGTTAGAGAACGGCTTTTTTTGGTCACCACCGAATTTCAAGATGAACCTGGTGCATACTATAGTATAATCGGAGTCTTGTAGCTGTCTTGATCTACGCCATCGGAAACTCACATCAATGTGATAAATCTGAGTCCGCGCTCACTTGTTCTATCTCTATTTGCTTTATAAAAAAATAACGTTTTATTATTTTTGTGTGGCGTAGTATCACTTGATGCTCATAAATGTATCAAGTTTATATTTCTTATAATAGTAATAATTAATGTTTTTTTGTTGTGTTCTTTTTTTCAAACCTTGATAACATTCCTAATTCTGTTTTTTTTGTTTAGATTAAACTACATCACAAAGTATACGGGCAAAGTTCACTAGACAAATTTCATCCTATTTCATCGAATGGTTTATCAACAGATCCAACGGATGAGAATAAAGATAATTCGGGTGTGCTAAATGAAAGTGATATACTACTTGAAACTCCAGAAGCTTTAGCCCTGCAGAAAACACAAGCTGAACTTCGTACTAAGTTGAAAAATCCACCGACACGAACAAAAGAAGTAAAGTCGCTTCCAAGAGGGGTAGGTACTATTCTCTCCTTTTTTGTTTTGTACTTGCTATGTGAGCACTCTGATGTAATAAGTGATGCTGTCACTATCATATAGCGGATTTAATTTGTCTTTAATACTTATCGAAACACTAACTGATTGACTGACTGGTTTCAATGTAGAACTTTGCACAGATGTGCTCCAGTTCCACTTGCCATACTCCCTCCATTTATCACACAAAGCAAGAGAAGAGAGTAAAGAAAGGTTCAACAAAAGAGAGACAATAAAAAGAAATATGAGGCAAAGGAATAGTAATGTGGAAGAACAATAGAATTTTATTGGTTATTATGAATCATAAAGAGTGAATGCACCTGCTCCAACCATTGATAACAATTTTGAGCCATATCACCAATTTAATTGGTGGATGGTGACTAGCAGTGGAATCCAGGATGCACATTTCGTCCTAGTTGGGACTCGTCATCTGGATGTACCTGCATTCCCACCGAGGCTTGAACCCAGTGCCCATAGTTTCAAATCCCAAAGCGTCACCCATTAAACCACTTGGGCCACGACAGCCACATCTTGTGTAACGGGTCATATTAATTATTTAATTGAATCCTAGATTTTCCCGTTGATTGATTGGATCGAAGTACGCGATCTCACCAATTGTCTCCAGCCTTCATTGGTGTTTACCATCTCGAGGACCCTAACCGTGAAGTCTGCACCTCTTTACGTGGCTGGCTTAAAGTAACTGTTATGGATTTCATTGACTGATGAAGCCGTGTTTTCGTTTGACCACCACCACTAGCTCTTATCCAACCTCATCTATCCTATGTCAGTCAGCTAACATTTCCCGTTGAGGAAGGCGATGGCTAGTCTAGGCATGCGTAATACATGTCCTAACCATCTCAATCGGTGTAACTTCACAACGTTGTTTATTGATTCCCCCTCTTTACCTAGCACTCGACGTCTAAGTTTAGTATTGAAGCTCAATATTCATTTGTTCTACAAAAGAGTGATTCTAACTTTTTTCTCGTTATGATAATTGAATCACCATACTACTTATTTCGATAAAATAATAACAAGGTATAATTTTTCCTATTATTTTGTCGAAATTCATTCAGGGAATTGATCGTTCCAAGTAAAATATTAACTATTATCTCCATTCCACTCGGTTCTTTGCAGTCTTTTGAAGCTAGAGCCACGACTGCGCATAACCTTTCATTTCCTCCCATCATTTGCTCCCCCATGTTAACCTTAGACCTACATTCAACTCGCCGTTTCCTATATCGGTTCTACTCGAGGGCCTGTCTACCTGGGTGGTACCACTCTGTGGTCTCCTCACTATGTGCGCAGTTCAACTCAATTTGTGGAGCAATAGGTTCTTGGCTGGTTCATTGCCTGCCAGGGTTTATTTCCGCTTATCCCTTGTGGCCATCAGATCTTCATTATGGAGCGAAGGCAGCTGTTGATAAAAGTCCGAAGTAGCCGGTTAGAAATGCTCTTGGTGACCCGTCAAGTCAATGACCCAAATAGAAGAACTGACTGAACATTTGTGTTGAAAATTGAGATCTTGTTCCCTGTGCTAAGTGCGACAGATTTCTAAACTGATTTCACAGTGATGAAAGTGTGGCTTACCTTTCCGATGCTGTCTTTGACATCCTTATGCTTACCGCCTGTAGTTGAAATTATGCTGCCTAGATAAGTGGAAAAAAGTGACTTGGTATAAATTTCTCCCGTCGATGACTTTTGGTACTTGTTGTTGTTAGTGAGTTATGTGCATTACCTCCGTCTTCTTTACGTTAACTTGAAATCCTATTTTTGCTGTTTCTTCCGCCAACTTTTTTGTTTTCTCCTGTAGATCTTCGAGTTTTTATGAAATTAGACATTGATCGTCTTCGAAGTCCACATCTTCTAAAGTTTACTCATCGTTCCGACGAATTCCTATCTTTTCGCTCCCCACAATCTGGCGCATGATCTAGTTTACCAGAATCAAGAATAGTAGACAGCCATGTCTTACTCCTGTATTCACTTCGAAAGCTTCTCTGAGTTTTTCGTTGTCGATTACTTGATATGTGGCATTGTCATATAGAGCTGTTGAATGAGGTTGATAAAGATTTGGGGCACTGCACGCCGTAGCGTTGAAGTAGTTTCCAAATTACTTCGTGATCAACGCGGTCGAAGTCCCTTTCGAAATCTATGAAGTTGAAGTAGAAATTTTACTGGTGTTCTGTCTGTTTGTCTGTTGTCAACATAGAACTTTGCACCGATGTGCCATACTCCATGTAACACACAAAGCCCGAGAAAAAAGTAAAAAGAAACGCAAAATAGAGACAGTAAAGAGAGATACGAGGCAAAAGGAATAGTAATATGGCAGAACCGTATAGTTTTATTGGGTATTATAAATCACAAACAGTGAAGGTATCTGCGCCATCGAGAACGATTTTGAGCTAGCCATATCACCAATTGCCTCCACCTATTGGTGTTTACCATCCCGAGGACCCCAGCCAGGAAGTCTACATCTCCCTACGTGGCAGTTGACTTAAACTAACTGTTGTGGATTTGATTGACTGATGAAACCATCAGAAGCTCTTTTGCAACCTGACCCTATATCAGCTAACATCGCCCGTCGAGGAAGGCGATGGCTAGTCTAGGCATGTGTAACACATGTCCTAACCATCTCAATCGGTGCAGCCGCTTCACAGCCTCGTATATTGATTTCTCCTCCTTACCTAGCACTCCACCGAGGCCTAACCTGAATATTGCTCACCCTATTATACCACTACGTGACACGGGAGATAGAACGCAGATACCTATGATCAAAGACAGCTAGCCTGGTTTTTCATATCTTCCACTCTCAATGGCCAGGTCTCACAGCCATAAAGGAGGATGGAGTGGACTGCTGAGCAGTACACACGCCCTTTAGTTGAAAGCCAGCGGGATATCACGTCTACACCAGAGATGTCGTAAACTGGCATATGCGAAACGAGCTTTCTGTTTCGGTGCTGAGATTTCGTCAGCGACCAATCCGCTGGCATTGCCTGATGCAACGTCCCAAATAATTGAAGTGGTCAACGTGCTCTACCACTTCACTTCCTATTTCTCAACTAGGAGTCAATGTAGTCCAGTCCAGTCCTGTAACACCATCCTACATTTGGTGGGAGCGAATCGCATGCCAAACATTCGAAGATTGCTGCTCCTCAAGGTGTTCAGAAGGCTCTGCATTTTGTCGGCGTCTTTCCGCCGTTCCACGCTCTCCTCGATTTTATCCTCAAATGACTTTATTTCATGAATGTATTTGACCACTTTTTCTTAACAATAGTTTTGTCTGAAAATATTTGACTATCATTGAATCAGCTGTGATAAAATTGTTTTAAACTTTCATGGCTTTACGTGTTTGTGTTGTCACAACAACTGGTGAAAAAAGATGAATTGTGGTTTTCTACTACCTAACGATTTAATTCAGTATAATACAGTCAATGACTTCCTGCCTCTCTGTGAAATTCAGTAGAGTTTGACAGTTATTAGCGTCGCTTTGTTGTCGTTGTCTGACACGGATGATTTACTTGCCGACCCCCATCATCTTCAGCTCTGACTTCAATCTCTACCAAGTCTACTAAATGACACAACGGCGAAAGCAGACAATATGAATTATGACAATTGTGAAAAAAGCACATGGCGAAAGTCGACACTCTTTTTCGTCTCACATCCACAAACATAAGCTAACTGTCAAACAGCATGATAGCCATACCTTAATATGATTATATACAGACAAATACGGGCACCGATTAGACTGTTAAAATATAAAAAAATCTTAGACAAAGAAAATAAACAACAATGCAAAGACATTCCTTGAAAGCTAGTACCAAGATGAATCAGTAATCAATAGTCACATTGCATATCTATAAGAAATATCAAGCGATGAAAAAGAAATCATGTCGAGAAAAGGTCAAATATCAGGTCAACGAAAAATAAGTCGATATTTAATACAAATGTGAACAAAAGACGGGGTGGGGGTAAGAAAAACTCTGGAGACAACCAATCATCCACAAGGTTATCGGTGGAGAAGGTCATTCCACGCACTTCATAGTGAATATATGTAAGTAGAAAGACAATGAAGACATGGTAATTAAAGCATCCGGGTTAGAGAACACAGCTAAGTCAATATTATATATGCAGCTGAGCTACAAATCTCCATCATATCAAAATTTGGTAATCACTTAATGCTGAAGTATAACGTCAGTTATTGCTACACATAAAAGACTAGTATTGATGGTTCACTTTGTCAGTCAGTAAATGTCTGATACTGCGGTTTGAGATTTTTTGGAAGATTAGATTTCTTTGTACCTGACGCCTATTTGTTTTTGACTGTTCATTGCGGAATTATTCCATCTTATTGTTTACTAAATAATGCTCTGTGTGTGTCGGTGGTGCCAACCGCACACGCCGTTTCGGGTTCGATTTCCGGCCAACTCACTGCTTAACCTTGCCTGGTTCACTAGGTGGTGGTAAGCTTGGAGAAGAAGAAAGGTCGGATGTGAGGCTAGCAACCTCATCCCGCAAAATACATCACCACAGCTGCTGAAACTCAAAGCAGGGAAGTTATGCTCGGGAGGGAACGTGAAGCAATGGAAAACAGAATAATACTTCAGATAGAATTTACCGCGTATAGTTACACTCTGATTGTGCTGTTGGGCTGTTATGATGCAATACAGGATGAATAAAGGTTATTTACTCTACTATGTCCATTGAAGTCATAAAATTCCTATAGTTACTTTGGCAAAACAAATGTGCCTCGTCTGGTGTATTAGTTGTTTAGATAATTCTGGAAATTTAACCAATCAGTAGTTTACTAAGGGGAAGACATTTTCTGTTTTTGTCCCCTTACACCGTTTTCCCCATCCCAAACTTCGATGATGATTTTTGTCGTCGCAATACATGTAATGAATACTTTAAGTCATTCCCTTCAGCATACTTTTTGCCGAGCTTTATTGTGATGAATGCTAACTGAAGTTAGATTAACAAGCTGGGTGCCTGTCTGTTTGTCTGGTTTCAACATAGAACTTTGCACCGATGTGCAGCAGTTTGAGTCGCCACACTTCACTCAGCACACAAAGCCATAGAAGAAAGTAAAAAGAAACGTAAAATAGAGACAGTAAACAGAGATACGAGGCAAAAAGAATAGTAATATGGAAGAACGGCATAGTTTTAATGGGTATTATAAATCACAAACAATGAAGGTATGTGCGCCATTGAGAACGATTTTGAGCTAGCCATATCACCAATTATCTCCAGCCATTGGTGTTTACCATCCCGAGGATCCCAACCAGGAAGTCTACACCTCCCTATGTGACTCGCTTAAACTAACTGTTGTGGATTTCACGGACTGATGAAACCGTGTTTTGGTTCGAACATCAGTGGCTCTTTTCCAACCTGACCCTATATCAGCTAACATTTCCCGTTGAGGAATGCGGTGGCTAGTCTAGGCATGCGTAACACGTATCCTAACAATCTCAGTGGATGCAGCTGCTTCACAGCCTTGTCTGTTGATTTCCCCTTCTTACCTAGCACTCGACGCCTAGCCTCAATATTGCTCACCATATTATAACACCACGTGACGCGAGAGATAGAACGCAGGTACCTATGATCAAGGATAGCTAACCAGCCTTTTAATGTCTTCCACTCTAAATTGCCATGTTTTACTGGCAGCCATAAAGGGGGACGGATCGGACTGCTGAGCTGTACACACGCCGTTTTGTCGATAGCCGGATATCATGTCTACGCCACAGATGGCGTAAACTGGCATATGCGAAACTAGCCTTCTGTATCCGTGCTGAGGTTTCGTCAGCGACCAATCCGCTGGCATTGGCTGATGCAACTTGTCAAATAATTGAATTGGTCAACGTGCTCTACCACTTCACTCCCTGTGTCTAAGCTAGCAGTCACTGTAGTCCAGTCCGGTCTTGTAACACTATCCTACATTTGGCAGGAGCGAATCGTATGCCAAACATTCGTAGATTGCTGCTCCTTAAGGTGTTCGGAAGACTCTGCATTTTGTCAGCGTCTTTTACGCTCTCCTAGATGATGCTGCGTGGCGTTTCGATTTTATCTTCATATGACTTTATTTCATGAATGTATATGACTACTTTTTCTCAACAGTATTTGTATGTCTGAAAACATGTGACTATCATTGAATCAGTTGTGATAAAATTGTTTAAACTCTCATGGTGTTACGTGTTTGTGTTGTCACAACAACTGGTGAGAAAAGAGGAATTGTGGTTTTCTACTACCTATTGATTTAATTCATTATAATACAGTCAATGACTTCCTGCCTCTCTGTGAAATTCAGTAGAGTTTGACAGTTATTAGCGTCGTTTTGTTATCGTTGTCTGACATGGATAATTTACTTGCCGACCCCCATCATCTTCAGCTCTGACTTCAATCTCTACCAAGTCTACTAAATGACACAATGGTGAAAGCAGACAATATGAATTATGACAATTGTGAAAAAAGCACATGGCGAAAGTCGACACTCTTTTTCGTCTCACATCCACAAACATAAGCTAACTGTCAAACAGCATGATAGCCATACCTTAATATGATTATATACAGACAAATACGGGCACCGATTAGACTGTTAAAATATAAAAAAATCTTAGACAAAGAAAATAAACAACAATGCAAAGACATTCCTTGAAAGCTAGTACCAAGATGAATCAGTAATCAATAGTCACATTGCATATCTATAAGAAATATCAAGCGATGAAAAAGAAATCATGTCGAGAAAAGGTCAAATATCAGGTCAACGAAAAATAAGTCGATATTTAATACAAATGTGAACAAAAGACGGGGTGGGGGTAAGAAAAACTCTGGAGACAACCAATCATCCACAAGGTTATCGGTGGAGAAGGTCATTCCACGCACGTCATAGTGAATATATGTAAGTATAAAGGCAGTGAAGACATGGTAATTAAATTATCCAGGTTAGAGAACACAGCTAAGTCAATATTATATATGCAGCTGAGCTACAAATCTCCATCATATCAAAATTTGGTAATCACTTGATGCTGAAGTATAACGTCAGTTATTGTTACACATAAAAGAGTAGTATTGATGGTTCACTGTGTCACTAAATGTGTGTATGATACTGTGGTTTGAGATTTTTTGGGATTTTTTTGTACCTCAAGCATATTCGTTTTTCACTGTTCACTGCGAAATTATTCGATCTTATTGTTTACTAAATAATGCTCTGTGTGTGTGTGTGTGTCAGTGGTCCAGTGGCAAATCGCTCGCCAACAACACACGCCGTTTCGGGTTCGATTCCCGACCAACTCACTACTTAACCTTGCCTGGTTCACTAGGCGGTGGTAAGCTTGGAGAAGAAGAAAGGTTGGATGTGAGACTAGCAACCTCATCCCGCAAAACACATCACCACAGCTGCTGAAACGCAAATCAGAGAAGTTATGCTCGAGAGGGAATGTAAAGGAATGGGAAAAGGAATTTACCGCTTATAGTTACATTCTGATTGTGCTGTTGGGCTGTTGTGATGCAATACAGTGTGAATAAAGGTTGTTTATGTTATTATTTCCACTGAATTCATAAAATTCCTATAGTTGCTTTAGCAAAACAAATGTAGGTCGTCTGGTGTATTAGTTGTTTAGGTGATTCTAGAAATTTAAGCAATCAGTAGTATACTGAGGGAAAGAAATTTTCTGTTTTTGTCACCTTACACCGTTTTCCTCATCCCAATCTTCGATAATGATTTTTATTATTACAATACATGTAGTGAATACTTTAAGTCATTCCCTTCAGTATACTTTTTGCCGAGCTTTATTGTAAGGAATGCTAACTGAAGTTAGATTAGCAAGCTGGTTGCCTGTCTGTCTGTCTGGTCCCAACAGAGAACTTTGCACCGATGTGCAGCAGTTTGAGTCGCCACACTTCACTCAGCACACAAAGCCATAGAAGAAAGTAAAAAGAAACGTAAAATAGAGACAGTAAACAGAGATACCAGGCAAAAAGAATAGTAATATCGAAGGACAATATTGTTTTATTGGGTATTATCAGTCACAAGGAGTGGATGCATCTACGCCATTGAGAACGACTTTGATCCATATTACCGATTGTCTACAGCCTTCATTGGTATTTACCGTCCCGACGACCCCAAAAAGGAAGTCTACATCTTCCTACGTGGCAGTTGCCTTAAACTGACTTTTGTGGATTTGATTGACTGATGAAGCTATGTTTTGGTTTGACCACCGCTGGCTGTTTTCCAACCTGACCCTATGTCAGCTAACATTTCCCGTTGAAAAAGGCGATGGTTAGCCCAGGCATGAGTATAACATGTCCTAACTATCTCAATCGATGTCACTTCACAGCCTTGTCGATTGATTTCCGCTCCTTACATAGCACTCCACTGAGACCTAACCTCAATATTTCTCACCCTATTATACCTTTTCACACGGGAGATAGAACGTAGGCACTTATGATCAAGGACAGCTAGCCTGGTTTTTCATGTCTTCCACTTCCAATGGTCATATCTCAACCATAAAGGCGGACGGATCGGACTGCTAAGCAATACACACGCCCTTTGATCGATAGCCAGCCGGATATCACGTTTACGCCAGGGATGGCGTAAACTGGCATACACGAAACTGGTCTTCTGTATCCGTGCTGGGATTTCGTCGGTGATCATGTAAGGGACCTGAAGTATGGTGCCACCGGCGCTTTTTTAAAATCTTATTTCTTCCTACTAACGTTTCCATCTGACCTTCAGTCAAATCTTCGCAAGTAAATATCAAGCTGTTAACCTAAGATTATCTTAAATAACCTCTGTAGATAATATTTCCTTCTAGTTCGTTATTAGCAAAATCCTTTAATTTCAGTTCTGATCACGAATCGACTTTAGTGAGACAACCATTGAAAACCAAGTAGTCCTGGGAAGTTGTTTCCTCCTAGTTTGAGGACACTACAGTAGTATGTACCCATGACCCTACCAGGAGTCGGACCCGGGGCCTTAAGGTCACAGGGCAAACTTGTGCCCACTAGTGATTCACTATAGGGTGGAGTTGCCTGAAGTTATTGTGGAAAGTAGTCATCAGCCAGGTCCACCAAGCTGGGCGTGACGACAGATACGCACCGATAACGTTGGTTGATTGTCACGCTATATCGCGAATCGACAGAAGTTAATATCCAAGAGTCGATGAGTTTCGTCCTAGTTGCAGAATGGCATACGATTTCACCCTGGGTTCGATCCCTGGTAAAGGCATGCGTGCGAACTGATGAAGAGACTCAAGAAGACAAAGACAAAGTAAGCTATTCAGTACTCCCTGTTGGTTTTCATTTGTCCTCTAACTGAAGTCAGTTCGTGGGTGCAAAGTTGAAGTCATTCAAATGACCACAAAACGACACATGAAAATCATATAATGTTTGACAAAACTATGTTTTCTTTTCTTTTCCTAGCCATCTCAACAAATTGAAACTCGGAGTAAAGATGGTCGCCGAAGAATAACACCGAAATTCTTGGGTCATTTGGACAGGTATGTTTTCCCTTTTTTTATAATTTTTATGACATTTCCTCAAGCTTATTTCACCTTTGTTCAGTCATAGTTGAGAAATATGCCGGTTTGAAGTTTGCGCTATAGGAACAGTCATATGCAACACTGAGTTTATTTGTGTTTTCAGAATTTTTTTTTCAGAATTATACATTGAACTTTTATAGAGTGGTAGTTAAAAGTAATAAGTTTTTCATTCCGATGTGTATTCTCGTTTGAACACAAATCCAATGCATTATGGTCACTAAGGAATGCTTCACACTGAATATATAAGACAGTTGGGGTAAGAAGAGCATGAAAATGGGATGCATACAGTTGCATTGTGCGTCGGTGACACAGTGGTAGAATTTTCGTTCACCACACAGATGGCTTGGGGTTCGATCCCCGGCCGTCGCACTCCCAAACTTCACTAAGACATTAATAAGACTGGTAAAGAGGGAAGGTTGGGCATGAAACTAGCAACCTCATCCCTTAAAAATAAATACCACTGCTACCGAAACTTCAAAGTTCTAGCTTGAAGCCCTATGTTCCACTGGGAACGTAAAGGAATAAAAGAATAAATAATAATACAGTTGCACCTAAAAGAAACAATCTCCTTTACCTACCTGGGAAGCATCGTTTCAACTACAGGCGGACGGAACTGACGAGGATATCAAAACAAGAATCGGAAAAGCAAGACAAGCTTTCACTACTCTCAAGTCTATGTGGAGGTCAACAGCACTCAGCATCAAAAATAAGATCCGGATTTTCAACTCGAATGTGAAGTCAGTGCTACTATACGGATCAGAGACTTGGCGCGTCATAAAGAGCATCTCAAACAAACTACAAACCTTCATTAACAGCTGTCTTCGCTCAATACTCAAGATCAGATGGCCAGAAAAGATCAGCGACGAGGAGGGATCTCTGGGAGCTAACCAACACAGCAGGAACCGATTGGGCAACAAATAGGCAGGAAGAAATGGAGGTGGATTGGCTGGCCATACTCTTAGGAAACCATCAAGTGACATCACTAGACAAGCCATTGCTCGATTGGAATCCGAAAGGGAAGCGGCGAGTTGGTCGTGAGTGCAAGGGTGACTTGTAGGAGGTCATGTGAAGAGGAGATGAGAACGTGTGGGCAGACCTGGAGCCAGGTGAAGACTCTAGCAGAGAACCGAACGCAATGGAGACGCACGGCTGAAGCCCTATGTTCCTCTAGGAAGTAAAGGAAACAATAATATAATAATCGCTTATTGTGCATTGGTGGAATCACTGACTTCTCCTGAAGGTTCACAGTACTGAATAGGAAATTTCTGACAGTCGTTAGTGGACTAACGCGTGGCAACTCTTCTGTAGCCTACTCTTTATGTGTGTTTTAAAAGGTTCGGGAAGCTTGACAGAAGCTGGTAACAGAATAAGACCCTGGTGTATTACTTAGGTTCTTTTGAAATGTAGTAAGTAGGATAATAAATAACTCCATTGCAGATTGATGGGGAAATTCCGTCTCCAATACATTTCTGTAACAATCTCATCATTTTACGTGATCAGAGTCTTGTCATCCTTTTTAAAGAGAAACCCAGATGTAAGGTGTGTTGACCAAGTAGGTGCCCTTTAAGTTCCTTGCTGACTTCCAATCGGTTAAGCTGGATGGCTATTAGCTGACCATGGAGCATACATGAATGTTGTAACTTTTTACCAACCAATCAATTATAGTGATATCTCATCTAGGGTTAAAACTAGTAGTGTAGAATCTGGCAGTTTTTATATGAGAAAGTACTCCAAAGGCCATACTACTATAACGCATTTTAAAGAGTCGAAGCTTTTAATAAAATGTAGTCTCCAAAGCACTTTGTGTTAAATGAGTGGTATAACATGGTAGCTATTCAAGTTAGGCGTATATTACTGGGTAAGGGGGAGAAATCAATCGATGAGGAGTGTGTCGAGATACATCGATTAAGATAGCTGGGATACATACGTACTACGTATGCGCCGAGCCACCTCCTTCTTCAACAAGCAATGTTAACTGATATAGAACTAGGCAGAGGAAAAAAGTCACTGGTGGCAAAACCAAATCCTTACATCCATCCATAAAGTCTGTGTGGTTGGAGCCTCCGATGTATGCTATGGAACCGTGGCTTGAAACTTTTTCGATACAGCTTAAAATCGTTCTTCATGGTGCAAATGCATTTAATCCTTGTAATCTATTAGACACATTAAACCCTCATGTCACTTTTCTCTCTCCTGTACATTTCTGCTGACTATAGTTCGTTTGAGTTTCTGTTCTTTTATCTCTCCTCTACCTCTGTGTGCAACATAGTGTGCGTCAACTTAAACTGCTGCATTTTTGTACAAAGGTATATACTGAAAGGCAGTCAGTCAGTATTGGCCTCTTACTGTTCAACTAGACTTTAGAATGTCATTTTGTGTTGGTATATACAATATGATTCTTAGGGTTAACCATGTTACCCCTGAACCTGTTCATTCCTTTTCCGTTGTGAGTAGGACATAGGGCTTGAAGCTGGAGTCTTGAAGTTTCAGTAGCAGGGGTTGCTGGTCTCGCATACTCAACGTTTCCTTTTTATTCGGCTACCTTAATACCGGCTAGTGCGTCGGCCAGGAATCGAACCCACACCACGTGTGATGTGGTTAGAGGTCACTCTACCGTTGAACCATCCTCTGAAGCTAACATTGATGTATATAACTTTCAAATACGCTCTGCTATATTTCAGTCCTATAAAATATTTTAAAATCTACTGAAGTAGTCTTGTCCAATGGTGAATAAAGAATTTCCCTTCCCTTTTTTGTCTTTATTATTATTATTTATTGATTAGTCCTGATGACGACGGCAATTCCAATCCTCAGTTCACATCACCACAGCCTAGTCGATCAGAAAGTAAATCCAGTCTGGAGATAGTTTCCGATTCAACTTCAGATTCAAGTAAAGCGGTGAAAGCCACCACGTCTTCAACGATAGTAACAACAGCAGCAGCAGCAGCAGTAACAGGCATGACAAGTGCAACAACGACAAGGACAACAACAACCACAACAGCAACAGCAACAACAAATACTACTATTATTACTACTACTACTAGTATTAGTAGTACAACTAGTACAACTACACCTAACACTACAATTCCTAAAACTGTAACAAGCGCTTCGAATTCATCAGGTGTTACAGTTGTGGCAGTCAATGGGACTACTGTTGCTAATAGTAATAAAAATAACAGCAATAATAATAACAATAATAGTAATGTTAATAAACAACCTACTTCACAAGTTAATCATCCCTCTGTGTCAAAGAATACTACAATTGAAACAAAACGTGGTGATGAAACAGTTTCAGTGTGAGTTCACATTATTATTTTCTAACCTTTCTTTTTGGTAATGATAATATGTCTTTTGATTCTTTCTAGTACACACTTTGTCCTTCCTTTTCTCAGGTTAACTGTATAACTGATAAAGTGACTCATGAATTTAACATCAGTTAGAGAAATCATTGAAAAGTAGGGAGTATTGAACAGCTATTTAATCCTACTTTGGGATGTTTCAGCATTGCTACCCTTCAATCCCACTAGGAATACCTTCAGATTACGAAATCAAGCTGGTTAACCATTCAGTTACTTGAGCTGGAATTCATTGACCTGTGAATGGTAACCTATGTTCATTCATGATATATGGCTACCTTCAACCAGTGCCTCGCATTGTAACGCCAGAAGACAATGGCCGGGCAACAGATTGTTTATTGAGAAAATCAACAGATATTTATATATTTTTATGTATATTATTATTATTCGTCATTGTTTGCACAGAAGCAAGGTTTCCTGATTGCTTGTTTTCTTGCTAAAGGTTATTCTGTCATCTCTTTGTTGCCGTTTCTGAGATAGTTCGTTGATATATCTGCTGATAGTATACGTCCACGCTAAGTCTGCTGTGATTGGTTGTTGAGTTCCGCAAGATTTGGCTTTGTTGTTGTTTTTCCTCATGACCCTGATTTGGGACGTAAACATTCACATTAATTGTTGCTTACAAATTTGGCTAGCAGACAGCTCTAACTACACCATGGACATTCAGTTCATATTCACCTGGTGAACTTGAAGCTGTAGTCAGGAGTTTTGATTGGTGGGTACTACTCATCAAAGGCTTGGATTGAGAGTAGTATTGTGGTGAGAGCTGTCTACTAGCCAAAATTGTAGACACTAATCGACGTCAATCTTCACGTCCCAAATCTTGGTCATGAGAAAAAACAAGAACAAAGCCTAACCTTGAGGAACTCAACAACCAATCACAGCAAACTTAGCGTGGGCGGATACGATTCGCAGATATATCAACGGACTGTCTAAGAAACGGCAACAAAGAGATGACAGAATAACCTTCAGCAAGAAAACAACCAATCAGAAGACGTTGTTTCTCTGCTAACAATAACGCTAATAATGATGTACATAAAAATCTATAAATATCTGTTGATTTTCTCAATAAATGACTTGTTGCCTTGCCCTTGTTTTCTGTCATTACAGTATTGTGTCACAACTTCACAAGAGTTAGAATTCACGGGTAATTGAACTCTAGCCCAAGTGATTCAAGGGCCATTGGACTTGTTCTTGTGATCAGAAGTTCCTGGGTTCCATCCTTGGTGGAGTCCAGGGTTCTGACTACTGAATAATCTCAAGTTAGAACGAAACAACTGTCCAGTACTTTGTGATTTTGAATGGTCTCTAACTGGTGTTAGTTGGTGACGAAATTTAACAATCGATATTAGTCCAAATCCCGTAGCTTAACTTCCATAATAGATACGTTAATTTGAAACAACAGACAGTGATACGGCAGTGTATTAGTACGTATTTCCAAAATTTCACGCTTAAGAAAATGGAATTGTTTCTAAATATCTTTGTACACGCCTTCCGCTTGCAACAATAAGCGTGAAAACAGCTTCGTAATAGACTGTTTAAGTGGTAAAATCCAGAGAATTACCAATGAACTAACTCCCGTTAGACATGAGATTGAACAACTGAAATTCAAACTCAAAGGTATATAAGGTAAATAACAAGGGTTATGAAATTATACTCGAAATATTCAAAAATTCAGCAGTAGCTACTTTCAATACAAGTCCAAAAATACTCAAATTAAAAAAAATCAATAAATGAACTGAAGAAAAATATCCTGCTTAAAAAGTAAAGTCACCAATGAAATACCACGAACTGTCGATGTAACAAACGGATTGATTATCAATCTTCGATTAAGAGCATTAACCTCTGATGAAATAAAAGTGGTTTGAAAAAGGATTAAACTTTAATGTAGCTGACCGCTGATAGATTAAAACCTGAGAATGAGGTTTCATTCCTAGTGTAGAAGTAACATCAAGGGACATGTTGTTCAGGGATACCATCTGTTCCTATTTCTGTTTAATTTCATCATAGATATACTAATAGACTTAAGCCTAGCTGACTCAGGGATCTACTCGTTACCAGATAATTATCGTATTGACTTAGAATATACAGATTATATAGTCGTCCTACGTGATAACGTTGACAGAATGCAGAGTTTCCTGAACACCTTGTGGAGCAGCAATCTTCGAATGTTTGGCGTGCGATTCGTTCTCTCCAAATGTAAGATGATGCTACAAGACTGTGTTACATTCACTGATAGCTTAAAGATGGTAGAGCTTGTTGACCACTTCAATTATTTGGGAATTCGCATCAGCCAACACCAGTGGGTTGATCGCTGACGAAATTTCAGCACGGAAACGGAAGGCTTGTGTGGCATTTCCCAATTCACGCTATCTATGGCGTAGACTTGATATCCGGCTATCGACCAAAGGGCGTGTATACTGTCCAGCAGTTCTCTGTGTCCTCCTTTATGGCTGCGAGTGAGACACGGCCATTGAAAGTGGAAGACTTGAAAAGGCCTGCTAGCTGTCTTTGATCACAGGTGCCTGCGTTTCATCTCCCTTGTTAGGTGGTATAATAAGGTGAGCAATATTGAGGTTACGCCTCAGTCGAGCGAGTGCTAGGTAAGGTGGGGAAATTAATAGACGAGGCATGCATCCCTTAGCCATCACCTTCCTCAACAGGCAGTGTTACCTGACTGACATAGTATCAGGTTGTAAGAGCTAGTGGTGGTCAAACCAAAACATGGCTTCATCAGTCAATGAAATCTACAACAATTAGTTTAAGGGGAGTGTAAACTACTTTCTGGTCGGGGTCCTCGGAATGATAAAGAACCGACGGCTGCAGACAATTGATGACTGGACTCAAAATCGTTGTCAATGGCTGGCGCAGATGCATTCACTCTTTGTGATTTGTTATCTCTTTTGTTGAATCTCTCTTTACTCTGTTCTCTTGCTTTGTGTGGTACATGGAGGGAGTGTGGCGACTGGAACTAATGCATATCTGTGCAAAGTTCTATGTTGAAACCAGTCAGTCAGATAAAACAACGGCTGGCCAAGAAAGATCACAGTGTGCATTGACACCGAAGCACTAGAGGAAAGCGAGAAAAAACTCACTATAGCAAGAAATAACAGCTCTAAAAAGCTTGACGAATTACAAGAACATAATAATTGCTAAGTCAGACAAGAGTATTTCTGGAGATATCAGATAATTTCAACCAGTTTGATACGACGAGATTAAAAAAGGGACCTGTAAACACGATTATGAATACGACTAAAAAAATCCTCAGCTTATGTAGTACTCTGACAAATTCTAATAAATACTTAGACTTTAATTCATCCCACTGAGAAATGATAAAGGTAGGTTTAGTTAAGTGTTTGTGTGTAACCGGCCGAAGAACGGAACTGGTAATTCAGAAGATTTATGTGGGGAAATCAAAGAACAAAAATGAAAACACTGTTATTGAATAACTACCAGAATCTGTTCAAATATGTATGAAGAACCATAAGAAAAGTAAAAGTATTAATGAAAATAATAATAAGTAAAAATCTCGGTAGTGATGACGTATAATTAAGGAACATCAAAGGCTCTCTGTAGGATTTCTGATAATGTTGAAATTAGTGTGGCAGCTAAACCAACCAACTGACTCAGAGAAAAATCCCTGTCTACCTAAAGACCTGTTAGATTCAATTAAGCAAAATAATATAATTTACCAAATACCATGTGATGAATGTGAAGTGAGCTATATAGGTCAAAGTAGCCTAGATTATATCGGAACATAAGAATTTAGCTGGATCTAGAATGCCTTAGCAAATGATACGCAAAATTGTGAACCGTTCCATATTTTTTTTCGTGGCGTGAGTGATTCAGTGATAGGACACTTAGTCGACTACGCAAGTGGTTAGGAGCTCGATCGCCGACTGACACACTGGTAGTAAGCCTGGTAGAGAGGGAAGGTTAGGCGTGAGGCTAACAACCTTATCCAGTAGAAAAGCGCCACTGCTACTCAGTCTTTCACTGGGAACGCAAAGGAATAAATTTATTTAAAAAAATGTATAATAAAGAACGACTTGCCCTACTAGGTTAAGTAATCTAGAAAAAAGGTTGGTTGTTGCAATGTATATATTTTTTTTTCCTTCACGTTCCCCAGTGGAACATAGGGCTTCAAGTGAATGGCTTGAAGTTTCTGTAGCAGTGTTTATTTTACAGGATGGGGTTGCTAGCCTCATGCCCAACCTTTCCTCTTCACCAGCATTATTTCTGGCTCAACGAGGTAAAGCAGTGCGTCGGCCGGGGATCGAACCCCAGACCATGTGTATGGTTGGCGAGCGTCCTAACCGCTATACCACCGACGCAATGTGTATATACTTGAATATAATCATACAGTAGGATGGAAATAGGTTGAGAAAATATTAAAATGTAATATTAGTATTTAAGTAATGAAAGAGAGGGGTAACCACCCAATCTTTATTCATCGAATCAATACCAAACACTTGCAATCGAAACGGGGCAATATCTATACCGGAGATATGGTAAATTTCCTTAAACTACAATGGGGATAGAGAAGAAATGTATATATATATATATATATATATATATATATATATATATATATGAAGAAGATTATGAAACTGTGTGAATAAAGTGATATGCCATACTCCAAGCATTATTCAGTTATTGACAATGTATCACTCATTGTGTGTTATATGAGGTAAACTTGTAACAACAGAAGACAAGGGCCAGGCAACAGATCGTTTATTAAGGAAAATCAACACATATTTATAGATTTTAACGTACATTATTGTTAGTAGAAAATACAGTCTTTTGATTGGTTGTTTCTCACAGAAAGTTAACCTTGCATCTCTTTGTGGCTGTGTCAGATCATCCATATGCTAACTGTATCCGCCTACGCAAAGCCTTTGTTCTCATTTTCTCACCACCAATATTGGGGACGTAAACATTGACGTCAATTTTTTTTTCCTTCACGTTCCCCATGGGAACACAGGGCTTCAAGCTAGTGGCTTGAAGTTTCTGTGGCAGTGTTTAATTTTTACAGGATGGGGTTGCTAGCCTCATGTCCAACCTTTCCTCTTCACCAGCATTATTTCTGGCTCAGCGAGGTAAAGGAGTGCGTCGGTGGCCAGGGATCGAACCCCGGACCATGTGTATGGTTGGCGAGCGTCCTAACCGCTATACCACCGACGCACTTGACGTCAATTACTGTCTACCAACTTTGGGTATCAGCCAGCTCTCACCACAAACTTATCTAATATGGAGTTAGATTCTACCACATTGCTCAAATTCTACCCTTACTTATTTTTGTTAACTGTAGATCGAATACTGATGTATCATTAAATCAAAAAAATATTTCCTCGAAAACTGTTCCCAGTGGGCTACAAGCTCCATCTACAACCACCATAGCACCACCACCAGCACAACAACAACAGCAACAACCACTCGCGTCGAAAAAGTCATCATCGGAATCTTTAGAACAAGAAATCGGTATTGAACAGAAACGTGCTCGTCTTGACACTAATGATAGCGAGCCACCAGCTCAAGTAGACAATGCTAAATTGATTAGCGATGAATCCGCGAAAGTGAACCCGTCTAGTAAACAGAGGAAACGACGTGTTCGACTTTTTACTGAAGAAGAAAAATCGCCGAAATCTGGAGCTGATGCTACTTCTGCTTCTTCTAAGTCATCTGCTGTACAGAATAATAAAAAGGTGTGCTTTTCACCTGAGTCATCACCGCAGCAAAAGCCGAAATCCGTCACTATATCTATTCCAGAACCGAGTAAGTTTGATATGTTTGTGTGTGATTATTTTCCATTTGAAAGTTGGTTGAGAGTGATGAGGTTACATTTAAAGGTGATGACAAAAATGCTATAAGAAGCATGTGTAAGTGATAACATACGTGAAAGGGAAGGTGAGATTGTCAAATTATTTCTAATCAAGTAATAATGGCTGATGGGTTGTGGGGGGGGGTTGGGTGAGAAAAGTGTCTGAACGAAGTTCTTCTATTCGCATAAGCTTGGTTCCTTTAAGTAGATTTCTGTGCCGTTTCATCTATATGTTAAAGACTAACTCGTAAGGTAGAATAAAGATTAGTTGGAATACGGGAGATAATTTTTTTCACAGTGTGAGCTCCTGTGGGCATACTATTAAGCAAGTTCATCTTCAGATTTCTGAACATCATCTAGCGTGGCTAATCAAGGGATAAACATGGTCTATTTACAGCTCTGTTCTAACCTATCTTTTCGTAAAGAGGTGGAAATACAAAAGATGTCATGAGTGCTCACAGAGTGATGTTAAAGCACACTCCTAATCTCATCAGTTTCAAAGATTAAGTCTTGTTAATCTGTGTCAGTAAAATATTTACTAATTCATTAGCATAATAGGTTCATTACTAAATGAGAGTTGCTCATATCTTTGAAGTTTCTGTAGCTACATCTAACTTAGCCTTGTTTTCTGAGTTTCAAATCGGTTAGTAAATAAGCGGAGGTGTGTGCTCCCGTAGTCCCACCAGAGACGGATTCTGGGGTCTTCAGATCACCAGGTTAGTTCGTTGATCACTCAGCCACCGGGTCAATCTAATGTTTTTTTATGGTTCACAGACTTGGCATTTCACGAGAAATATTTCCGACAGGTTATTGTAGATTTTCATCAACATCTTCATTCACTGGCTCCTTGCTGAAGATCATATGGACTGGCTGGAAAGGATGAAGAACTAAGAACTGTGGTCAGTCAAGAATCTATTGTCTAACAAATATTCAGAATAAAGTGGAGATGCAAGACAGTTGGGTGCCATCACGTGCCAGGCCCTCAAGTAGTATCCAAATAGGAAATGACAAGTTGGATGTGGGATGTGAGGTTGACATTAAGGAGGTCGTGTGAGGAGGAGATCAGAGCTTATGGGCTGTTGTGGAGCCAGCTAGAGCGTACTGCAGAGAACAGGATGAATTGGCGTTGTTCTGTTGATGCCCTATATTCCACTCTGAATCCAAAGAAATAATATTAATCTTATCTAATTAGGTTGCACACTTTTGTTGAGATGTTTCTCAAACAATTAAATTCGCACTTCAAAATATAAGGGCGGTGTTTTGAAAGCATAATCTTTTAAAGTGATTGAATTTGTTGCTATAAATAAGTTTGACGCCTAAATCACATGGGCCTAAATGACATGACTCCAAAAGTTGTTTACAAATGGAAGACTTCGTCAGGCTATGCTCTCCTTTTTATCAACCAAATCGGATAGTGTTCAGCTACGCGTTTCTGGATAATACGCTTACAACGTACAGTATAATTAAATTCACAAAAGCCCATCAAAGAGGTAGTTGCACATAGTGGTGGACTCATTCCAGAGTCACACTTCTTCTGAAGAATACTAAATATAAGTGACACTTTCATAGATGATGACTTCTAATCATTTCAACAGTGCTGTTACCTTTAAATGCCAAACTTATCAATAGTGTCTTCTTTGGCACTATTATTTAGCTAGAAGACGTTTCTTTCTTCGTATTTGCTTCAATAAACCTAGAATATCCATTACTTATGAGCATTGCAAGTCATCCACTTCAACTTTACCCCCTTGAAGATCACTTTAATTTTTTTAATTCCTATCATGTGTATAATGACTGAGTGTCTGCGTTCTATCTCCCGTGTGAAGTGGTATAATAAAGTGAGCAATATTGAGGTTAGGCGTCGAGTGCTAGGTAAGGAGGGGAAATCAATATACGAGGCTGTGAAGCAGCTGCATCGATTGACATGGTTAGAACATGTGCTACGTATGCCTAGTCATCGCCTTCCTCGATGGGAAATGTTAGCTGATATGGGGCCAGGCTGGAAAAGAGCTAGCGGTGGTCAAACGAAAACGTGGCACCAGTCAATGAAATCCACAACAGTTAGTCGAAGCCACGTTGAAAGGTGTAGACGTCCTGGTTGGGGTACTTGGGACGGTAAAAGCCAATGGTTGGAAACAATTGGTGACATGGCTCAAAATCGTTCTCAATGGCTGGCGCAGATGCATCCACTCCTTGTGACTTATGATTTCCAATGAAACTGTTTTGTTCTCCGTTATTAGCATTCCTTTTGTCTCATATCCCTGTCTACTATCTTCTACTTTCTTCTCTTGCTTTGTGTGCTACCTGGAGTGAACTGCTGCACATCGGTGCAAAGTTCTATGTCGAAAACAGACAGACAGACAGATAATGACTGAGTAACCTGTAGTGCCGCCTGATGCCTTTTTCTGTACTATAAATACTACTGCATGGCTTGGAGATGAAGTCTTCGGCAAGAAATATTTCTTCGCTGGACAAAAGCACTGTGTTTTTCTCCCTTTGAATAAATAGGTATATTTCGTGGTGAATCTTTTGAAAGGCTAATGGCAACTATGAAGGATGGATGCCACACTCATGGTTCCACGAAACGACCTCAAAGAAACGAATCAGATCACATTGACCTTTCACAATGGATTTATCAATGGAAACTGATTTCATGTGTCGAATAACAATACCTACGAGAAAGTGTGACATATTTTTGCTGCGGCGCTGGGTCACCTCCTGGTTCAGATCTCAGAAGGGACATAAGTCCGTTCAAGACTTCAGATGCGCCTTGCCGACAAGTACCAACAAGCATGAAATATTGACTTCCAGCTAACTACTTCCAACTATCTAACAAAGATCTGATTTCGATAGAGAAAGAAAGACCAGATTTGCAGTATAAAATGATATCATCATCCTATTACACAGGTTCTCATCAACTGCTGCTGCAAACTACCTGAAGTTACAATGGTTATAAATAATAAAATTTCATACTTCAACGTTTGAAAGGTAATAGAGAAAACATTATAAGATGAACGCATCCGAAATATAAGCATTACAATTTATCGTTTAAGTTACCATCAATTTATATACTATCAAACTATAAAAGAAAAAGGAGGGGGTGAGATAAGACAGAAAACAGAAAAAAATCTAGTAAACAGCGTTAGCTTATACGTCAACATGCCAACTCAATTAGGTCAAAGTTCATCCAACTGAAAAATTGTTTATTGAGCTGAACTCACTAATGTGTATGGCTAATCCGTTACCAAGGGAGTGAGAGATTGACTACACTCTATCTGTCTGTGTGCATAGGTTTGGTCTGAGATGTTTGATTGCAATTGCTTCAGCAGTAAATCGTAGTAGATTCGCTGTCCTTTGTATGGTTAATATTTTGAAGGATTCGGAAATCCCGACAAAATGACCCGTATCCACAAGGTGGGTGTCTGGTAATTGCACTTTGTAAATATCTGCTTCCCTTTTTAAGCATTAGTTTCTCGGAATGTGCTCTGAAAACTGGATAGAAGCCTTTCTTTCTGTCCTTCCAATGTACTTGCCGCCGCAGGTGCACGTAAATTTATAAATGCTTATCATTCATAAATGTTTTCTCTATTACCTTTCAAACATTGAATTAGTTTGCAGTTAGCTGATGAGAACCTGTGAAATAGAATGATACCATTAATTTATACTGCAAATCTGATCTTTCTTTCTCTATCGAAATTTATCAAGGGAACAAAATGTATGAAAAGATCTGATTAACTGGTGCCGTTGAACCATGAATGTGGTATCTGTTCTCTGTAATTAGCAGCATAATTATGCTTCGTCTCCTCCAAAGTAAGCAGAATAGTAAACGAAGTGAACATCTACCGTTATCCAACTCTTACCTTTCCGTTTCAGCGATTACAGTACACATGGAGAAGTAGATATAAGTTCACGAGATTTTTTATAGACCCTTAGTTTCCTTTGATTCAATTTCTTCGAAAACTTACAATTTTTCTATTACTTTGCATAAATTACTTTTCAGCTGATAATATATCATCGACCATACACAGTGCAGTGACCGGTTTTACAAATCCTCCACCATTTATTATCACTACTCCAGATCAATTGGCCAGTGTACCAAAAGTTCAATTTGTCTGTTCAAACTTAGTCGATGGACCAATTGTTGTACAGTTGATAAACTCCTCGAATTCTTCTGCTACATGTAGTGAAGAAGGCACAAAACTGCCCGCCTCATTGTCAAGAATATGTGCTAATCGTGGTGATCGTCGTTTATGGGAACTTGTCTCGTCTGATCGCCTTACCTCTTATGCTTATTCAGAGTAAGTTACATAAAATAATAAATTATACCTACCTACAGGAAGTCAGTTGTGAGCACGAGCACTGTAGTGGTAACATCTAATAATAATAATAATGATAATAATAATAATAATAACAATAATAATAATAATATACTTTATTCCAAAACAGTACTTGTGATACAGAATGGAAATCTCAGCATTTTTACTACAGTATTGCATCCAGTTAGTACATTATCAATAAATAAAATTCTACATAGATTAAGGAAATCTCAGTTCATTATGACAACAGCATATTGGCATGTCGGTAGCAAAGCCAAAGTTGAACAGTGTTTGAAGGTGTTAGAAAAGTAGATGCTGTCATATTTACTGTCGTAAGTGGAAGAAAGAAACAAAGCAGCACATAACGGAAAAAAAAAGAAGGAGAGAAAAGGAAAAGAAAGAAAGAAAACGTTGTACGTATAAATGATATGAGTTGGAAAGACGAGGACCAGTTGTTCTACTGACTATTTAATAAGTTATAAGTGTCACGCTTAATGCTTTCTTTATCGCACAGAACAGGAGCTAAGTATGGTATGGTTGAGTTTTTGTACTTGCTAGTGCGAGCATATAGTTTTTTATGTACGCTTCTGGTTTTCCGTGATGAGATACAAGGTGAGAGTTGTGAATGAAGAGGGTGGTGTGAGTTAGACAGAATGGATTTGGCCCATTTTTCACATGAGTTCATGTGTCTGTGGACCAGAATATTTATTATTTTATTATTATTTTGGTTACAGCTTGATGCCACACCGTATAACATTTTCAGCATGGATATCGGTAGCCCAAATTTCGCAGGCCGACCATAGATATCGGGTGTGCGTCGGCAGGGGATCGAACCCTGGACCATGTGCATGGTCGGCGAGAGTCCTAACCACTGTGTCACCGATGCACAAGCTGGTTAAGTGGCACATTGCTTACCCTGCTGACAACCTTTAACATCCTCCGTAATAAGGTATAGTCTTTCTTCAGTAGCCCTGGAAAAACTAAGGGGGAACAAAAGAGAATAATAGGCAGAATGCGAGAGTTAACGAATTGTAGGAGTAAGGGTTGGATTATACCAGAATGTCTTAACTTCTTGATGTAGAAGGTAAGATGGAATATTTTCTTAGAAATCATCAAGATATGAGACGACCAGGAAAGATCAGCAGACAGAATGACGCCTAGGTATGGAATTTCCGACTTGGTTTCTATTTCAGTGCCATCTATTTTGCATACCTCGTGAGAGCTTACCAGTTTGTTTAGGTTAGATTTATGCCCAAAGATGAAATTGACTGTTTGGCATTTAGAAGAGGGATTTAAGGTTAGACCGTTTTCCTTGGACCACTGGCTGATTTCTGATAGAAAGCCATTTAGTTTAAAGCACTCACTTTGACATTTGACAGGCAAAGATACAGTCAGGTCGTCAGCATATTTGACAAAATTAATGTCATTTGAAGATGGTAAGTCATCTATGACTGTAATACTCGGTGATGCCTGTTCGTGTCGTCGAGGGAACATCAGTTCCTTTGGAGATTGCTGATAGGTGCCTATAAGCACGAAACCTAAATCAGACAGGGTCTCCTGCCTATTATCTTCAACCCATTTTGGTATGAATCAAATTCACAATTTGCAGAGTAATTCGCTGCACAGTTTGTGAAGATGAAATCTCACCACAGTCACCTTTGGATCACAATATAAGCGATCTGCTTGCTGCCATAAATAGAAATCAATAAAGCAAGGTAAAATAGGTGAGCAAAACGGCTGTCTAGTGTTCAGATCATTCCAATCTGTCTGACCAGCAAACACTACTAGCGTTATCAAACTAATAGTTCATTTAAGTTTACCACTTCGAAATGAAGTCATTATGTCTATACGTATTTACATTGTCAGTGAATGGTGGTCATAAATATGCTTGTATTCTTCTATTGTATTTCAGTGAAGTTATTGTTGTCGGTGATAGTAAAGGTCGGATACAATTATTGTACAGCACTGGTGGTCGTATCTGTCCTAATCTCTTATTGGATTCTGTGCATACCTTAGTATTGACAAATGAGACTGCTGAAACTGGCCAGTTATCCACATCATCATCATCGTCATCCGGAAAGTCGACAGATTCGTCAGGCAGTAATAATAATAATCATCTCAGTCGATTACATGCAGTTGTCAGTGGTAATGAACAACAACAACAACGTACAACTCTTCTGCATAATGGAGGTCCTATTGGCGCCACTAATGCATTTAATGGCAATAATAACAGTATCAATAAATTCAATATGACTCGTAAATATCGACTAGCTGCTTTATGCCGATCTGGAAGATTAATCATATGGAATTTTTCACTGACCAATTCTGGTTTAGGTTCAGTGTCTAGTATATTCAATGCTACTGTATTTCCACAAATACTTGTCGAAGCAAATATTAAAGATATTTTAAATGGTAAGTGTTGTCTATTCTCAAAAAAAAATCAATTAATGTATGAGTTATTCTCGTGTAAAATTATTTTAAATTTGCGCGAGAATGTAACAATCCGTGACCAGATGAAATCAGTTAAAGGGATCATTAAAAACGAAGGAGAAGTAGACAGTTGTTTCCTCCTAGATCGGGACTCTTCAGGAGGGTGCACCCACTAACACTCTAGCAGGGATGTGACACGGGACTACGAGATCAAACTCAAAATTATTCAACTACTTGGGCTAGAAAACCATTGGAAAACCACCAGGGAGTACTGGATAGTTGTCTCGTCCTGGCTTGAGGGTCTTCAGCAGCGCACATCTGCTGGGGTACGAATCCAGGTCCTCCTAGTTACAAGGCGAGCTCGTAGACCATTCTGCCACAGAGACCTAGTCTAGTGGCCTATGTAGAGCGCAACCTCCAGCCAATGTCACAGGGCGAGTAACTGATGTCTTATCTGACTTGGTGGGGTCCACCATTCATGGATCATTCAATCGGGTCTCAATGGCGAACTGGTCTTCGAGCTCGCTTTATAACTGGGAAATCCTAGATTCGAACCCTAGTGGGGGTGTAGTGATGGGGAGTCCCAAACCAGGACGAAACAGCTGTCCAGTACTCCCAGGTTTTCCAATAGTTCTCTAACTTATTTTAACTGGTTTCTCAAACCAGTAACCAATCAAATCCCTACAAACCAACACTTGGTAATTCTAACTTAATCAGTTCATGATATAACACTACCACCCTCAAACATTGCCTTAGATGGTCATTCACTTGACCTTCACACATGGTGGACTTCACTTGCTAAGACTTTTCAGGATATACATCCAGTTGCCAGCAATGACCTGAAGATTAATACTTAGATTATTGAATTTTGTAGGAATTTGGATTAATTGCAATGTGTGTGCTCATAGAAGGCATTGGTGATAAGGGTGACACTATATCACGAAATGACAAAATTAGAATTCATGGTTCATTGGATTTCGGCTAAAGTAGCTGAGTGATAAACGAGCTTGGTGTCGTAATCTCTGTGGCAACCAACAAACTGCTTGAAGAAGAAGAAGCGAAGACAGGACTGGAAGTGAACATAGGGAAGATGGAGGTGATGAAGATAACCAACCAACGAACAGCAACAGCAACCAGCACAAATCACCATCAACGGGAGAGATTTAACAGAGGTTACCTCCTTCACTTATCCGGCTAGGAAGCATGGTTCTAACCACAGGCAGTCGGACAGCTTGGATGAAGTTGTCAAAGCCACCTAGTGGGGGTTCGGAAAGGCAAGGCTTTTAGCTTTCACCGGTTATGTCTTACAGCTACACAGAAGAACAGATTGAGCCACTGATCAGTGCACACACGCTTCAATAGATAGCTAGCTATTAGCATTTATGCCAGAGATGAAGTAAGTTGGTAAATGCCCCATGAACCTTTTATATCCGTGCTCAGATTTCGTTAGCAGTCAATCCATCAAGGCTGATTCAACTTCTCAAATAAGTGAATTAGCCAGTAGGTCCTATTACTTTACTGCATATCTCGAAACTAGGATTCGGTGTAGTACAAGGTAGTAGCATCAATTGTCACACGATTAATGTGACTCATTGCTTTGTATTTGAAAACATTCGTGTCCCAAGCAAATGAGTTTTAAGCGATTAAAAGGTGTTTATGTATCACTGAAATTTTACGTTAACCTGCAGATTAATTCTCTACTGAAGCCTTTTTTGTCTCAGCTTTACTTCCCTGTTTTCTTAATAATTCCTTACGCTTACGCCATTTTTTTCCATGTCTATCTTAGGTGGTCATAATTCTCGATTTAATTCTTTATCCTTCGGTCCAAATGGATATCCTGTTGTATATTTACAAGATAATTCATCTTACTTATTCCACATCGAAAGTCGTATTTGGTAAGTGTAAGTCGTTTTAAGCTGTTAATAATAATAGTAATAGTAATGATAATAATAATAATAATGATATTATGAAGGTCGCGACATTACACAGGTTGAATGTACAATGGGCTTTCCCCACATAACATGACGGTCCTAGGTTTGATCCCCAGTGGGATGATTGATAAGTACTGATGAAGAGTCCCAAAGTAGGATGAAATAGCTGTCCATTACTCTCTTGATTTGCAGTGATTCTCTAATTGATGTCGATCTCGGACGTCTAGCTCATCACTTCTGATTCAGTTTCCATTCAATGGAGTGCCGTGTGTGTGTGTGATGTCACTTGAATGTCTCTTCAACGCATATCCAATCCGTCTCCATTTACCTCTACATATTTGTTGAGCGATAGGGTGTTTTGTTGGCTCGCTGCCAGAGTTCCCTATCACTTGCTTATCTTTAGTACTTAACGAAGGTGGCTAGTGATGAAAATGTGAAATCTGTTGAAAGAAATCCTTCAAAGTCCTTTACAAAGTCGACAGAATTGAGATTGGGCGTAAACTATCATTGTCGAATCCTTTCGACAAATCATTGAAGGCTCAGAGGTCTGTGAAGAGTTCTGCGTTCTAATCCAATATTCCAGGAGCCTACTGACCTATGATCAGTTTTCTTCCTGTGCTATATGCACCAAATTTGTTATTCATATCAGCCATCAGCATTTTGCTGTCACCATGCGGAGTCTCTTGTCCATTACTGTTTACAGTTGTCTATAGAAGTCTTTCTCCTCCTCTTAACTCCCCTTGTTTTTAGGCGCGTAGCATTGGGTAATTTTAACTCTCCTTCTTTTGAAGTTGAACCGTGGTGTCATGATCGTGGAATGGAATGGTCTCGTTTGTATTAGAGTTTTGATGTTGTTGGTGACGTCATGCTGACTAGACCATCAGTTTGTTAGTTGTTATCTCCTTGGTGACCAGAATGGATTATTCACTCTACAACTAACAATTTGGTGAATCTACCCCCACCCTTTTATCAGCTCTCATAAATTCCTAGCACCTCTATACCAATCTTCTGCAATTTGAGCAGTCTTACCATTCGTGATGCGCACATTTCATGTCCCTATCCTTATTTTTTTGTTTTTATCGGAGTTATACACCTCGGTCGACTGGCTTCCTGAAGATGTTCACAAGCCGGCGTCATTTCACCTGCCTAATTTCAGCGTAGAATAAGTTTTTATTTATATTTTTATTCTGTGCTTTGAAGTGCCACTATCAATTGGATTGATTTCGGAAGGTAGGATCGCTAGCACTACTGTCAACCATCCCTCTTTTTTCTTGCTTAAAACTAGCTAGTAAGCTAGTTGATGTTGTTAAATAAGAGCTGTGCAAAAGAGTATTACTCCAAGAATGACTTCATTGGGATTTCCAAAGAAATTTCCACGAGAAAATAAGATATATCAGTGATGGTAGCTATATAACATTGTTACTTGATGGCTGGAAACTAAGTGCTAATGTTGTATTCCAACTGTTTTCAGCTGTTTATCTCTAGAACCTCGGGATATACAAATTTAATGTTGACTGTTTGATTTGTCAAAGTTAACATTGAGTCATTGAATGGTCTCTGTTGACACTGCATTCACAAACCACCCCAACTCTATGATACGTATTCAAAATTTTGTATTGTACAACAGAGTGAATCTAATAATCCCAATGGACGTAGTTAGCACAGTGTTTTGGTGGTCTTTTTCTCAGATTTGTGTACAAAACTTCTTTCATGTTTAGTTAATAACATTTAAGGTGTAAACATGAGATTCGTTTAGTGATTTCATCTCATATACACCAACGGTTAGACAATCAAGCCGTTGCTCAAATCCCGCTTGTCTGTCTACTTTTATTTCCTATCTCTTGCCTTTTGTTATACAATTTGTAGGATTGAATTGTTTGATGCTTCGGATACAGCACGTTATCAGTTTGCTGTGAGCGTTGCACGTGGTTCGCCTCCAGGTCCATTATCTGCTTGTCAACAGTTGAGTAAAATAGTGAATAGTGGAGTGAAGTTGACCTCTTCCACTGGTTCAAATTCAAGTCTCATGTAAGTCTTTATAACTTTTTCCAACCTTCTAACTCTTCTCACCTTGGTTAACTCACCGATGTCCATGAGTGGTGCAGTGTTAACCAGGTTTAGTTGCTGAGAGATGTGGTCTGGGACACTCTCGATGAATTGAGACGCCAGTAGCTGCGACTCCGACTCTTCATCCAATGTGGGGAGTGCATGATGTAGTGAATTCGTCAGCTTCACCGCCAACATTAACAGGTCTCCGTCTTGTCCTAGCCTCGTGACACGGGACTGCTGCATCGCCGACTGCGTGTCTGTTGAGCTGTCGAACTTTGCCATCTGTCGTCCAACTAATATCTTCCAGGTCTCCATCTCACCTGACCGCTCCGCATTATCGTACGCCGCCTTTGCTTGACCTCTCAACAGTGTCACCCAGCACGACCGCCTTCGCCGCTGAATCATTGGTACCCACCAACTTAGTGACGGCATCAAAGTCCCACAAGAAGCTCCGTATGTCTCCTTCTTCGAAAGCAGCCGGCCACTCAATGTCCTTTTTTCTTGCATACTCAGTCATAATAATGTTTAAAGGATGTTTCTTTCATCTGCCAATTCAAAGTTGAATTAGATCTGTTCGGTTGCTGTAATTTGGTAACATCCATGACTACAGCACTGAATGATGCGGGTTTGAATCCCGGAGGATACATGAGTTTCTTCAGGTTTGCGGACATGCCTTGCTGACGAGTGATAACAAGCACGCAGCGTAGGTCTTCCCAGATCGACTTAGTCCTCACAGTTTTTATGTTACGTTTCTTTCTCCTGTACATCTTTGATCATTTTAGTTCTTCTGAATTTCTTCCCTCTATTTTGTGTGTCCTGTATGAAGTGTGGCAAGTGGGACTACTGCACTTCTATGCAAAATTATATATACTTAAACTCAATCACTTATTGTAATCTGATTGAAAATAGTTTATTGCAAGCATACGTACCACCTGCTGTTTTACACAGGTGACTGACATTTGTACTTATCTTCACTAAGACGTGATTTAATATCATAGTGAATGTCTTTCCAGGATGGTACACTGTTACACTATTGTAAGTGTTTAACCACAGTAATTTTTCGCTCTTACGTCACAGTTTCCCTGTTGAACAAAAAGATGGTATGCCTTTCAGAATACAAAGCTACCTAACACAACAGAATAATTAATGGTTGGTTATGTGGTGTTTTCTTTTGATTTCCAACTGCATGTGTTTATTCTTCCAACCTTTGTACCTTCTGCGTGGAACGTGCCATCAGAAGTCTGCTTTCAAAAACAAAGTTCAGAAAATGTTATACAATTACCATTGATACGCTATCCCTTAAATCTATCGTTAATTGTTCCGGCGGGGTCATGGGGTAGATTATCCATCGTAGATGTCCAGCTTTCAAGACAAACAGATGGGGACGCTATAAATATTGGTATACTGCAAGCGAAAACGGGATGGACAGCTGACAAACATTTTACAGAAGGACCGATGTTCCACAAAACCTAAATGTGTCGAAGAAATAGCCAATTGTAAACCTGAAATTTAAGAGAGAGATACAGTTATTGAAGTCCTGTGAAGCCGTCTACCGTGAGCGATTCGAAGAGGGCTCCTTGCTGCATCTCTACACTTCCCCTGCACACACCCTCTTGTTCATCGAAATGTCACCGACGAGATCCCGCTGTTGTCACCTTCATTGTTCACTTAGAGGTTGGATTAATAGTTCGGAGTTAAGTCCACAGGCTGTAACATCTGGACATTGCCGAGACACACCTACAAACGAATACCAGTATTGTATGGGAAAGGAGGACGCAGAACAGTCAGCATGTCATTTCTTGGGTACATTATTACTTCTGGTTTTTCTCAGCATAAGCAGGAGATTTCATCCAGTTTTATAATATAAGGTACAATCAAGCCATTCAAAAGGACTTCGCTAACATTTTCTTCATACACCTAAACTGTATTTTCAGAAACGTGTTATCCAACCCCTTGACGTTAATTTTGTGTTTCTTATGTTTTGTATAGTTAACCCTGCGTAGTGCTTTTAATTCTAATATTTCAATCCATTTTTAATCCTTTGTTCTCCTGTTTCCTACAAATAACCTCAAATGATTACTCATCACTTAGCTACTTGACTATCAACTAGCTCAATTACGTAAGATTACTCACTGTTTCATTTTGCACATTATAATGTCTCATACACTTCGACTTATCGTGACGATAACCTCTTACCTTTGATGTCAATTAACACTGTATATATATATTTTTCTATTCCTTTACGTTGCGATTGGAAAATAGGGCTTAAAGCTAGAGCTTGGGAGATTCATTAGTAGTGGTTGTATTTACACGGGGTGGGGTTGTTAGCCCCTTTCGCCCAACCTTCTCTTTTTCCCTCCTTAACGAGGTATAGGGGTGCGTCGTCCAGGGATCGAATCCCGGACATCTGGCGTGACTGTTAAGCGTTCTGCCGCTGAACCATCGACTCACAACATTGTGTATATAACCTCCCTCCGCCGTAAATAACTGTACAGCTTTCAACTGAAGTTACGAAAAGAGATGTCTTCACTGACTTACGTGATCTTAATTACACATCTTATGAGGATTTTCCATATATCTTGAATTTTGTGAAACGTTTATTTATTTATTTACTTATTGTTCTTAATTTTCTCCTCATGATTTGTATAGTTCTGCATCATCAAGAAGAATTTCAAATCAGAATTTCCTTGAATCTCAAACACAACTTGCTCTTGCATTTGGATCTTCAAATGAATATCGTTACTGGCTGACAAGATGGTTCCGTCAGCTTATTGAGGATAGTAAGTTGTTATTAATGTATTTCATATTGATGCGTCAGTACACACACTCTATTCATACATATTACAAGATTTTTATGAACTTATCAATAAATACCCACTAAGTATCATTGTAATGTAGAAATTATTTGATATAGTTTCAATGTGTTCAACATTTTATACCAGAAGTAATTGAATTCTATAATAATAATAGTAACAATAACAATAAAGTTCTGAGAGTTTCTCTCAAGGTGTAACTGTGACGCACACACACACACATCAAATCATCCAGTATATTTCGTGTTCTCTTACCTGAATAGTTCAATCGCGTGAAAATTTCATTGTGGTAACTATATCGTATAGCCGCGTAGATAAACTGCACAGTTCAGAGAACACGCTTACACGAAATGCATCCAGCTGTGTTTTCATTTCCCAGTCATTCGTGAAATAAACTGAAAAAGTTCTGGTTGGAGGATGTCATCATGAGCTGACATCAGTTAGAGAAGCATTGCTAAACCTGGGAATACTGGACAGCTAAGACGAAACAGCTGTAGAATCTCATTCAACAGCTGAAACCTGATCAGTGTATTTATAGTGATTATCAGGATAACACTCACTTTCTCATTTGAGTGTATCATGTCCTGTCTGTCTCTCTGGATTCAACATAGAACTTGGCACCGAAGTGCAGCAGCTCCAAATAGCACACAAAGGTAGACAAGAAAATGTGTGAAGAGAATCAATAGAGTTTTGACAAGTATAAGAGTGAAACAGAATGAGTAATGGTAGAAAGGAATATGAAAGATTACAGAGACTGAATACATCTGCGTAGGCCATTGACAACGATTTTGAGCCATGTCACCTATTGTCTCCAGCCATTGATTCTTAGAGTCCCAAGGACCCCAACCCGGAAGTCTGCATCTCCCTACCTGACTCAGTTTAACTGTCAGGGATTTCATGGATCGGTGCCATGTTTTTGTTTGGCCACCAATTACTCTTTTCCAACCTGCATCTATATCAGCTAGTAATGCCCGTCGGGAGAGGCGATGGTTAGGCATGCGTGGCACGTGACCTAGCCATCTCAATCTTTGTAACTTTATAGACTCGTCGATTGATTTTCCCTCTTGCCCAACACTCTACGCCTAAAGTCAACATTACTTACCTTATTATACCACCTAACGGGAGAAAGAGATCGTAGACATCTATGATGAAAAACAGTCAACCTTTTCATGTCTTCAACTCGTATTGGCCATGTTTCAGAGCCATAAAGAAGGACGGAGCGAACTGCTGAGCAGTACACACGTCCCTTGGTTGATAGCCGGATGTCACACTTACGCCAGAGATGGTGTAAGTTAGCGAAAGCAGCCCGAGCCTTTTGGATCCGTGCTGAGATTTCGTCACCAATCAGTCCGTTGTTGCTGATACAACTTCCCAAATAGGTGAAGTGGTTAACATGTTCTATCACTTTACTCCTTATCACTAAGCTAGGAGTTGACGTAGTTCAGTCCTGTAGCGAAACTTCTCTAATCCTCACTCACCTTTGTCTTCATCTTCATCTCTATTATCTTGCTTTCCTTCTTCTGATGCAACTCCTCTACTTGATGGCTCTTCACTTCCTCTTCACTCTGTGTCCACTATAAACGACGGAAGCCAGAAAACCACTACCGATAGTCTCCTAAAGCCACGCCACCAATTTCATATGGGAGCATTTAATGTTAGGACACTTTGCTAAATAGGACAACAAGCATCACTAGCCAAGACTCTCGCATCCTGAGCCATTGATGTATGTTGTGTTTCAGAAACACGCATACAAGACCCAAGTGTGGCCAAACAAAAACATCGCATCAATCCATGAAATCCCTGACAGTTAAACTGAGTCAGGTAGGGAGATGCAGACTTCCGGGTTGGGGTCCTTGGGACTCTAAGAATCAATGGCTGGAGACAATAGGTGACATGGCTCAAAATCGTTGTCAATGGCCTACGCAGATGTATTCAGTCTCTGTAATCTTTCATATTCCTTTCTACCATTACTCATTCTGTTTCACTCTTATACTTGTCAAAACTCTATTGATTCTCTTCACACATTTTCTTGTCTATCTTTGTGTGCTGTTTGTAACGTGGCAACTTGAACTGCTGCACTTCGGTGCCAAGTTCTATGTTGAATCCAGACAGACCATCCGAGATTCAAACCCAGAACCCTCCGACTGCAAAACAAGCCTGTACACAGACCAACTCAGTGGCCAGTTCATGAATGAATTCTATATTTTACCAGTTGGTGATTTTAGCGTGAGCACCAGCCAATGTCCGCAGTGAGTCCTCATCCGTTCGAACACTTACGGTGTATGTGCGTGCGTGTGTAGTGCTGATGAGTCCCAAACTAGGAAGAAACCTCTGTCTAGTACTCCTTGACTTTCAATGCTTCTATAATTGATATCACTTTGTGGTTAAACTTGAGACTGAACTGTAATCCATTATGATCTTAATATTCCTTCAACCCATTCGTTATCTATTATGAACTTCACCTGTAAAATATTCGTGCTTATCATTTCACATAATTGATTCACTGTGGTTTATTTACTTGCCAACCACATATCTCCTGATGTATTTAGAGGAGTGCGTCGGTGGCACAGCGGTTAGGACACTCGCTGACCATGCACATAGTCCGAGGTTCGATCCCCGGCCGACGCACACCTGATATCAATAGTCGGCCTGCTAAATTTGGGCTACCGATATATATATATATATCACTGTATGTAGAGTATTTTCTATTTGAAAGATGTGTTCAAAGCAGTTTCACTGTTGATTGTTTTGCAATTAGAGATAAACAGAGCGTGTAGTGAGTGCTAGGTTAATTTAATTATTGTCTCTCAGTTGACGTTCACGTGCCTTAAAAGTAACCCTAAAGCTTCGAACAGATGTTCCTATAATTTGTTGTTTAAAACTCGTTTAGATGAAGAAGAACGTGTTCGTCAAATCATTCAAGATCTCATTGGTCCTGTACCAGTTGCTGGATTACAAACAAGTTGGCAGCCGGACGTTAAGGTGAGTTTGTGTGTGTGTGTGTGTTACTGCTACCTGATTGTTTCAGTTCTAGTTACAGTTTCTCTAAACTTGTTCTTTCTTTCAAAAGAAATGACCTATTCACATTGACAGGGATTTCCCTAAAGGTTAGAGTGGAAAAATCGACAATCAAAAGTTATACATAGGCAAAGCATTAAAAACAGTCTAAGCGTAGTTGAAGTTTGTGTATGTTGGGTATTTCAAAATGTTGACCAGTAGTTACGCTGTGTTCAGATCCACTGTGCTGATAACCTTTTGTTTTGATGATTATTTTGAAAAATAGCTCTGAAGTATGAGAATTCTTGTGACAATAAGAGGAAATTGTTGTTAACAATCAGCAGTACAGTATTTTATATATGGCACAGCAGTAGAATGCTTGCCAACCACGTCTCATGTGGTTCGGGGTTCGATCCCCTGCCGACACATTCCTTTACCTTGCAATGACTGTGAGGTCAACTACATAGGTCAAACTATTAGGCCGGGGGTAGTCAGATTGTCGGAACATAAGAATTCAGCTAAGTTAAGAATGGTTGACCCTGAAAAGATAAGTAATTTAGAAAAAAGCTCAGCGATTGCACTTCACGCATTTACACACAATAGAGTGGGAGAGAGTTAAAATTCTTAAAAGTTATCTAGGTAGGTGGAGAGCGAGAGAGATTGATTACTGAGTCCTTGTTCTTCGAATCTACACCCAACACATGTAATAGGAATGACTCAATGCAGATACCAGAAATATGGAAGATATTATTAGCTGCCGTACACTTTGCATTGCCGACGCCTTAGCGATCCGGACAGGAAACCCTGATTTATGTACACACCACCGCCTCCTTCTACCTTGGGTATGATTCCAAGTTCTACTAGTTTGTTTAATAATGCCTTTTTGAATTTTTGTATGACTTCTTGGTAACATCTTTTTCTTAACCAACCATTTATTTACTCTTTCTACCTACTACGTAATTTATTTTGGACACTTGTCTCCATGCACTTTCATTAACATCCTATTTTTCTGGGTGTTTTTCATGTCACGCAACCCTAGTCAGTACTTACCAATCTCCAACCCCACACCCTAGTCACAATTTAATTATACAAGTGTTGGTTTGTGGGCACTTGATTGATTGATTACAGGATTTCATCATGAGCCGACATCGGTTAGAGAACGATTGGAAAACCTGGTAGTACTGGACAGCTGTTTCATCAGACTAGTTTGGGACTCTTGATCAGTACGCACCCAATGGGATTCGAACCAGGTAGGTAGTTACCTGGGTTCCTAGTGGGAAGTCGTAACCAGTAAGGTGCAGCAGGTCAGGCGTGAGGACAAATTCTCGCCGAAGACACTGGCTGGCGGTCGCACTATGTCATGAATTGGCAGAAGTTGGAATTCCTAGGCTGACTATTGGATCGGGTTCCAATGGCTCGCCTTGTAACTAGAATGTCCCGGGCTCGAACCCCGGTGGTTGCGTACTGCTGAAGAGTCCCAAACTAGGGGGGAAGAGCTATCCAGTACTCTCAGGTTTTATAATCGTTCTCTAACCGATGTCAGCTCATGATGAAATCCTGTAACCAATTTGATTATTCATCACATTTGTGAAACACTCTGATGACGTAAACAATAACCCTAACTAATTTTTTATTTTCGTTTGACAATGCTAGTTTACACAGACGGACAGACACAAAACAATTATATATCAATGCGATTGTACAGCTAAGTGAATGAATTTTTCTGTTCTTCCATTCATGTCGGGATGGGTCTTTTCCATGAATCACAGTATAGAAATCACACTCTGATGATTGCATAAATACATATGTACCAATAAAATTCTAGTGACACGACCTCCAATCTACGTTGAAGTTGTTTCAATAACCGTTATTTGTTTTTTTGCAACCTCTTTCCGTATTCTAACATTTTCTTTTTATATTCATTTCTAGGGGATATCAAAGCATGTTCTAGCCAAAGAATTATTGAGTTTATTCGCACTGAATTTGCATTTACAACGTCTGTACGTGGAACTGAAAGAAATGCTGAATGAAGCAACATCATAACTGTTGGAACAATGAAATCCCTTCACCCTACTACGCTGTCATCATCCCAAAAGTGGACATTTTTGTCGACTTCTCTCCCATTCTCTGTGTATAATGTCATTGATTTTGTAGCACTTTTCACAATGACCCACTTGACGACGTCTCTGTGTGTGTGTGTGCGCACATTTGTGTACTGGTCATCACTTCTGTCTCTTGCTTTTGATACCTGACTGAACACATTTCATCATTGTATTTGTATTTATAACTATTATTATTTATCAAAAAGTGTAATTAATTTCTTTTTAGGCAATTTATCAAGTTTGGAAAAAATACCATAAGGGAACTTGTTTTTTTTTACATTGAGTGATTTGCTTTTACTGTCATTCTCTGTATCATTCACTGTTTCTCAAAAAACGCACACCCAGACAACAATTATGAAACGGAAACGTAATTTTATATATCCTGAACATATATATATATGTGTATATTTTTATATTTATTAATGACATATAATGTAAGCACTTTATTATTTTGTAATCATTACTTCCCACTTGTAATGATATTTACTGTAATGTATAAAATTATAAAGTATTATTATTATTATATTGATAGACATTTTCACACTTTTCTGTGTTAAATGTTTAAGCGCTTAGGTAGATAGGTAGGTAGGTATTTGAATACACACACAGGCGCGCAAATGTTTCGTTTTCAAGTTGGTAGACTTCATTTTATGCGGATTACTCAGGGATTATCTCTTCATAAGGCTAATAAAGCATTTGCATATTCTTGTAGCCATTGTTTACATTTCCCCTAAAATATGTGTGTAAAGTAGAGGTATATATGTATACAGAAGTGAATTTGAGTAAAATATACGTTAATATACTGATATATATATATATATACACCAAGTTTTGCCTAATTTAAGGAGTTACCGCGCACTGGCATTAGCCATTTGTTATTCCCTCTGTTTGCTTTGCTGGATTCCTATTGGTTGTTAATATTTTCTAATGCATCATTGAATTCAAATGAACTACTGTCACGATTTGACAGAATAGTTATAAAATATCTGGGTGCCGAGTGAGAAGTAAACATTTGTGAAAAATTATATTTGTAAAATCTCAGCGAGATTGAAATGAGTAATTCCAACGTTTCGTTCGGCAATCTGCTCCGAACTTCTTCAGGGAAATTAATCGAAATTAACATAACAGAGGTTTATATATAAAAGGAACACCACTTGTTTTTAAAAGCTTTGTCCAATCATGTCATTCAACAAGTATAATAAACAAAATTTTATGAACTGTGTTCAAAATTTTGTTTATTATACTTGTTTTATGACTCATGATTGGACAAAGGTTTAAAAACAAGTGATGTTCCTTTTATATATAAACCTCTGTTATGTTAATTTCGATTAATTTCCCTGAAGAAGTTCGGACCCGATTGCTGAACGAAACGTTGGAATTACTCATTTCAATCTCGCTGAGATTTTACAAATATAATTTTTTACAAACATCATTGAATTACTGCATTTTATAGGTCAATTTAACTGTATATATGTACAGAGTTTCTGTCTAGCATTTTGACTATGGTTTTGAAACAATAAAAGCTGTCTTATTGACGTCCAGTCTCTTTCTTTTGTTTTTGCGTGCCGGCGGTGTTGTTGTTTTCGTGCGATTGGGACAGATAAGTCATCACATTAAGTTAGTATTCCCCCTTAGTCTACTAGATCTTAGTTCCCGTCATAAAAATGTACGTTTGAAAAGAGGGTGGTGAATGTTTCTAGATTGAATAGGGATTATAGCTTCATGCGTCAGAGGTTGAATGTTCTCACAAACGTCCAAGAGAAGAATGCTAATTTTTGGCTATCATTACTGGACATCGACGTCCGTTTAGCGGAGCTGGAAAACCTAAGTAAATATATAAGTTATGGCAGAACATACTTGCTGTGCTCTTGTTTCAATATACTCGAACAGGTAGAACGGTGTGGTGGTCAATTATAGTTTAAATTTTCTCAGTTATAGTCGGTCTTATGTGATTTTGTATCACGTGTTTAGTGGGGTACTGTAATCAAATCAGATGATGCGTTTTAATGATGTTCTATCCACTGTTTCTACATAGCTGGGATAGTCAGCTTTTGCGTTTGCTATACTATGTGTGGAAACATCTTGTTAATGGCTTTTATCCTCTCCCGGAAATCCCTATGGTGCATATGGACTCCAGATTTCGGAGGATCAAACCCCTTACTAATCGGTTTTGGTCACCGACATCCATATGGATTCTGCTGTGCGGCCTCGTGGTTCAGACTTTAAATCAAGGGCTTAAGGAGTAGTCCTTTAAGACAACCACCCACTTTGTTATGGGCGTCCGGTCAATATCTCAGTCATCGCGCAAATCATGGAACAACGATCCATGAGAAACTATAATCGTATGGTCACTGTCATAGACTGTATCTCCAATCGTTTTCAGCTACTTAGTCTCTTTTCTATTTTATATATAAACTGTTTTGTCTTGTATTTCTCGCCTTTGCTGTTCCTGATATCTTCACTACTATTAGCTTTTCGCTAGTTTTTGAAGTCATTCCAAATTGTTAGTCAGCTGCCTTCATAATTCCTTTTTCCAGTGCTATATCTAACACGGATATTCTGGAGGCACTCAACAGGTCCAAGATTTCCACTTTTAATGTTCTCAGATTGATATAAATAGAAGATTGGAAATCCTCAATGTTTGCTACATCTCAGAGACCAGCATTCAAGATTCCAGTCAAGTCAATCGAATATCTTCCTTATCTGCAAGTCTTAATGACGTATACCAACTGCACTTATCCTCTGACTCCGTGGCATCGCCATCCAGTTTAGCTGACAATGGTTTCGCACTTGGCACTATGGCCGCAGCTGCATTACTCTAGTGGATCCCCATTAATAGTCATTTTTATGCTGTCAGGCTAGAAGGTTTTACTACAGTAAGAAGCGACTGGTCAAAGAAGCCTTATTCATTCGTTATATGTCTAGACACTGTTGGATTGCAGGCTATTGGAATTACAGATGAGTTGTAATATCAACTGAGCGTGCTTCTGAATCAGGACTATCAAACGAATATTTATCACCGCATTCTTAAGAATGGTTCACTTCCTCCTGGTATGATGAAGATCTGTTAGGGATAATTTCTAATAGCCGCTACTGCAATCACCACTGTACACATACTGATGTGATCACAAATATTGAAGGAAGCCTATATGGCGTCTATTGGTTTCCACATTAGGAACTCTGCAGCCCACTGACTGGCCTTCTATTTATATTTTATTACCTCCACTTTCATTTGCTACTGTATACTTATGCATCACCTTCAGGGTGATTATTTCGATGTTTAGCGTGGTAACTTATTAAAATTAAATAATCAAGTTATTGAAATCTGTTGTAGAAACTATCATTTATTTTCAGTTCAAACTACTGTGCATCAACAGATACGATTACATAAAATAAATGAGCATGCAGAATCCACTTATTATACTACCACGAACTACGATTTTTCACAGGGGTGAAATTAAAACTGATCTGAAACATTTATCATGTATATTTCTCACTGAGAAATGTTGTTAATTGGTCAAAAGTGGCTAAAGATAAAATTTAAAACTGACTTTTCGTTCTATTTGGGACACATTATCTGGATGCACCTTTATCCCAGTCGAATGATGGCATTCCCACCCAGGCTTGGACCTAGCGTCAGTCGTTTCAAATGCCAAACATTATCTACTAGGCTGTAAGAATGCCTGAGATTTTTCTATCAGTACAAAAATTACTTGGATTTATCAAATCTGTGATATGAACTAAAGAGTGTTTCCTGAAATAAGTAAGAAACGTAATCACATAAGTGCTGTTCAGGTATCAGTTCGTAGGGATTTGATTGTCTCCACACTTTCTCATGGACTGATATCAGTTAGGGAACCATTGAAAACTACGGAGTACTTGGCAGGTGTTTCGTCCTTGTCTTAAGCTTCTTCGGCAGTACATGTCCATAATGACATTTGGGGTCGAACCCAGGACGTTGAGTCTGCAGGCGTGTAATCCTGAAGAGTCCCACATTCAAACTAGACGGCTATTTAGCACTCTATGGTGTTCAGTAGTTATCTAACTGATAACAATTCGGGACTGAACTTGAAATAGGTTATTCACTGGGTATTCCTTCATTCAGACATGTTTAGACATGCGTGGGAATTGCTTCTGTTGGGAGTGGAGAAATTAACATTACATTTTGACTACGAAAGCGTTGTTTAAACACACACACAACACAATACAAAAAGTATAATTGACTCACAATAAAGTTTGTTAACGTAGCACCATTGACTATCCGATAGACTTCTTTCATTTCAGTATCATTCAGAATCATTGCCTCTATTTCTGTTGGTATTGGCTATATACAAATAAATGACGTTTATCAAGATAATTATAATGGGCAGTGGATATATATATATATATGTATCAGTTAGAGAACCGCTGGAAAACGTGGGAGTACTGGATATCTGTTTCGTCCTAGTTTGGGACTCTTCATCAGTACGCACTCATCGAGGTTCGAACCCAGGACTTTCTGGTTACAAGGCGAGCTCGTAGACCATTGAGCCAATGAGACTCGATCCAATGGTCTTTGAATTCCTTGAGTTGTATGGGATCCCAGTGGCTCAATAGTCTACGAGCTTACCTTGTAATCCTCCATGCAATCAAACAAAATCGCTACGAAATCAATACTTGATATATATATATATATAGAGAGAGAGAGAATATCGAAATACGTTTTAAGTGTGATCACACTTTCCGCCTACCTTTCAGAAAATAAAAATCTTTACACCAATAAAATCCCTGTACACCAACATTTTAAAATTATTCTAGTGACTAACTACTGGCTGGAGTTGCCTGAATTGGTGAGCCATTCGACTCCATCCCAGTGGCTGAATGACCAACGAACTCGCCTTGTAACCTGAGGGTTTGAACCCCGAAGACTCCGTGCTACTGAAGAGTTACAGACTAGAACGAAAGAGCTGTCTAATGCTCAGTGGTTTTCTGACTGAAGTCATTTTATGATGTGAACTGAAATCAATTGAATTCCTGCAGACCAACTCTTGAAAAGGCTTTGTAGTCGGAAGTGTTTCCTTGTTGACAAAATTTAAGCAAAAATATTCACACAAAATAATTGAGCAAAGAATATCCTTTTCGATAAATTCTTCTTCTGGCTCTACAATTGTATATATGTTTATATACGTAGAATAGATTAGTAGTCAATAACAATATTAGTGTTTATTTCCATCTAAGTCCCTAGAACATGCAAAAAATAATGTCACAACCCAACGTATTCACCAGTTTGGCTACACATACATCTTTGAAAGCGAAGGCTTTAGAGCATATCCCTATATGGTTTTAGAGGCAAATAGAATCCCCACAACCCATTAATGGTGAGAACAGGAGACCTAGCTCCTCTATTGAGAAACGTATTATAGAGATAGGACACTTCTCTTAAACCTATCTGTAAAACGTATTTGTTACTTATCCTTAAGTTTGTGGAAGCCCTGGAGAATTTGAAACCACCTTTGTGTGTTCAAAAACAATTCGTCATCACATTAAACCTTCCCTGCTAAACTTTGTTTTGAAACCATAGCAGATGTACTATAACCTCTGTTATTTGATTTAGTGATCTTCGCTGAGAATTCGGCGGCTGCTCCTCACGCTGATTCAAGATTTCCAAAATAATGTTAGAGCAATGAAGTCTGTTCTCCTTTCGTCTTCTTTTTTTTATTACAGCTTGATTCCACATCATATTTTTAGGAACAAGTATGGAATTTTCGGAATGTGATATCGGTAGCCCAAATTTCGCAGGCCGACCATAGATATCAGGTGTGCGTTGGCACGGGATCAAACCCCGGACTATGTGCATGGTCAGCGAGAGTCCTAACCACTTGTCTTTGGTATCCTTTTCCGTGCTACCGTAGTTGGAACCACTCTGACTAAGTAAGTGAAAGACGTGATTTACTTAAAATTATTTCCATTGATGATAATTGGTCGATGTTGTTGTCTAGAGATGTTCATTAACTCTGTCTTCTTTTTGTCCGCTTGAATTCCTGTCTTCACTGCCTCCACCACTTTTTGACGTAACTTCGTGTTTACATTTACCTACTTCCCTATTGCTTTCGATTAATACCTATTTTATGAGCGACCTCCATCATTTCATTTGGTTAACTCTTCCCATGGTTTTCTAACTACCTCCACTTATGTCTAAGGATGTGACATCATAGAACATCTAGATGGGATTTGATTATTTCTCATTCTCTCCTATTTACCCTTATATATACGTCTAATAATTAATTATGTAATATATATATGTATACATTTACTCACCACTTGTGATTTTCGAACACGTTCACTTATAATTTCAGTCATAATTTTTCGATAGATATAAACACAGACTGAGGCAATCACCTTTCTACACATTGAAACTCTATTCTGTTTTGCAGCTTCACTAGACGAACCTAATTCATAACCTAAAAACAGCTAAAGAAAACAGGCAGTTACGGGGTATTTGAAAAATAAGTGGCCATTTTAAATATTTTCAAATACACATTTACATGCAAGAAGATAGCAGATTTATTCATTTGGCTGAATGAATGATTAACCTTACAGAGTTGATCTCAATGATATTTCGTTTTGCCATAAAAGAGTTTTCGTTGGCTTACAGTAATAATCGTGTACTGAGTATACTAATAAGTATTTTAAGAGAGTAGGTTCCCTCAGAACCATTTTCGTTCTGGCTGCTGATTAAGTGATATAGTGCACAGAAATACCGTTTGGTTTAAAATGGAATTATTTATTATTATCATTGTTCCCTTGGTTTCCTAATGGAACATAGGGCTTCAACTGCACGTCTCCACTTGCTTCTGTCTTCTGCTGTACTTTTCACCTGCATCCATGTTAGTCCATACTGTTTCAGCTCCTCTTCACAAGATCTCCTCCATGTCACCCTTAGACGTCCCACTCGCCGCTTCCCATTCGGGTTCCACTCGAGGGCCTGACGCGCGATGTCACCCAGTGTCCTCCTCAGCGAGTATCCAATCCATCTCCACTTTCTCCTGCATATCCGTTGGGCAACTGGTTCTTGTTTTGTTTGTTCTCATAGTTTCTTGTTGGTGATTGTTTCCGGCCATCTAATCTTCAGTATAGAACGAAGACAGTTGTTGATAAAGGTCTGCAACCTGCTGGAAATATTCTTATGACCCGCCAAGTTTCTGATCCATATAGAACAACTGACTTGACGTTTGTATTGAAAATCCGAATTCTGTTGTTGATGCTGAGTGACGAAGATTTCCAGATTGGTTTCAGGTTGATGAATGTGTTTCTCGCCTTCCCGATTCTCGATTTGACATCCTCGTCCGTCCGTTTCTCCTGTAGTTGAGACAATGCTCCCTAGATAAGTGAAAGAAGTAACCTCTTTCAAATCCCTCCCGTTGATGGTGATTGGCGCTGGATGTTGCTGCTGTTGTTGTTGTTTGTTGGTCATTTTCATAACCTCCATCTTGTCTATGTTCACCTGGAGTCCTGTCTTTACTGCTTCTTCGACCAGTTTGTCGGTTTTCGCTTGTAAGTCTTCGATTTTGTGTGACATCAAACATAAATCATCCACGCACGAAATCCAGGTCTTCTAGGTTCTTCACGTCGGTCCAGTATATCCCTGTCTTCTCGTTTCCCACTGTCTGACGCATAATCCAGTCCACCACAATTAGGAATATCATTGGTGATAATAAGCACCCTTGTCTGACTCCTGTGTTTACTCCAAACGCTTCGCTGAGTTTTCCGTTGTGGATCACTTGGCATGTGCCGTTGTCGTACAGCTGTTGAATGAGGTTGATGAATATTTGGGGTACGCCGTAGTATTCGAGTAGTTTCCGAATTACTTATTTTAATTCCGTTGGTTGTTCCTACTTATCTGACGATGCTTAATTGTACTTACTGAACTAATTACATTAAACTGACGGTGCAAGACGTGCTGGCGAGCCATTATATATATATATACATATTATTTCTTGGGGTTTCAAGTGGATTATAGGCCTTCAGAAAAACATCTCCATTTCACTATACTCTCTGAATTCCTTTTAGGCTAGCCACACGATTGTCCACAACCTCTTATTCTCTCCTTCCATGGTCTCCTTCATGTCACCCTTGAACCCAAGTCTAACTGGTCGTTTTCTATTTCACCTCCCCTAAAGAGCCTGCCTTGCATCTGATGTCACTACAAGGTCTCCTCAGCATGTGTCTAACCCATTTCTATTTCCTTCTTCATATTTTTTGGGTAATGGCTTCTTGGTTAGTTCGTTGCTACAGTTCCTTGTCGCCAATGCTTACTGATCAGTTATCTGATGTTCAGAACCAAGACATCGAAGGCAGCAGTCTGTTGGGAGTGCTTTTCGTGGCGCGAATTGCAAGCTTTTGAACTACATAGAATCAATAACTTGACATTAGTGCTATAAATCAAAATCTGCTGGGTAGAGTAGATTTACACCCTGATTTCTCTCTCGCTTCCCCAATCGTGACACTGACATCTTCATCTGTGCCTGTCTCTGCAGTTGAAACGATCCTTTCCAGCTAAGTGAAAGAATTGACCTGATACAAATTTCTCCCGTTGATGGTGATTAATGCTTGTTATCGTTGTTGATTAGATATCCATGTTAACTTGAAGTCCTGTCTCTGCGCTTCTTCTATCAACTCGTTTGCTTTCGTCTGCAGATTTTAGATCTTCTAGAGTCTTCTTGTCTATCAGACTGTTCAAATTCATTAGGATAATTGTGCATAAGCACTGGCTGTCTGCCAGTCCCATGTTTTTTGAATGACTTAGAAACATGTCTTATACCATCAGCCATTTTATTATTGATTTGAATACAGTTTGACGGGGGCTTTTTAAATTCTGGTTATCATGATAATCCAAAATTACTACCGCAATTCTCGCTATTCTTACTTGATTCAGTAAGTACCGCCAAATTCATTTACAAAACACTACACTTTGCTTGTGCTGCCTCTTCGGTAGCACACTGTGAATTCAGATTTACATCTAAAGATCAAAACGATAATTCTTCTTAATCTGCATATGTGTTTCATTAAGAACATTTAGAATTTGAGTAAATAACTGCAAGTAACTTGTTTACTTGTCATCTTGAAGAATACTCTTTATATGCTCTTATCTGATGACTGTGTAACACCAATGTTCAACCTTGTTGCTTCCACTGGCGTCCTGTATGGTAGAGCTAAGGCTGTATTGATTTAGTGAACTTCTATTCACAATCGTTTGTGCGCTGTTACTCTGAAATGTTTAAACTACTGTGAATAAACTTAGATTAGAAATTTCATATCGTTTTATGAAGCTATATGCCAAGTATAACCCATTGTCAATCACTCACTATCAGCTAACTACTAATAATCCTGGTAAGGAATCAAATTTATTGATTATTACGCGTATCTGGTTGCAAAACGTCGCTCTGGTAAGCATATTTAGTTGGCAGTGAAGATTTTCAGGTAATCTAACTAGAAAATTTGAATAGGCCAAGAGAATCATCTAAGTAGATGTCATCATACCTATAAATGCTTTTATTTTTTTGTGTTTAACCGTTAGTTCTAAAGTCCGTTGTATATTTGAATATGTCATGTTACAACGTGCATCGGTGATTCAGCGGTAGAATGCTCACCAACCATGCAAATGTTCAGGGGTTCGATTCCCCACCGACTAAGTCGTCGAACTTCCCATGCCGGTAGTAGGCCCTGTGAACGGGAAAGTTTGGGCGTGAAGCTAGCAGCTCCATTCCACAAACAAGAATAATACGACTGTGACTGAATATTCAGGAACTCAACTCTTGAAGATTTATGCTCCACGTGGAGCTCAAAGGAACAGATTTTGCGAAATCACATATTTATATAATACTGAAATTTCCACTTCGAATATTTCACCCTTCGTTTATTTTTTTATTTTATTTTTTATTTTTGGTTACAGCTTGATGCCACACCGTATTTTCAGTACAAGTATGGCATTTTCAGCATGGATATTGGTAGCCCAAATTTTGCAGGCCGACCATGGATGTCGGGTGTGCGTCGGCAGGGGATCGAACCTCGGACCATGTGCATGGTCGGCGAGAGTCCTAACCACTGTGCCACCGACGCACATGATATTTCATGGTGAAGTCTGCTACTTAGAACCATTTTTTAACAAGTTACATTTGTCTCAGACTATTTCGCACCATTTATAATGCCTATGAAATGCATAAACTTCACGTAAAAATCTGATTAAATTTACAATTCTTAATATGGATGCTCCGACGTCGTCTGAGAAGTGATGTGATTTTATTCTAGTTGATTGTGACTGGCAGTGGAATCCAAGATGTTGATTTCATTCTATTTGGGACTTGTCGGTAGGGTACAACTACATCCCCAGTGAGTGATAATGCGAAGTCCAAGTCTCAGTTGAAAGAAACACCATCACTCAATGACGAGTTCGAATAGTAAGCGCCGAACATCCTGGATTCTACTGCTGACTACCATCAACCAAAGCAACATCATGTTGATCTCCAGATATATTCGAAGTGCCTCTACTAGGAGCTCACATTTCTACAGAGGCTGAGTATTTGGGTCTAACTTAATCAATCAACGGGAAATGTAATATTAACTTAAACAATAGACACGTTAGGTTAGCTAATAAATCGCATTTTGGGTAAAAAATTATTAATTATTGGTTTTGTAGGGATTTTTGTCTGATAGGTTGGAGGATTTCATCATGAGCTGACATCATTTAGAGAATAGTTCTGATGCTCACAAGCGACTGGCTCTATTCAGGCAGTTAACCTGGGGTTCCAGTGGGAAGTCGTGACCAGTGAGATACAGCAGGTCGGGTGTGAGGACAAATACTCGCCGAAGACATTGGCTAGTGGTCGCACTATGTCGTGAATTGGCAGGGGTTGGGATTCATCGGCCATTGGATAGGGTCCCAGTGGCCGCATGGTCTACGACCTTGCTGGCCTTGTAACTGGAAGGTCCTGGGTCCGAATCACGTACTGCTGAAGAATCCCACACTGGAACTCAGCAGCTGTCCAGTACCCTCTGAATGTTTTCCAATGATTCTTTAACTGATGTCAGCTCATGATGAAATCCTTCAACCAAATAAAATAATATCAACAGAAAATTATTATTCTCACTATGCGTATGTGAGCATGTTTCACTTACTTTTAATATCAGAACTCTAAGGAAAATTAAACCAAATAGGAGTAATTTTGCTTCTAGCAATGTAATTGCACGTAATGTATTTGATTCAGTTAAATTTATGTAACTCTGTTGAAAAATAAAAAAATAAAGTGATTACACATTAAAATCGATTTAACTTTCTCATCTAGAATCATGATGCTTGCTGGGCAGATCCATGTGATCGAGACACCGGAAGGCCATTTCCTTCATTTTGAGCCGAGCTCATCAACAGTGTAACCGGTTAGACTTAGTTCCGAGAGCCGAATCATTTCAAACCACTCGATTTCTTGTCAGCTGCTTGGTTGAACTGGAACACCATAAATCAATATCACCGGTAAGGTTGGCACCGAACGAAGGAAACAGCTGTTCGGTGTTTAGATCACCCTGATCTGGCTGGTGAGTACTGCTGGTTGATATGGGTGGTATGCGACTACTGATCTCAATCACTCAGTAGTATATAATTTTACGTAAATATGACTTCCCATTTGATAACCATTATGGTATCATTCAAATCACAGTATAATTTGGTTTCCGGGGAAGCTGTGGCTAAATTTCACCTCCGGTAACTGTGTAGATTGGGAACTGCTCATTAATGTGAAAATTGTGAATTTCAGTTTTCATCTAGTAGTCTGAGGAATTATTTTATGTGTTTATCTCATCGGATATGTAATGCATGAAAAAGTTAGTTTGAATTCAGGTAGTGTAAATAGATTCAGCCAGACAGTGTACACCACAGAAGAGCTCACCTTCAGAGGAGCGTAAAAGACGTCAGATGTTGAAATCATTTAGAATTTGGCTATCAAACAATACTAGTTGGTTACACGATTTCATCATGAGCCAACACTGGTTAGAGAACGATTGGAAAACCTTCAGGGAGTACTGGACAGCTCTTTCGCCCCACTAGTTTGGGACTCTTCAGCAGTACGCACCCACAGGAGTTTGAACCCAGGACTTTCTGATTATAAGGCCAGCAAGCTCGTAGACCATTAAGCCACTGGGACCTTATCTAATGGCCTTGTAATCAGAAGGTCCTGGTCTCGAAACCCGGCGGGTGCGTACTGACGAAGAGTACCAAACAAGTGGGGCGAAACAACTGTCCAGTACTCCCTGAAGGTTTTCCAATGGTACTCTAACCAATGTCAGCTCATGCTGAAATCCTATAACTAATCAATCATATCCTTACAAACCAATACTTGAATATCAATACTAGTTGATTAGAGTGGTTTCTAAATACTCAAATCAACCAGTAGTGTAAATAGTTATGGGTTTGGTTTGATACAGACAGACTAAGTGAATAAGTTGTGTGGAATTCATTAACTTTTAGGTTAGACGTATCTCACCAAGGTAAGCAATTATTACAGAATTCCTGGTATCATTTTCATACTAATCTTAGAATGACTTCATAACCGCACATTTCTTAACTTTCATTTTCTTATCTACGCTTTCCATTGAATTATAGCAAAAGTAATCAACTTTAATTATCTCCACAAATTTAGGTTTTTTTCATTTCAGTAAGTATATCCTTTTCGGTTTCTTGGATGTATTTGCTTGCCTTTTATCAAGTGTTATATTATTATCCCCTTGAGTTTCATTTAGAACTCAGGGTTTCAGTAGCATATATCCATTTCACTCTGTATTTTTCAGTCCCTTTAAGCTAACTTCACGGTTACCTGCACCCTTTTATTTCATCCTCACATGATGTCCTCCGTGTAAGCCTTGGGCACAGGCCCAACTAGTCGTTTCCTATTCGAGTTCCAGTCGAGATCCTGCTTGGAGAGCCATGTCGCTCACCGGTTTCCACAATGTGTTTCAAATCTATCCTTGTTTCTTTCTGCAAGTATTTTGGGTCGAAGGCTATTGGTTGGTTTGTTGTCAGCTTTCCTTTTTCCTTAACCAAAAGTAAATGATTTCCTGAAAGATAGAGTGGACGGTGAGAAGAGACTCACTTCCACTGCACACAAGCACACGATGAAACCCAATATTGGGACTAGAACTCATGACTCTTACATTAAGAGTCTCATGCTCTACTGCTGAGCTGACCAATGATGTATATTTTACTTTTTGTCAAATACTATTGTGGTCACAACTATTTTTAACTGAATTTTCAATTAATATAAAATATTATTCAGTAATTAACAAGCAAGTTGTGTTTGGCATAAGCTTGTAAAGTTTATGATAACATTAAACATCGGTAATTCAGTCGACGGCGAGGTCTTGATTTTTAATCCCCGATCAGTACATTCTTTAGCCTCGTCTATTAAGCTATGAAAACTTGGAAGTTTGGGAAATTTTACTGATATAAACAAATATCCCATAAAATTCATTAAGAAGACCACGAAAGCTCACAAAAAAGGAAAAGTAGTAGAGAAACTATTGGCGATAAGATAGATTAGAAAGAATTTAAGGCATCTAGGGTTTTATCATTTAAGGAAGGGACATCTGAAACCCTATGCAGAATTCTTAACAGAGTAGAAGTTACGGGCTCATTTAAACCTACAAAATAACTCAGTGACAAGCTTTGTTGACTAAAGGACACTACTGACTCAATTACATGAAATAATGTGATTTACACAATAGCTTTCAAGGACTGTGATTTCAGCTATATGGGTTAAACCAGTAGATGGGGGAAAGGCCAATTATCGGACCATAAGAATCTAGCTAAGGTTGGAACGACTGACCCCATGAAGATGAGTAATTTAGAAAAAAACTCAGTGATTGCTATGCATGCATCAACATAAAATCGTACAGTATGGTGGGACAGAATTACAATTGTAAAATGCAATGTAGGCAGGCGGGAGAAGAGTTTGATTACTGAATCTTTGTTCATCAAATCTACACCCAACACACGCAGTCAGAATGATCTATCATCAATGCTGAAGATACGGAAAATGTAATTGCCAATCAAATCAGATCTATGGAACTATATTAACAAATTTTGAAAGTCAGAGTGAGCGACCTTATATGGTTATGAGTAGCAAATTGTGCTCGAAACAACATCAGTAAGTAAGTAATACTGTATCATCACTGTGTGATTTTATCAAATAAACTGACTCTGTGATGGAAAATCCCACCGCTTAAAAATAATACGACTGCTACTGAAACCTCAGAGCTTAAAGCCCTGTGTTCCACAAAGAAATATAAAGAATGAAAGAAATAGATAATTGTACACCTACCAGTTCCAGTGTGATGAAGTAGTTTTTAGGGTAAACCTGACCTTTTAAAAGCATCGCATAAACCGTTGAATTCCTTGTAATAGCGAATAACGGCTTGGTTGACTAAAATTGTAAAAACATAAATATGGCAAGTATTACTAACTACGACTTAATGCAAGACGTTTACACAAATAACAAGATATTGGAAGATGCCTAAAGCTGAAGCTAATTGTCGCACACCTAAAAACAACCCAAAAGCAATTCTTCCAATTACTTGGAGAATAGGTGATAACTTCGAACCAGCGGCGCTTAGCACTCGGTCACCTCAGAGATAGTTTCCGAGAGAGGCTAACGAATATGAGACTAGATGCAGAGAAAATGATTTTCCTTACTTCCCCCATCTCAGGAGATACAGATAAAGTATTAGTGTAACCATTTCAGAAGAATAGTTCTTTCGGTTGTCGGACCAACACTGCACATTGGATAAGTAAGCGGCATATTTATAACACTAAAACGAGTAAACTTTTTCATAAGGTGTTTATGCATATGCACTTTCTAAAAGACCTGATATGACATAAAAGTTTGGCACTCTTAGATGTCAGGAGATTAAAAGAACTCCACATATAATGACTTCCTATCATGGAAGAACTACATTTTAATGACCCTCAAGAACAGCTGTTTATTAACACCATAAAACATAAAATAATTCAGCCAAGAATATCCTTTTCGATAAATTCCTCTTCTGGCTCTACAATTATATATTTGTTTATATACATGGAATATCCTGGAATAGTAGTAAATGACGATATTGGTGTTTTTTAAATAATATCGAATTGTAAAGTAAGATCAATGCAATTACAGTTCATTAAAGATTCCTAAATTATAATAATAATAACAAAGACACAGTAGCAAATAGAATATCAACTAAAATAAAGAAAATTTCACAAAAATTCAGGATCATTCAAACCTAGATGGCCAGGGTAAGGATAATGTCTTAACTAACTTATTTTGGATGTACAAATTAGGCTTCTTAATCTGGATCCCAACAGCCTCAGCAATATTTAGTAATCGAACTTTTAAAGCGAAATTGAGATTTTTTGATATGCGGTAAATGACCCTGAAAGCATGGTCAACTCCAATCTTATGTTCTGTATCCACAAGATGAGATAAAACAGCGCTGCGAATAGATTTTGTTTGTCGTTTGCTTAACCATACAGGGTGATGTTGCATAGGCCGTACAATAAGGCGTGTTTCTCGTCGAATTTCCGATATCGTTATTTACTACGATTCCAGGATATTCCATGTATATAAACAAATATATAATTGTAGAACCAGAAGAGGAATTTATCGAAAAGGACATTCTTTGCTCAGTTATTTTGTGTTTTATAGATGTATGAATGAGTATTTTTGCTAATATTAACACTTTTTCGAATGCACACAAACATATAGCAATATAAGGGAAGTAAAAACGAGCAGGGAAATTCTGTTGGCACAGAGTCTTTCAACAGATCAGCGAACAAGGGATTACACCAACAGAAAATTTTATATAGGAATTACGTATTTGATTATCTCAATGAAAGTGGTCATATGGATCTCAAAAAATGACGGAGACTATAAAATCATTTGCAGATGCCGTGATAATCAGGGGAACAGAGGGAATGGTTACTAATATGAAATCACTAATCTCAACATGATCATAACTTCAATTACTAAAGTACTTGAGTTCTAGGGTATATCACTTTGAAACATGCAACAGAATTCTTGATGGGCTGGCTATTAGAATGGAAAGCAATCGAAAAACGCCTATTCAAAAATTATCTATGAATAAACATAGGTAAAGCTGTAACGGCAGAAGATAAGGGCCAGGAAATGGATTGCTTATTGACAAAATCAGCAGATATTTATAAATTTTTATGTATATTATTATTCGTTATTGTTAACAGAGAAGCATCGTCTTCTGACTGATTGTTATTGTCACCTCTTTGTGGCCATTTCTTAGAAAGTCAGGCCATATATCTGCGAATGGTATTTGCATACGTTAAGTCTGCTGTGATTAGTTGTTGAGCTCCTCAAGGTTAAGCTTTGTTACTGTTTTTTTCTCATGACCCCGATTCGGGATGTGACAGTAACGTTAACTGATGTCTACAATTTTGGCTTGCAGGTAGCTCTCACCACAAAGCTAAAAGTCTATACTGAGGGTCAGAATAACAATGAAGATCAACCAACCAGAGAAAGGAGGTTGTAGATCATCTGCTCTGATATTAGAACAAATTTACGCAGGAAGTTTTCATGTGATGTTTAATTGCTTTTGAACACTTAAAGGTGGTTTAAACTTCCTAAATGCTAGGGCTTCCGTAAACTTTAGGATACGCTCCAAACATGCTTTATAGATAGGTTTAAAAGATGTGTAAACATCAGTTTTATTTCACGTCTCTACAATGTGTTTCCCCATAGAAGAGCTAGGTGGTTTGTTTTTACCACTAATGGGTTCAGGGGATTCGATTTGGTTCTAAAACCAAATAGAGATATGCTCTGAGTCCCTCACTTTCAAAGATAGATGAGTCCTCCTTATGTATGTGTGTGACCAAGCGTATATTGAGACTGGTTGATACATTGGAATGTGACACTATCTTTTGTATGTTCTGTGGGCTAAGATGGATATATGGGCTTCACATTCTTAATTAAGCGTATCTTAGCTGCATAAAAAGTGTTTTTAATGGCAACATTAAATCTCTGTCTACTTATCAAGCTGCTATGATCACTCGTGTAGCATAGCTTCACATGCATATCCTTCTTAGCGACAAGTTGGAGAATGGGTCTGGGTGTTTTGATCACTTAACATCTCTGTTCTCTCATCCTTTGACTCTTTAATATTCTCATATATATTCTTATGATATATACGTGTGCTGTGATCAAATAGATAACGTCTTTTTATCTTTTTGTTGAAATTCATAAAAGGAACAATCTCAAATGACAAAATGGAAAAAAAACAACAATGGACTAGATAGAAACAGACAGCTGAAATGACCCAGATGAAGATTTTAGAGATTGCGCATGAATATTCAGAAATATTGTGATGTATGTGTTGCCTCATGAAACAGCACTGAGAGTGACACTTTGCTCGAGGATTCTCGAGTAAGCACAAAAATACCGAGAAACATTTACCCCAATACTCCACCCGATTTATTTTTTAAAAGTTTTGTTATTCTTTGAAGTCTTTGTAGTGATTGGACGGATTTTCTGGGTTAGGGTCGCTGGCCCTAAATGCAGACTTCGCGAACTATTTGTGTCTGATGTCACATAAACTCGAGAATCTACAAGCAAAAACCAAAAAACTGACGGAAGAAGCAGCGAAGACATGACCTCATGCGAACAGACGCGTGATGGAGGTTATGGAGATAACCATCAAACAACAACAGCCAGCACCAATTTCCATCAACAGGAGAAATTTAACAGAGGTTAATTCCTTCACTTATCTAGGAAGCATTGTTTCAACCACAGGCAGAACGGATGAAGATGTCAAAGCTGGCCAGTCAAAATCGGAAACGCAAGATATACCCTCATCAACCTGAAACCTGTTTTGGAAATCTTCTGCACTTCTCAGCATAAAGAACAAGATTCGGATTCTGTTCAACACAAATGCGAAGTCAGTCAGTTCTTCTATATGGGTCAGAAACTTGGCGCATGAAGGAAAGCATTTCCAGCATATTGCAGAATTTATCAACACCTGCCTTCACTGCCCCTATATTGAAGATCAAATGGCCAGCCGGCCAGGAAGAATTAGTCACAAGAAACTCTGCAGTGGAACAAACCAAGAGCCGATCGCTAAACAAATATTTAGGAGAAAAAACAAAACATTCACACATATTTCAATTAATTAATATCGAGGTGGAGTCCATGGCTGTTACGTAACAATTTTCCCCAAATTTTACTGCAGTAATCAATCTTGAAAATCCGTCCTTACTTAATATACGAGTGCCTTGGTATAACAGTGGGCAATAAATTGTCCTCGAAACATCATCATTAAATGAACCTGTATCTTTATGAGATTTTGTGAAATAATTATGCTCAATGGTGGAATTATAATCCAACTCAGTGTTCAAGTTCTCTGTGTCGGTAGCACAGCCGTAGAATGCTTGCCAACCACGCAGGTGGTTCTGGGTTCGCTCCACGGCCGATGCACTCCCAAACCTCATTAAGTCAGTAATAAGACTGTTAAAGTGGGAAGGTTGAGCATGAGGCTAGCAACCCTATCCCGAAAAATAAACACCACTGCTACTGAAACTTCAATGCTCTAGCCTGAAGCCCTGTGTTCCATTGGAAAATTAAAGGAATAGTAATAAGTATAAAAACGCAGTGTCTAAATTCTATTCTTATATCAACTTCAATACTGTTGACATTTTTCTATGTATATCAATAGGCTTACTAATACGTCTTTTATCCTTTCTATTCCATTATTTAACCACAAAATCTTAATGACATCTATCTTTTCATACTAGAGAACTAGGGTATATGAATACTTAACATTATTATTACTACTGTTTCCTTTAATTCCTAGAGGAACATAGGGCTTCAGCCATTCGTCTCCATTGCGTTCGGTTCTCTGCTAGGGTCTTCACCTGGCTCCAAGTCTGCCCACACGTTTTAATCTCCTCTTCACATGACCTCCTCCAAATTACCCTTGGACGACCAACTCTCCGCTTCCCTTTCGGGTTCCACTCGAGTGATGGGCTGGTGTGTGATGTCACTTGATGGTTTGTTTTCTCAGAGTATGGCCGATCCATATCCATTTCCTCCTTCCTATTTGTTTCACAATCGGTTTCTGGTTGGTTCGCTCCTAGACATTTCTGTTGTTGATCTTTTCTGACCATCTGATCTTGATTATTGAGCGAAGACAACTGTTAATGAAGGTTAACTGTACTTAACTGATTAATTGTACTTGACTGTGATATTATTATTGTTGTTGTCGCTTGTTACCCTTCATGTTGTGAATTATTTTCCTGTGCTGGTGTTGATCTGATTGTTTTATTCCTTGTTTTCCTGGTTTTAAGGGGAGCAACCCACAAGGTCGCTTCTCTTTAAACTATATTTTAATGTAACATTCTCCTTCTCAGGCATGAGGCTAGCAACCCCACCCTGTAAACAAAGTTGCTACAGAAACTTCAGCACGATGAATACCTAACATACTTATATTAAAATCATTTAGGTTGTGAATGACACGAAATGACATTACAGTTATTATACCCTCGGATCTGAGTGGCACGTGGGGCTTAAGCAGCACATCTCCAGCTTTAAATATTGTGTAGACATTTCATGTGCCCATACTTATTTCGCTTTCATCAAAAGAAGAGAGAGACATGGGATCATCGGCTTTCTGAAGGCTTTCACCAACTGGCATCATTCCATTTCTCCAATTCCAGTCAAAACAATAATTTTTATTTTTCGTAACCTTTTATGTACTTTTACGTTGTGATTTGATTGATTTCCCGGGGTAGAGTTGATAGATCTACGCATAAATTTCCCTCCCTTTCCGAGTCTGAGACGGAGTGGTAAACTAGAGAATTAGTAAACCAGACGAGGTTGATGAAAACGTAGTATCTTGCTCAATTATTTTTCGGTCTTATTCAAGTTTATCAAAGGAAAAGCGAAATTCTTGCATGAATTACTAACAGAATAGAAAACAAAAACGGTATAAAATTCAACAGATTACCATGTTTCTAGTTATTTCAGTTAATATACAATCAAGAAATTGTAGTAGTTCTGTTTTCAATGTCTTCTTCTTATTCCTGTCCAACTTTGCATCGAGCAGTAAGTGAAACTGATAGCCTTTCTCTGAATTCATTAATTCCAGTTTACTTCCAAGTGAATTATTCACCTGCAGAAGAGATAAGAAATATAATGCAAAAAAGAGTCAATGTAACAAAATATTTTTTTATGTATAAGATGATACTATATGCTGCCCAAATCGACCAGTAGTGCTTGTCAGTTAGATAAAGTTGACCTGAACACAAACAGGCCGTTGTGCTCATTTGGGAACTGGGTTCATCAGTGATCCATTCGGTTCGATTCAGTTCAGACAGCCGATCAGTGCATAGCACCCAAACTCTGGCTAGCTACTTGCGCAAACTGTTCGTCGTGAGCTACTTAAAGCAGTCATTCAGTAATACAAAGTATCACGCTATTTCGCTTATTCTCTTGATTCTCACTTTGATTCTCAAAGGAAACTGCGATGACTTATCACCTCAAAATGAGTAATTCTCAACCGACAAATTTTGTTTGTGGGTAGAGATTAGACTGAACATTATTATTAATAGATATTTATGAAATTTGATTATGCTATATGCAAGTGTTCTTAAAGTTATTGATGCAGTCTGCAAATATACGATAAAAAATTCAGCTTAACCCTCTGCGGCAAAATTTCTTCATGTTTCATAATTTTGATGAATAATGCGTTGGGACATTTCAAAGATTAAAGAAAGTGACTTTGGTAAGATAACAGACTTATAACAGCATCAAAATAGTATCCCATTAGTTAGATTTCATGACTGCATGTTCACCTATTTATTTATCCATTCGCTAAATGGGGTAGTGTCTGGTAAGTAATATTCTCTTGCTGTCTAGCATAACTAACATAAAGACTAACATTGAATTACATTTTGTCATAGCTCAAAAGTTCGACGTTTATAGTTGTTGTTTTTTTTGTCCATATGAGGAAATTAAGAAGCCTGTAGACTCATTAATGAATAAGATTAAGAAATCTACAGAGGCATTCTAATAGATAATTATACTTTAATTCATCTCATCCGTTAACTGTTAAGGTAGGCTTAATTAAGTCTCTAACAAACAGAGCAGTAGCACTAAGTAGCACAAAAAAGACAAACGATGAAATAAAACAAATAGAAGAGGCGTTGGTGTTAAATACCTAACTATCCTATAAAAATCATTTGGAAGATCAAAAAAGGTCAAAAGCAAAATAAAAATAATGGTGAAACTAATAATGATGACCTTAATAGGAGAGAATATAAGACATCTACTTTTATACCATATAAGAAGGGGAGATCTGTGACCCTACGTAGGATTCTCGATAAAGCAGGAATAAAGCAAGTGGTATTCAAACCTACAAACTCACTCAGATAGGACCAGTTCTGTAGACTAAAAGGCTCTGTCGGTTGACCAAATTAAACAAAATAATATAATTCACAAAATACCTTGCAATGGCTGTGAGTGAGGTCAATCACATAGGTCAAACTAGTAGATCAAGAGTAGTGAGATTGCCTGTCAGAACATTAGAATTTAGTTAATGTTAGAATGATTGACCCCGCAAAGATAAGTAATTTGGAAAATAGCTCAGCTACTGCACTGCATGCGTTAACACAACCCCACAATTGGGTGGGAGAGGGTTAAAATTCTAAGAAGTAATACAGATAGATGGAGAGAGGTTGATTACTGAATCCTGGTTCATTGAGTCTACACCCAACACATGCAACAGAAATGACTCAACGCGAATACCAGAAATATGGAAGATATTATTATCAGTCAACACAGAGGATGATAATTTCACATTATAACATTCCAACAAGTTATTATTTATTTATTTTACTATAAAAACATCTTATTTTCCATCTCATTGACCACCAACAGTAGTCTTATTTCCCATTATATTGTCTTATTAATAACAGTGTTATGTTCTGCAGGTGCCTAGTAACACTATATCATAATAGTAATCACCTTTTGACAACCAATATGTTTAGATATCAGAAAAACGAAATCATTGGGATCACTTTCTTGTTCCATTTAACTCATACTGAAGAAGGCTTAGGAATTAAGTGGCATTGGCGAATTCATGATTTGTGAACAAACTACCACTGGATACACTAGTCGAATTGATTGTTACAGGTTGTAACCACTGTCTTTTTTATTCCTAAACTCTGGAGATAGCCGGTTGACGTGGTATCTTTTAGACGACAGTTGATGAACTACTCATAACCGTCTATTAACAGATTACAGCTGACCTTTATGTGTTTATTTCGTTAAAGGCACTTATATGTACATGATCAGCTTTGAAATATATGAATAACTAACTCTCTAGTTAACTTACATTTGTTAAGTAATCGGCTGCATTCTGTATTGAATGACGTAGTAAAACACCGAAATTTTCTGCTTTTGATAAGCTGAAAGGAGGCTAAAACATAGAAATTGTAAGCTTGGAAATTTCTCTTTACATTATTCACACGAATGTTCGATTTATTAAAGTTTTAAAAATACACTCAAGTGTTAATTGAAGTCATTAGTGGTCACAAGGATTTGTGGTACACAGAAGTATCAAAAAGTTAACCTTCCTTTCATACTGTATTTTTTCACTTAAAGAAAATGCGACTAGTGACAACGGTAAACTTCCGGTTCATTAGGATTCTATAGCTAAGAATGTTGTTCATTTAATCAGACCTTAAACTCGTCAGTGGTTAAGTACATCTCAAAGTTGTACCACAAAGGGACTCGCAATATACCAACCTTGATGGTGAATTAACTAGGTTTTAAATCAAGTCTCATAGGCATTAGGTCAGATACTGTGAAAAAAGCTTCGGAAAACAAAAGTATATTTCATACACTTATTCCCTTTAATGAATTTGAATAAAACACGAACAACAGAGCCTTTTGCAGAATAAAATGGTACCATCATTGTTGATTTCGTTGGCTTCTCATCAGCTACTGACAAGCCAAAGTAATTATAATGTTTATCTACAGGAACAATTTTGCTCTAGAAACTTGATTTTTCGTGATTGAGAACATCTCCCACTATGGCTAAGTAAAGGTGTAATGAAAACCATTAACAGTTCAGTATTGGACCATCTGGTCCAAACCGGCCACAAAGCCAGCCAACATTGAAGAATCCTTCTCAATCATCTACCGGGTGCCTAATAAACTTCCAAAAACATCGAAGCACCGCATACTCCAAACAGCAGAGGCTATTGCGATTCGCCTCAAACAACCAATGCTCTATGTGCAAAAGAAACAAGTCCAGCCAACCACTACTACTGCCCTGGCCGGCCTTCAGTAGAGACTATAAATTCATGAATTTGTAATAGTATCTTTCCTAATTCTTCTGACATTCAGCTTATTTTATGTTGATGCTATTGAACTGTAATCTATTGATATTATCGATTCGATGTTATTTAAACATTAATGTTGTTCATAACACCAATTCATTCATTCACTGTAATGTATATATAACTGTAGAGCCTGATGATGAAGTTATCGAAAAGTATGTATATAATATTAAACACTATTCCGAAAAATAATGATCATACACAATGAAAACTTTCGATATTACGTAATCATATGAAGGAGAGGTGAAAATATCCAGTTACCAGGACAAAGAAAAACTAATAACTGCTTCTTTCTGAACGCATAAATCAGGTTTCAGACGCTTGATGGAGATGGCTTCAGCAAACTTGAGGAGAATTGGACTCATTTGCCTATTGATAATTTTGAACGATCTTGCAACGTTCACCTCATGACCGATGTCTAGGAGATGCCTGGCAATGGCACTGTTTAAGGCATATGTTCCCTTTAGACATACGCTTTTTGGTACATGTTGAGAAAATCGTAGTTATGCCCTTCTTCTAATTTAACTGCTCCCGTAGATACATGTAAACTTGCATATACAATTGAAGTTAACATTAGAAGGATACCTATCGATTATTGATTGCACCAAAGAGCAAGTTGTTCTTGCTTTACTCAAAAGTATATTTAATAGGTTTTCTCTTCACTTTCTTGATTCAGACACTCTAAGTCGGTTATGGGGCTGATTTAAGCATTTCTCATCAATATTATCACGAACAGTGATCTACTCATGTTTATGAGATGGTTGTTTTTAGAACGTGAACTCAGTATGTAGAAGGATCGTTAACTGGATCACATTACTGATTATGACATTAATTCACAACCTAAAATTTTGGACTATTCGAAAAGATGAAATTTCACCACAGTTACTTTTGGGAAACGAAACTATTCAGTTCACAATATGTGACCTGCTGTATACCACGAGTGACTATCATGGAAGAAAACATCAATGTAGGTTGCTTTATACCACAGATTGGTTGATGTGAGTAGTAGCATAGCATTCACAACCAACTATTAGTGCCTTCCAGATTGAAGTGATGTAAGCACCTTTATGACTATGATCAGAGGGCTGAAAAATTTGATCAGCTACTTGGACGAAACTGGTAATACACTGGACGGAATTCACGATTTGTTATTTAGATAGTGTTTAGATCGTTCCGATTTGATAATCAGGCACTACTAGTTGATACGGATGGCATTCAAGTCCTCATATCAACCAATATGTAGAAAGGGGCGTTAGTGATCAAACTTTTGAACAATAAGAGTGGCCAATAATTATGTCTCGAAAGATTCAGTAAATTTTATCTAGATTATTTCTTCTAACTGTAATGTGATACCAATATCAGACGTAATTATATAACAGCTGTTGACATATCTCTCCTCATGTTCATATATATAAATATATACATACGTATCCTATCAGTTAGTGATCCCTGAACTCATTCGGAATCAAACAATTCACCATTGCAACATTTTAATCCATTTTTAGAGAGAAATCTCGACTTGCTATCTTCCACTGTAATACTTTGATGGGATTTACTGACAATTCTTCAGTGGCCTACCAGTTCTTACTACGAATAAGATCATTTGTGTTCATTATTTCTGATACTTGCCGATTATTTCATTGAATTTTAAGCTAATTTTGTTTATCCCCTATGATCGATTACATTGAACCGGAACGTTTAGTCTCTGTAGACATATCAGCTCTTAATACGGACAATTCGACGATGCCTAAGGATTATAAATGGTGTTATTTGGCGGATTGTAACTAGCCGTGGAATCTAGAATGAGCATTTCGTCCTGTTCACTGACGCCTGTTGCAAAATAGGTGGCTCTCGTAACACAGGTGGCTAAGTGGAAACTACTTCGGTGATCCTAAACAATCGGGGCCGGGTTCGAGTCTCACTAGGAGCACCAGCACTCACTTGGGAGTGAAGATACATCCGGTTGACAAGTCCCGGAAACAGAACTACATTTACCAGCCTCATCAACATTCACTACACAATAGTACTCAAACTTTAAGACTTCTACACTAACTGCTTTAGCACCTTTTGGTTTTATCATACCATAGGTTTTCTAGTATTTGATGGATAACTCTATGAATTTAAACAAAATGTAACTTACCTGATTGACGGACTTCTTCATAATGATTGCAAATAGTTCAATATAACCGAAAATACGTAGTCTTCTAGCATTTTCTTAAAATACACAATATTAGTGTGTTTAGGATAGCCGAATTGCCAACATACCATGATCTTGAAATACGTAAGAATTTCTTGAAATTTCTGAACGTTTATCATCTGTAAATAAATAGATATCATATGAATAATGTGACATTTTGTTTATGGAAAAAGAAATAATAGGATGGTCTTAACTTATGCGGCATTATACGACTATATTGTTGATATTAGGTGGTTGGAGGCAACTGGCAGTAAGCCTTGAGGGCCTAGGTTTCGTGCTGGTTGGCGTTCAGCAGTCAGTAAGGCGTAACTGCAACGCTGAAGGAACTCATGTCCCTTCTGAGATCCGAACCCGCGACACCCAGTGGGGCTGCAGTCATAAACGTAACCACTGAGGTTGGCTAGGTCCAAGGCTTCCTGCCGATTGCCTCCAAACATGATGGCGATCCACCTAGAATAGTGGCCACATTGCCAATGTGACCGATAGAATTCAGTCTGCACTAAAGATAGGACTAGACACATTACACTAGTTACTGACTAGTGTCCAACCGAAGCTACTATGCTCTATATGAGTTGTCATAAATCGAGACGAAGGTGTGAATATTTATAATAATAATAAAAATATAAAATGCAATAAAATATTTTCTATTATAATCATAGTTCAATATCAAGCGATAAAACAAATGGTTTCATATATAGAATAGATCAGAGAATTTACAGATCTTAAAAAGGCGTGTAAAATTAACAGGGCTAATAGGATTAGTAGTCGACAGATAGATTTTAGCACACGAATACGTTAACACACAGTTTAACAAGACATGAAGGATGGGTGTGAGAAGCTCTATTTTAGATCGACTTGATCGACTTCTGTCACTTTACCAAGTCCGACCATTGTTTTAAGATCATCTATCGATTTCGAACTCACTCTCTGCATTTTCTTTCTTCTAAATTTCTAAAATCAGCGGAGGCCTTGGTCGTTCATGAATTCAAGCCAGGTCTTGGTTTCCAAAAGAAGTATGTACAGTACCTAATTATACCTCAGCCATACAACGTAAAGGAGGAATAAACATTTATTTATTTATTTAATCTTTATACCTACCCCTAATTATTAAGACTGTCATAATTTCAGTTTTCATTTCGAACGGTTTCTGGGTTTGATTTGTACTACTAATAGGATTTACAAGTAGCATACAGATGCAGATAAAAATATGCACATCATCTGCAAGAATATAGGATAGCGGAGAGACGGATTCAATGGAGAAGAAAAGAAGTAGACAGTTCCCGTGAAACAACATAGAAAACAAGAAAGGAAGACGAATAAACACAATACGGAAGACACAGAATAGCACAATGTCGGAGATATATGCAAACTGGTGTTCTAATGTATGATAGATATATTTTGCCTATATCTGTATATTGAACTATAGATAAATCCTTCCGTTATCGAATTCTCTTGTGTTCTGCGGTTACTATAGTATTATTTCACGTGTCCCATTTATTATTTTAGATCAATGTATTTTCTGCAGTGTTGAAGTCTATCCTCCCGAACGTCTCACCATATTACGAAATGTTTTATTTGCCCACTAATCCAATACATTTTTTATCTCTTTCAAAGATCTATAAATTCTATTAATTATCTGATAGACACGACTATTTGTTTTATCATTTGATTTTGAAATACGATTATAAACGCAAATGTTTTGTCTCATTTCATACTATTATTACTATCCTATGTATTCACATCTTTGTTTAAATTTTCTCAGGGGATATATGTTTGATAGGATTATGAGCAATAAGTTATGCTGAAAAAGGTCATCCATTTAATAACACTGCATCACTGTTTGTCATTTTAAATAGACTTATCTAATATAGAATTAAATTCTACAATAGTTCCCAGGTTCCACACTTGCTCAAGTGATATAGTTTCTTAAAACACTGTATATATATTCAAACTGCCAAAGAAGGAAGACTTAAGTCAATGAAAGAACTGTTGCTGAATTATGCTACTGTCTATCCCAAGCAAAATACTAAGCCGCATCATCCTGGAGAGAATCAAACACGCCCTGGATGAAGAACTTCGACCGGAACAGGCTGGATTCAGGCGGAACAAGTCATGCATCGATCAAATTGCAACACTACGGATCGTCACTGAACAGAGCTTGGAACTGCAACCAGCTCTCTATCTCAACTTCATCGACTTTGAAAAGGCCTCTGATAGAGTCTATAGACAGGTGATTTGGAAACTACTTCGCCACTACGGGGTTCCGCCAACAATTATACACCTCATCCAACAGTTGTAAGACAATGCTGCATTCCAAGTTATCCACAATGAGAAGGTCACGGAATCCTTCGGAGTGAAGACGGAAGTAAGACAATTTGTGGGTTCGAATAACACTTTTATTTCTGACTTGTTAAGAATTCTAGGTGAGGTCTGAAAGGTTCCTTGACTCTATGGAGGCGCTACTGATGTCATATAACTTCTGTTCTTGTTTCTTTCACCTTTCTGTGTATGTTTGTGATTTACATCGTCCTTCCCATTATTTTTTTCTTACAATTTCACATACACTTCCTGATTAAATTATCGGTGTAATAACTAATTGCTTAAGCTTCTGTAATATGCCCTACCTCCTGTCTTCAGCTTTCTTTGGCTTTGTATAGTTTTCTTCGGCTCTAAAACTCAAACAATTCACTAATCCTGCTTTTGCCGAGAGAGCGTGAGAAGAACTAAAATCGAAATAATATCGATTTGAATGTGTGGGTTTTCTGTAAACACCAGTATTTAGATTCGCTTCACGTTGCCTTTTTATGTCACAATCTAACAGTACAAGCTCCTTTTAAGACTTTACAACTCATTTATAGAATCAGTTGAGGATGCGGGCAACAGGAATGACTCAACGCCAGGCCCGGAAATCTGGAAAATTGTACCTCCCCCTATGACAAACAGGAAAGAAGAAAAATGACTACAGAAATTTACTTTCAAATTTGTGTACTTAAAACTGATAAGATTATTGAACAATAAATTGTGTTTGAAACTTCGTCATCCAGTAAAAAATACTGTTCCTCTGTAAATGTGTGTGATATCCAACAAACAAATTAATGTAGAAATAATACAGAAGATTTGTAGCCCAGGTGGATGATTTGGAATTAGTTGTGTTCTCTGAGCTGATTGGTTTCATTTCAATGTTTTCGCCGTCCATCTGGACAACATCTTCAGAGCAAGTTTTAGCATTAAAATGAACTGATTTAAATTCTCTATGAATGATAGAGTCGCGTCTCGTGATAACCATCATCGTGACTGTTAGTCGATATACGTCTGTACTGATTATTTTTCTTGACTTGGATTTTAAATTTCTTGTCACTTGATTTACTTTTTACTAGTTGGTAAATCTGATATATATTGATATGTTTGTTAATCGCTGATTCGCTTAGTAACAACAGAAGACAAGGGCCAGGCAACAGATCGTTTATTCAGAAAATCAAGAGATATTTATGGATTTTTATGTACATAACTACTGGCGTTATTGTTAGCGGGGAAACAACGTCTTCTGATTGTTTGTTTTCTTGTTGAAGGTTATTCTGTACTGCTTGTGACCGTTTCTTAGAAAGTTAAGCTTTATTATTTTTTTCATGACCCCGATTCGGGACGTAACATAGACGTAAATTGCTGTTTAAAATTTTTGGCTTGCAGGTGGCTTTCACCACAGCTGGGGTGCCAGGCTTCTCGGAATTCTCCAACACTTTTGGTGTTTCCTATGTTTAAAATTTCGACATTATTCCAATCAAACTGTTGTCCATAATTATCTACATGCATTGATATGAAAGAATATATATCATGTCTCTTCACAGGTAATTTGTGTTCCTGGATTCTGTGACCGATGTAATGTCTATTACAGTTCACACAATTTATTTTGTAAATGGTATTAATTTTATCTTCTTTTTCTAACAGATCTTTTGGATTGCACAGTATCGAATGTAGTGATTGTGTTGACAGGCTTCTGCGCTATATATATTTAAAACGGTTTCATTATTCTAGCTGTTTTTTTTCAGAGATATTTTTTATATATGGTAGGATGAATTTCCTTGTAGTCTTTGATGATGGTTTCTTGTTGGTTTTGTGACTCGATTTTAAATAATGTTTGATGAAATTGTGAGAATATCCATTCTTTTTGAAGACAGTTAGTAGGCATTTTTCCTCCATTCTCTTCAACACTGGAGTGCTACAGTATGTTTGAACTCATTCAAACAATTTCTGCATAGTTTCTTTTGTGGGTAATTGGATTATTACAATTGTAGTTGAGTATTTGGTTTGTGTGCGTTGATTTTTTATATACTTCTGTTTCTAAATTTCCTGTGTTAGTTCTCCTGAATAAGACATCTGAAAATGGGATTCTGTTATCTAATTCTTCTTCTCTTGTGAATTTAATGTCTTCAGATATGTTGTTTATTAATTTGTGGGTATATTCCAAATCATTTCCTTTAAATATTATTGCAAATGTGTCATCAACGTTACGCACGCAAAATTTTGGTTTAATTGTACGCAGAGCTATTAATTCTAATCTTTACCAGGAGACACAATTCTGTTATTCATGGAAAATTTAAATCAGTTCATTTTATGCTAAAACTTGCGCTGAAGATGTTGTCCAGAAGGACGACGAAAGCTTCACAAATAAACCAACTACCTCAGAGAATACAACTAATTCCAGATTAATATAGAATTAAAGCATGCGTTGGTGACATAGCGGTAGAATGGTTGCCGACCACGCAGGTGATCCGGGCTTCGATCTTCGGCCACCGACGCACTCCTTTACCTCACTAAGCCAGTAATAAGACTGGTAAAGAGGAAAGGTTGGACTTGAAGCTAGCAACCCCATCCCGTAGAAATCAACACCGCTACTTTAGAAACTTCAAGCCTCTAGCACGAAGCCCTATGTTCCACTGGAAACGTAAAGGAATAAAAAGCAATGGAATTAGGAGAATGACTGTAATAAGGACATAGTTTTCTTGGTTGACTTACCCTTTTTACTTTCAATTGCTAATTGTTTCTTCTCAGCATCAGCATTCTGATATCTCATAAAATCCATTGGAGGATACTGCATCATGTATTGTATACGATCTTCTAAATAATTAAATCAGTTTGAAAAAAATGAGGAATATGAAAAAGAAAAGTGTTATCAGTTTTTCTACAAGAATTCATTTCATCCTTTAATGCTTTTATGAAACTGAATTAACTAGAATTACTCATTGGTTTTTTCATTGATGTTATTGTTAATTATTAGTTAATTAATTAATTATTAATTAATAGCTGATATATATATGTCACATGTCGAGGACCTAGTGGAGGAAGAAATTTGAAAAGTTTATTTTTATAAAAGATATGTAGATGACATAATAGCCATTTGTGATAAACCGACAGACGCCATAGAAATCCTGAATCGGATCAACAGAGCACAAAACAGTATATCACTAACATACGTTAAAGAGAATAATGGATGCCTGCCATTTTTAGATGAACTAATAACCCGCCAAGAAGATGGGTCATTAAAACGATCTGTCTACAGAAAGTCCACATGGACGGGACAGTACCTAAATTATCATAGTTTCTGTCCACTACAGTATAAGAAGGCGTTGGTTAGATGTTTGTTCAAGCACATTCACCGTATATGTACTGCCGATACAACTGAAGAAGAAAGACAACACCTCACTGAGATATTGTTAGACAACAATTACCCACTGAGATTTATTAGACGTTACGGAAGTGTCAGCCATAGAGCTTTACCAATCCAATCAGCTCCCAAAAAGGACGTTTACATATCCTTACCGTTCAGAGGTGATCAACAAAGTCTAGTCACTAGACAAAGACTCAAGGCCGCAATTAATAGAACCTATTATGCAGCTAAACTTATCTTCATAGAGAAAACGAGAACCATGCTGTTCTGTAAACCCTCACATTATCCGAACGATAGTGTCACATCCCACTGTGTTTATCAATTTACATGTATGTGTGGAGACACGTACATAGGGAGGACCCATCGTTCTCTGCAGGTTAGGGCTACGGAACACATTCCAAAGTGGCTGCAACAACAAATGAAATCGCCAGACACAAATGAACCCGGAAATAGATGTCCAACATCATCTATAGCGAAGCATTTTATAGAGACAATGCCTTCAAGCCGATATATAAAACAAGGTTGGGCCACGTACTTGAATTCACTGAAGCCTTAGCCATAAAAAGACTTAAACCTGTCTTATGTGTCCAAAATTTATTTGTTATCACCTTAAACCTGCCTTGGTAATCCAATTTGGAACCAAGGACCAATTTACTTCTTAATATTTTCAACCCCTTCTTTGCCTTGTTTTTTCTCCTTTTATCTTTCTTACCCACACCTTTTGTGTCTCCCTACCCATTATTTGTGGCCTTGACCAGTATACAATCTGACCTTTATTGTATTTATTCATGCCTTCTTGCCTTCTATAAAAACTGTGTATGACAAGTACGTGTGTGATCAGAATGTCCGAAATGTGTTGCACCAATACATTACACGTTTCAGATAAACTACGTCTTCTTATTGTGTTGTCGAAATTATTAAGTCGATAACTCATTCTTACTGAGGATCTGACTGTTCCAGACTGTTCCAAAATGAAGAGCTTTTTATCTTAAGTTAGTCAGTGTTCCATGTCGAATAGCCTTAATCTAAATCCCTCAAGATAGTAAATTTTACTTTCAGACACAAAAGTGATTTACATGAACTGGATCATTCCTGTGGTACTTGCATCATAAATTCCATTGAAATCGAAACTAAGTCGAATGTTAAATACCATGGATTATGTCTTCCATCTAATCTTTTCTCACTTCACTCCCACTTCACCCTAATTTCTAGAAAGATAATTCTTCTAACCTTCTGTATGAGGAAGTTTACAGTTTGTTAATTCTTGCCTTCTGCCTATTCTTCATTATTGCTCCCAATTAATCTGGTTTGGGCTACTTAAGAAAGACTTTGTGACATTGCGAAAGGCACTCAAAGTTGTCGTTAGGGTAGGTGAGATAGCGTCAAATCAACTAGTTAATACTATTGTAGACAGACACTTAAATTCGCACAACAAAACTGGCGAATAACATCTTGTGAGACTTTGAGTATCCTTTCTATACACAACTCTTTCCTTGCATCTAATATGGTAGGACTAGATGGTATCATAAAATACTTTATGCTTAGATGACTAAGTATTATCAAATCAACGATACCTTATTCGATATGCATTGCATAGGATGAGAACCGGTGTTAGCTATGAAACCATTAACTTACTCTGAGACAGTGAATGTTTCTGGTCAAAATAGTTTATCCTAGTAGATTTGTAAGGAGACACATGAACACCAGGTATAATAAAGAGAAACTGACAACAGTTAAAGAGAAACAGATGTTCCTGAAATTGAAATTTTTTGGGGACGTAGCTAGTGAAGTCCTACACCACCACCCTCTTTTTGTCATTTTCCAACTACTGACCAATTATGGTTGCTCGAGCGAAAGACAAGCTGCCTAGCTGTGCCACTTCTATGTGTATTAACAAATTTAGTTGCTCCTGACGAAAAAGCTATATAGGACGAATAACTAGACAGCTCAGCAAACGCATTAATGAGCATCTTCCCTGATGGTTTGGAAAAGGCCAAATAAAATCTATAAGAAGTTCTATTTTGACTCACTGATAGTGGTCACCAAGTGGGCAGAGAAAGTGCCTTCAAAGTCACCTGTCTCATTCCACTGAACCTTCCGAACGGAATTCGAACCCGCCTGCTAAACACATCGCCGAAGCTATGGGAATTAATTCGAGAGAACAATCCTGGTCTCTGCATACAAAAGAGGTTTTTCTAGCTTTGACTCCCCCACCTTTGGCCTAGGTGAATTCTAATCAAAACCCTCCCACCCTTTCTTATTTTCTTTCTCCTTCTTATTTTTATGGTACTTATTTAAACTCTGTTTATCTGTCCACTTCACCTTTAGTATTACGTAACCTTTAGGATTTGACCTAATTTATATATTGAATTGTCTACATATACACATATTACTTCCTTTGTTATTCTTATCGCCACCTGCATAAACCTTATTATCAATATTTTGTTATCATTATAATCATCGTTATTAACTACGTTCAAAACATTTACCACATTATTATTGTTATTATTTGATCCACAAAATATCCGTCATTGGTTAAAATTTTTTATATATAAATCTATGTAAATTAGAGTAAAGCCTGAAGAAGATCTAATTGAAAACAACAGTATTGTTCGCTTATATGTCTTGTTCTAAAGTTCCTAAAGTTTCCGATTTATATATTTATATTTTTATTGACATTATTATCAGTATAGATGTCCTGTATTTCTATTTTCCCCTCTTATTACGTAACGTAAAGAGACAATTACAGGCAATATTGTTGTACATTCTACATTGTGTCAAATGTGCTGCTTCGGAATAAAGCCATCACTATTATCACTAATAATAACAATGTTTATTAAAACTATAGTAAGCGCGTCTGTGGTATAGCGGTCAGGACGCTCGCCGACCATGCACATGGTCCGGGGTTCGATCCCCAACCGACGCACTCCTTTACCTCGCTAAACCAGAAATAATGCTGGTAAAGAGGAATGGTTGGGCATGAGGCTAGCAATCCCATCCTGTAAGATAAACACTGCTACAGAAACTTCAAGCCACTAGCTTGGAGCCCTATGTTCCACTGGGGAGCGTGAAAGAGAAAAAAACTACAGTAGATAAAATTAATTCACACAGAATATATCATCAATAAACTATAATTGTTGAAATAGTTCTGACTTGTAAAATACCAATTTTAAAAGTAGATTCATACTTATCTAAGCTGCCGAACACTAGGGGCAATCATCATATTGTAGAGGCATAAGATGACAAATGTGAGCAAATTATGTTTAGGTATTTTTATTTCATTACTTATCCACATCAGGTGTCTTATTTTTATGTGATCAATACTGCTAGCTTTGTAGCACCGAAACATTAGAGTACTTGGTAACAATGTAAAGAAATCCGCAATTTCCACATATATTCAGCATTGCGCTTCTTTGTCTTCCTTTCATGTTTCCTATGTAGTTTCACAAAAAACCATTAATTTCTTTTCATTGTCATTAAATCCGTCTCTCCACTGTTTGATATTCTTGCAAATGGTTTACAGAATTTAACCCATATCTATATATTACTTATAAATATTGTCGGTAGCATTCACTACAACCTTAGGAGACTGATTTTAAAATGTGATCGTTTACGGGTTTATCACAACTTAAATCTGTTGTTTTTTTTATGTATGGGATTCTGACGAGTCTTTCACTGGGTCAGACTTATCATTATGAATAAGTAACGATGAATGATAGTCGTTTGATGAAAAGTGACTTTCATAGGTCAGTAGCCTAGAAATAAGTATTCATTGGTTTTTAGAGCTGATGGTTGCCAGCTACGGTGCTTATACCTTTACCTGTCAGAACATAAATATAAGTAGATAAAGATATGCTAATAGAAAAGAAACACCTTGACTTTTCCCATCTGTTGTCAAAATCAGACTTGCTTTTATCGGTGTGTATACAAATAATAATGAAACTTTGGGTTTCTAATACTACTGTGGTGAGAGCTGTCTGCTAGCCAAAATCGTAGACAATAATTTACGTCAATGTTGCATCCCGAATCGAGGATGAGAAGAAAACAAAGCTTAACCTTGAGGAACTCATCAACCAATCACAACAGACTTAACGTGTGCAAATACTACTCGCAGATATACGGTCTGACTTTCTAAGAAACGGCCACAAAGAGATGACAGAATAACCTTCAGCAAGAAAACAACCAATCAGAAGACGTTGCTTCTCTGCTAACAGTAACGAATAACGATGTACATAAAAATCTATAGATATCTGTTGATTTTCTGAATAAACTATCTGTTGCCTGGCCCTTGTCTTCTGTCGTTACATTTGTTGTCATTGCCTGTCGACAGATAGAAAGTCTATGCTCTGCAGTTTTTGATGGAGACATATGGATCTTCGGCCAAGACTTTGAGGCTGTTACTTGGAACGGTACTGGGAGGTCGGGGAAAGGCAGCATATGAAAGTCTGAGGCGAAACACCGACGAATGCCTCCAGGGTCATGTAAACAGCTTCCAAAATGGGAGGAACCAAACACAGTCACTGTGAGGTGGGGTCACGTATATACGATCAGAACTGCAAACAAAGAGGATAGGGTGAACGTCAGCGAGCTCCGGAACCCCGGACACAGCAAGACAAGCTAACAAAGCTGCCAGCACCAAGAAGATCGAACTGACTTCAGCCGAAAGTTTTTGATGGGGGAACGAGTGTGATGATGTGATACAGACAATGTGTTCCAGCGGAATATTATTCTCACATATTCTCACAGTTCAATACTCAATAGGCGCCAGAATACTACGTATTTGAACATTCTATTCCACGCCATTTAATGTAAACCGAAATGGCACGCTCAGTGTTTGGTTAAAGGATATAAACTATGTATAAATAAACAGCGGTTTGATTAATGAAAAAATATACCTTGACTTCCGTGTCTTGCCTTCTGCTATAACACTACTACTAATACTATTACGGTAGTGTAGCGGTATCATGCAACCCTCCCACAGTTGCAACCCCGTTTTGACTCCCGACCGGCGCACACGGCGTTTGGTCCACCGAGGAAGAGGGCACTCGAGTGGTTGCGCCACAGGATGATCCTCCATGCCGTTCTCGTCTCGCAAGAGGCGGGGATGGGTATGTTTGGTTCACCTGAAAACTAATACCCAGTGAATTGGTGTATCATTGTGTGAATAGTGCGTCGGTGGCATAGCGGTTAGGACGCTCGCCGACCATGCACATGGTCCGGGGTTCGATCCCCGGCGAACGCACTCCCTTACCTCGCTAAGCCAGAAATAAAAGCTGTTAATGAGGAAAGGTTGGGCATGTGGCTAGCGACCCCATCCTGTGAAAATAAACACTGCTACAGAAACTTCAAGCTTCTGGCTTGATGTCCTATGTTCCACTCGGAACGTGAAGGAATAAAAAAAATTACTATTACTAACCTTTGGAAAATGTTTTCAGTAATGCAGACTGCCATAATACATTTTGCTGCTGTAACTGTTGAAGCATCATAAATTTCATGAAGTTATCCATATCACCTTTTGGATCTAAGGAACAGAATATATTGCAGCAAAGGAAAAAAAGTGTTGTAGCAATATTAATTATTAATGGAAATAATTTGCTGCGTGCTACTGTCGCCAGGTCTGTAATACAGTTCACATGGGATCGTGTAAAACTGACAGATAGACAGCTTTTCAATGGACTAAGATATTTATGATTCAGTGTACTGATCTTATTGTTATAGCGGTATTATGACTCATTTTGAAAGGATACAGATTAGTAACAATCTTGTTTAATTTTTGTACTGACATGCATCAATAATGATTCAGAAGATTTGTAGGTCAGGTGGATGGTACTGATATGGTTGTGCTCTGACAGCTGGATGGCTTAACCGAAGTCATCTTTGAAGATATTGTCCAAGAAGACAATGAAAGCTTTGCATTAAATCAACCATCTCAGAAAACACAGCTAAATCAAAATCATCCACCTGAGGCACAAATCTTCTTCATTGTTTTGAAAGCTTGGCGATAAAGACATACAGCTGAGAGAGAACAACTACGACTTAATTGGCTAACCTCTAAAACTAAAGACTTATAATTCTTGAACAGTATTATTTGTCAAGCAGTTTACTCTATACAATTGTACTTATAATATTTGTAGTTGTGATAGATTTAGTCACGAGCTGACATCAGTCAAAGAACCGACTGGAAACCAGGGAGTACTGGTCATTTGTCTCGTCCCCGACTGATACTCTTTATCAATACGTACCCACTGGGGTTCAAATCCAGGACTTTCTGGTCACAAGGCGTGTTCGTAGACCATTCAGCCACTGGGACCCAATCCAATGACTCATGAATTCCAATTTCTGTCAATTCATGATACATATAATTAATCTGATGCTCACTAGTGACTGGCTCTATATAGAAAGTTACCTGGAGTTCCAGTAAGAAGTCGTAACAAGCGGGAACCACTAAGCCAGGTAAGCGAACAGTTACTGGCCTATGACATCATCTGGTGGCTGCGCTACACATTGCAAATCAGCAGAAGTTAGAATTCATGGGCTAGTGAATTGGGGCCCAGTCTCTGAACAGTCTACGAGCTCGCCTTGTCACCGGAAAGTCCTGAATGCAGACCGCAGTGGATGTGTACTGATGATGAATCCCGAACTAGGAAGAAACAAGTACTTTTTGTGTTTGCCCAAGGAATGATTGTTTTTCCACTGGCTTGTTTTTCTAATCTCCTGGTGTAAATTAGATTCTTGACCCGTTTCAGTTCTTTTCAAATTATACCCATTTTTATTTTGTTTTCGGCCATTTGTATTTGCAGTCACTATTGTTTTTGTACATCCATACCATCTAAAAACTTCTTAGAAAAACTTTTTTGAGAAAACTGTGAATTCAAACTTATTGTATGCTAGCTATCGTAATGTCTTATAGTAACTCACTGACTTGTCTGTAGTATCACACGTGTACTTGTACTTAGTTTATGAATGCATACTGTATTTATTTTTATGAAAAAAAAATGTGTAGTTATCTTTGACTAACTTTCAGAAGTCATTTGAGTAGATTGTTTATCTGAATCCAAAGGTTGTTTCAATGCCTTCATTTAAAAGAAAAGAGCAGAATAAAAGGAAATAAGAAAATATTGAATTATTCAAAAGTAAATCCATAGCTATTTTTAAAAAATTAATAGATTTGTATATTATACTGATGATTTTTATATATTAAGCGTATTAAATTTCATTTTGGCGCAATAGAGTTACAAACACATATATATATATAATCATAATTCCCTTGGGTTCCTAATAGAACATGGAGTTTCAACAGCTCGTCTCCATTTTGTCCCGTTCTCTGCAGCTCTCGTCAACTGGTCCCATCACTTCCCGTAAGCTTTCATCTCCTCCCCACACTATGTCCTCCATATCAACCTAGGATGTCCAACTCGTCATTTCCCATTGGGATCCCTCTCGAAGAACTTCCAAACACGTGATGTCATCGAGCGATCTTCTCACTGTGTGTCTAATCCCTCTCCAGTGTTGAGCAACAGGAACTTGGTTGGTTCGTTTCCAGAAGCTCTTTGTTGCCAGTCCTTTCTGATCATCTGCTCTTCAGTAAGAAGCGGAGGCAGGTTTTCATAAAAGTCTTCAGCCTGTTGGAAACGCTTTTCGTAACATGCAGTGCAAGTTTCTAGCGCATAGAGAAGAACCCGTTTAACACTACTGTTGTTTCTCACGCTGACTACAGCAAACTTTCAAACTGATTTCAGAGTGATGAAGGTCTGTCCAGCCTTTCCGATTCTGGTTTTGATATCCTCATTCGTGTCGTCCGCCTGTAGTTGAAACGATGCTGTGTAGATAAGGGAAGGAAGTGATCTCTTCCAAGTTTCTCCCTTTGATGGTGATTGGTTCTTGCTGCTGTCGGTCAGTTATCTTCATCACCTTCATCTTTTCCACATTTAGCTGAAGTCCTATCTTTGCTTCTTCTCCTGCCAACTTGTTGGTTTTCTCCTGTAGATCTTTGACTCTAAGTGACGATAAATTCAAATCATCCGCGAATCCCAGATCTCCTAGAGTCTTCTTACGGATCGAACGTATTTGTGTCATCTGGCTCACCCCAATCTGTCGCGTGATTTTAGCCCATCAAAGACAGAATAATCACAGGTGAGTGATAGTTGGCAGTCTTGTCTTACTCCTGTCATCAGTATGTATATATACATATATGGCCATAAAATAAGGTAGATATTTAACACTTGTTTTTGTGAAGTTGTTAAGATCATCCGCATTCGAAATATTATATGTCGTACTTTATGGGAAATATCATTTTTCTTTATTATTGTATAAAATTAAAGAAGGATTGTTCCGGTTTTAACACGACATCCTTATTAAAGTGTATTAATATACTGAACATGCATGACATTAAATATGTTTTTATCCTGTGTTATTGGTCGATTGGTGTCTGAAGTGATGAAAATTCATCCATACACATTATCCCTATTCACATCCACTACTTAAGCGAACACTCAGTGCATAGAATCTCTTCCCATCTTTCCAAATAGACAGATGTTCTATAGTATTTCTTTGTTACTAATACAATTCCCCAAGTCTTCACTTGTGCCTTTCTGATATAATGTTGTCGTTATTCGGTTAGACATAGCTCGTGGTACCCTAGAGATAGTGAAGATTTAGTTCGATTCTAGTATACACTTTGTTCTATTCGGTGTTGTCCTCCTTAGCTGGGTCCACGATTGCCAATAATCTCTCATCTCTTCCCACTCAACACACGATCTCCTCCGTGTCAACCTCTCATCAAAGACTCTCTCATCGCTTCCCATTGGGATTCCACTCAAGCTATGACCTGCATTACATGCGACGACGGTATTGACGGTTTCTTCAACATATGTTTGATCCATCTCAGTTTTCTCCTACATACTTGTTGAGCAATCGGCTCTTGGTTGATTTGTTGCCAACCAGAGTTTCTTGGTGCCTATTGTTTCTGGATGGCCATTTCATCTTCAGTAAAGAGCCAGCGAAGGCAGCTACTGTCACTAGGAAACATTTAATTTCTTTTTCTTTATCCGCCGTAAAATATACATCAGTCATATTTAAGAAATTTGCACTACTTATGACTACAACAACAAATACCTTCACCGAAAGATCACTAATAATTGAAGTCGATCTTACTTCTCTTTCGATTAAGTATAGTCTTCCGATTATGGAATTCGGGAAGATTTGGGTTAATCTAATTTCGTCACGAACTAACCTCAGTTAAAAAAAGATTACTGGAAACCAGGGAGCACTGGACAGCCGTTTCGTTTCATATTTGGGCTTCCCAGAACTGTGCACTCAAGACTTCACCAGCGGTCGGACCAGGGACCTATGAATTACCAGATCAAGCTCGCTGATCACTCAGTAACTTTGGTCATAACTCAATGACCCGTCAATTCTAACTTCTGTCAATTCATGATGTATCACTACCCTCAAGCAGTGATTTCAATGAGCATCCACCTCATACTGACAGGGCGGACCCCATTGGTCAAGGTTTCTCATTACAGCTTCAGAGCATGCATCCAGTAGTCATAAGTAAGCTAGCGATTAACGTTCAGATTAGAGAATTTGTGGGGATTTTGGACTAATTTCAATTTTAATTCTTAGGTTTCGTTGCGAGTCAATATATCAAAAGTTCAAAAACTTAAAATTCACGGGTCAATGGACTCCAGCCCAAGTAGCTGCATGGTCGATGACCTTGATCTCGTAACCTGAAGGTTATGAGTTTGATTGTCAGTGGGGTGGTGAATGGGCACCTTTGAAGAGTCCCAAATTAGTGCAAGACACAATCTTATAGAAACTTTGTTGGATAAATTATTTGTTTACTGAAAGGAAGTAATCGTTTACATCTCTTTGCTTGCTTAGTCAAGTTAACTTCAACACCTACTCTGTCATTTTGTTGGCGATGGAATCCAGCATGCAAGTTTCGTCCTATGTGAGACTCATCTGTCAAATGTGAATAATAGCGTTCCCAGCACCCATCATTCCAAACTCCAAAGCGTTGTTCACTTTACCATTACGTTCTGACACTGACAACAGCTGTTATTTATTACTGGCAGTTCTCGTGGCCCATTGTCCCCAGTGGATAACGCCTTTATTTTTAAAGCGATGGGTGCTTATTCGGTTTGAGTCATAATGGGAAATCCATTGCCCTCATATTAAGCCAAAGCTTCCCACACAGGATTATATGCGCATTTTGGATTCCATTGATAGTGGCCAAAAATCAAATAACTTTACATTCACCAAAACGTATTGCTGAAGTATCCATACTAGGAATTGATATATCGACAGAGACAGGGCATTTCTGTTGCCTATAATCCATCAGCAGGAATTCCAAATTACTTCAACTAACTTTGTCAGTTTAAAAAGTGTCTGAGCTTTTATTTTTGAGGGGGCTTTACATCATGAGCTTATAGAAATTGTAAAATGTTGAAAAAAATCGAGTCACATAAAACACGTATTCTCTTCTGATAAAAGAGAGGAAAAGTAATATGCTTCTGACAAGCAGTTATCTAAATATCTTTGGTATTTATGTGGAGTGTGTAACAACACGATTGCACATTTTTTGTTAGATTTTCAAATTAGAAACATTGTACATAACTTTTGTTTAAAACGGTTCATGTTAAAATATAAATGATGTGGAGTACATTCTAAAATACCATGTGCTGCCCACCGCTTCGTCTTCTCACTGGTCTATACTGCCTACTTGCTTCACTTAAAACCGTGTTGTACAACTTGGGATTTTTGCAGGAACCTCTTATCCTCATTCGAAGACTATTCAGCAACTAGTGCACAGCTTCTACCAGTAGACATGACTCCAGCAGTGAACACTCTTGTGGATTATATTAATAAATTGTAGCAGTGGACTTTAACTGTGCAACCAAGTGACCAATTAATTTATATAACTCAATACTGTATTTTTTATAATATACTGTTACATTATCATCATATTAACTTGAATTTTTATTCAAATACTTGTTCTTTTACTGAGATGTGCTAGAAAGTCCCCTACATTTAGCTACCTGCAATATACACAGATAGGAAATATGCTTTTCAAGGGGTTTAGTAAAGTCTTATAAATAAGCCATAAATATACTACCCTTCGTCTCAATGAATACAACAGTAAATCTACTTACTTACCTTAAGCTTTTCATAAGCTCTATGATATCGTGCATAGTTCAGCTCTAAATGATTTTCAAGCATTTTGTCATCAGTCTGTTGTGGATATCTTCGATAATTATCTAATTGCTAATTTCACAATTATAAACCACTGTCTAATTATCTCTAACAACCTTTTGTATACGATCCAAATGCGTCTTTACTAATTCATCAAGCATTATTGTGTATTTCAAGTAATAAGTGAAACAGTGAACAAACAAAAAATAAAACGAAACTTTGGTTTCGGTAAATACAACGACCTTGTAGCCTGGAGAAGTGTTGGATGACCTGAAACACGCACTTAATTTTGAACTATTTCCATTGGAATGCACGTGATTTAAATCGAATTTAATTGGTTGAATATACGAGTCAAAAAACCTCATTCTGATTTCTTTTAATGGAAGCACTTTTGTTTTATTGATTCTGTCCTGCCTTTAAATTAGTCAATTGTTGTTTTATTATCAGTGGAGTTTTTGACTTTGCTCAGAATATTTTAACCTAGTTTCGTCTGGATGTATTAAATAGTATAATTATGTAGTTAACTGTTTTCTACAAAGAAGTTATATAAGTATTTGGTGATCCATTATTTTCAGGAGTAAGCATTTTATTTTTTTAAAGTTAAATCATGGTTTGGTGTCATTTACAGAACTACTGAAAACTAGAGAGAGTGCTGGACAACTGTTTCGTCCTAGTTTGGGAGTCTTCAGTGGCACTCACCAACTTAAGGTAAATCGAATCCCCACAAACAAGTGACTTGCTATAGGATGAAGTTGCTGAAAGTTCTAGTGGGAAGTCTTGACCAGTGGGGTACACCAGGTTGAGCATAACACTGGCTGATAGGCACTCTAAAATTCCCAAATTTGAAGAAGTTAGAATCCATGAGCCATTAAAGAGGTTCCCATTGGCTGAGTGACCTGCCACTTTGCCTTGTAGCCAATAGGTTCTGGGTTTGAACCCATGGATGCGTATTGCTGAGGAGTCCCAAACCGGGACAAAACAGATGTTCAGTACTCCCTGTTTCTCAGAAGTTCTCTAACTAACATCAGTCCATGATCAAACTTGATGCATCATTTGTAGTCAAAACAATGAGGACTGTACTTCTGACTGTAACCATCAATTTGGTTTTGTCACACATTGATGCACTGCAAGTAAAATGTCCTATTCACACTAATCTGTATATTTGGTGTTTAGTATAATGCTAAAGTGTCACTCCAGGGAATAAACATCAACTTTTTCCTTCTAGTTTGAGACTCTTCAGTAGCATACAACCATAGCCCATTGCTGGTTGAACTCAGGACCTTCAAGTTATGCGGTGAGCCCGCTGACCATTCAACCAAGCACAGAGGAACAAGTTTCGTGTCCTGACCGACACATATGTAAACCTCTCCTAAGTGGTAGTAAGCCCATAAAAAAGGGGAGGTTTGATGTGGAGCTAACAATCCCACTCCATTGCCGCTACCGAAAAATTCAACACTCAATCCCTATGCTCCACTTCCCTTCACATTACTTTAGCTTATTTTTCTTCGGATGAGAAGTGGACTTCATGGCTTAGTGGTCTATAGGACAACGTTGGTTATTATGTTCGAATGTCAGTTGGAATATCATCACTCACAGGGGATGCAGGTATATCTAATCAATGAGTCGTAAAAGGCGCACCATAGGTTCTATTAATAGCTTGTTGTGCTGCTATATTCTGACCAAACTAGCGTACACGTATATCTTAGTACTTCTTCGCGTTTACAATTGTGTCCTAACGTTGCGATTACTCGACATCCACAACGTAATTCAAAAGGCACTTGCGAAGGAATACGATAGTGTATTATTGCAGCAATCAAAATTCGAAAATCGAGCGAGTACAAAAGGTATCAATTGTTAACATGCAAGATTAAGAGTAATAAACAAATCAAAGTACAATTACACAATGAAAGTATAGTACGATTATGAGTAATAAAATGGGTCACTACAAGCTATCACCAATCGAATCTTGAAAAATACCCACCAAGGCATTCGACAGAAATTCAGCAAATATATCTCCCCGGAGATTTCATTCTCAATAGCTGTACAATAATAATTTATACACCCAACTTAGCATAGTTACAATTATTATTTACTCACTAAATCAAAATCTGCTTTATACAACAGGAGTGAATCATTACTGCATTCAGAAAGTTAAAGTGCTACATAAACGATACGAATGAAGACCTACTAAAGAATTAAGTGAATTTACGGATTCTGTGAAATTAAACCGATTTCTGCTGAAACAATGAACGAAGTCACAAATATGATTTCTTAGGAAACAGCATGCTACTTTGCAGTAAATCAGATAGGAGAACAAATATTGAATTAAGCTTCAGATGTTTTACAATTTCCATTTTAACGGTAGTTGGGTTTCTGGACTTCACATTTAAGGCAACATTTTAAATCAGGGAACACTGAATATCTTCTCCGTCCTAGTTCTGTACACTTCAGCTATGAACCTTCACAGCTCCACAAAGGATTGTGTCATCAGTCACTAAGAGTCTGGGGTGGAAACACGTAGTGATTTTCGTCAGTGGATTAAAACCCAGCCAGTCATGATAACGAAATTCGGAACCATCCATTTTAGATTTTTCAAACATACAGCTTATATTCTAACTACCAATCCATTCCAGCTGTACACTGTAAAGGATTTGTAGTAATGTAATGTAGTCAGTGTAACAATTTAATCTACAAAGTGTTGCGTAATTTTAGAGTTGAAATAAGAATTTTAGTGTATTAATTTCTTTAATAATCTCTTCTTCCTTATTTCAACCTTCGATTTAGTAATACTTTTATTTCAAGGCATTTTTTAAATTCAATATTGAAGTCATTACATCACTTGTTGAGATGACATTCACTTTCAATATGAAACATATCGTTAGCGTGGAAAAACTGATCTGCAACTTTCAAATTTTCAGTTCATGATCAGATTTTACTTAATATCAATCGAATCCCTACAAATCAACACTTGAAAACTAATCTAATGCTCATAGTGAACTGACTACAGGACAGAGACCCTAGGGTTTTAGTGAAAACTCGTGACCGGTCACGTTCACTAAGTTGGTTTCAAGAACATGCACAATCGCTGACAAGATTAGCTGGAGGTTACTCTATATATACCGCAAATTTTCAGAAGGTAAAACCCATTGGCCATTGGATTTCATCTAGGCGGCTGAACCGTCAACTAGTTCGCCTAGGGACTTGGAGATCTTTGGCAGGGTCATGGGTGATTATCTCTGAGAAGTCCCAGACTAGCAAAAAACAACTGTCTGGTACTTCATGGTTCTCAATGATTCTCTAAATGATGTTGGTTCGTGGTGTAGCTTAAAATCGACCAGATCATTGCTAACCAACATTCCCTAATCATGGGAAAAAAGTCATGAAAACACAGTTTCCTATCAATAAGTAGCACTTTACTTTGATTGGTTACTAGTCAGTGTCTGTCTGCAGCACTAGGTGACATGGATTCGAAACTCAGGAACAACATGAGTTCCTTCAAGGTTGCAGGTACCATTTGCTGACGAGTGCCAACTAGCAGGAAACCTAGGTCCTCAGGGTTTCCTACCTACTGTCTCTAACCATCTAATAACAAGTAACTTTTTACATAAGTATGACTATGAAACAGAAAGATGTGATAAGTCGATTCATCTCGATTGTTATCCTCATTTATCTTCCTCAGAGTAAACTAATTTTTCTCATCATTTTTTCTTCTCATAGAACTTCATAATTCTTAAATAATGAACTCATAAGATTAATTTTTATCTGAAATAAACAAGAAAATAACTAGTTCGATTATTCCTTACTTCAGTGTTTATCTGTACATCATTTTACGTATTTATGCATCTCAGTTGGTCGGTATAAGTGATTTTATTTATTTTGGAGACCTTTTGTGGTGATTGACTATTTCTATCTTTGTATTGTTTAAATACTTACTGTTGTTTGTTAATATATTTATTATTTTGATTTTAAAATATAATTCCGCCAAATACAAATTCCTAAATTCATCCCTCTCTGTGTTTTGGTTGAATTACTGTAATTCGGTCATTGCGAAATACAATACTACTATTACAAATAACAATCACATTTTGGCGTCGCAATGCAATTAAATAATCTTGGAAAGTTTCCTATAAATGGTTCACCGCGGGAAATCTCCGAATATCTTGAATGTTTCGACGCATAGTGCATGTCGAAGAATGTTCGCGATGACAAAATTCCAGCTGATTTTATTACTGCTATTGGGCTAGATGCGTACAGCCTACTGAAAACTCTGTCATTTCCAGATAAACCAATTTCTCTGTCTTATGATAAACTCCGTGAACTTTTAACAAATCACTTCCACATAACAACATTCGAAACACGAGGGAGGGCTCAGTTCAACAAACTTCTTCGTGCTCCCAACCAGAAGATTAGAGACTTTATTCTTCAACTTCAGATACAAGCTTCAAAATGCAACTTTGGAGATCAGCTCCATACTCAACTACGTGATCGTCTAATTGCTGGAATCAATATTCCTAAGTTAGAGAAAGAGTTGGTTCAGATACCTTCCTGCACCTTTCAAACTGCCAAGGATTTATGTATTACGTATGAAGATGTCAACAGTGACTACCCAGCTGCCACTACGTCAGAGTCTGATGTCATGCTGTCCAAAGTTGATAATAAAAGTGTTCATAGAAAGAAATCCAAACTGCCGTCCACATGTAATAGAATGCATACAGAAAGCAAGAACATCAAACCGTGTTTTTCATGTGGAAAACTTCATCTACGAAGCACTTGTCGTTTTCGGAGTGCTAAGTGCCATAAATGTGGTAAAATTGGGCACATCAAGTCTGTCTGCAGAAGTTCAAATAATTATGCTACTCATGATTCTCCCAAACTGTCTGATAAAATGAAGTCAATGTCTCTTTCAACTTTTCACAATACTCAATCTCATCTAGTGAGAAACTTCACTACAAGTTCAGGCAAGTCTCACTGTTTTATAATTGATACTGGGAGTACTGAATCTATAATTTCTAAGAAAGATTTACTATCGCTTTGTAAGCATGCTCAGGTAGACCCTACTACTAGTTCAATTACAGGCATAACTGGTCATAAACTACCTCTTATTGGTGCAACTAACATTTGTTTGAAGTCAGACAGTGGTAATTTTGTGAATATCCCCTTT